TTTATTATCCGTCTACCAAGCCATGCTGTCTCACCATAATGATCATTCGTACTCCTGCTTTAATAAAAACTTAATACTTTTGAAAAATCACGAGGGCGTGATTATCTGTAGGAAGGGAGGGTGTAGTATCCCTGCCTTGCTAGTACTGAACTGTAGCTGACTACTACATCTACATCTATTTTTACCTCTAATCATGTCACATGTACACGTACACGCACTGCATGACTCTTGTCACTCCTTTACTGACAAGCCTGCAAAGCTAATTATATCACTTCTCACCACTTGTGCTTCTCTTGCGCTTGCTGGATTGCATACTACATATCTTTGCTAGTTTAGATCATCGCACCTGTATGTGCATGTAGAACTAACACCCACATGTTGTACTAGTAGTACTCTGTACCTCCCTGACCCTGACTGAGGTCATGCGGACAGTCATGACCCTTTCTAGATCCTGTTTGCATCCATTTGCCAATGCCCTCCCTGGCCTCTGTTCTCCTCCAAAGTTCCGTTTGCTTCTTTCATCCTTATACATTTAGATACTGTTGCTATGCCTTCCCAAGTTCTGTTTGGACTAACACAACAGACTTCTGCCCGTTTTCATGACTCATGGCTCATGCAGACGCTATGATGATCTCCTTCCTTTTCGCCCTATAAAAGCTGCCATGCTTTACTCATTTCTTCAGAGCAGAGCAGAACATAACAGAACAGAACAGAGTCTCTCCTGGCAGATTGAGCCGGAGCAGTTGTATTCCTTTCCGAGTCCCTCCAGGCAGATTGAGCCGGAGCAGTTGTATACATAACTTCAGGCAGATTGAGCCGAAGAACATAATATTAACCAGTCTTCTTGTGTGTGCCTCCTGATACCACTCGGCGACCTATTACACATGTACATGAGGAGGGGAAGGTGAGCGCAACCAAGACAAGCACAAGCTGAAAGTCTCAGCTGTGAAGGACGTAATCGTTGGCGCATGTTCATGCATGTCGATGAAATTTATCCTTGGCTCTCCATCCAAGTCCATTCTTGCACACCTGCCCTGGCGAATGAGGTCGGCGGTGACGTCACGGATTTCGTTGTGTCGCTGTACTGCACTTACATAATCCAGACGGTACAGGACAGACTGAGAGTGAATATGCCAGCTATCAGAGAGAGAGAGACAGAGAGAGATAGAGAGAGAGAGAGAGAGAGAGAGAGAGAGAGAGAGAGAGAGAGAGAGAGAGAGAGAGAGAGAGAGAGAGAGAGAGAGAGAGAGAGAGAGAGAGAGAGAGAGAGAGAGAGAGAGAGAGAGAGAGAGAGAGAGAGAGAGAGAGAGAGAGAGAGAGAGAGAGAGAGAGATTGAAACGGAGACAGAGGAGAGGGAGAGAGTAATTAATTATTAAACTGTTGCCCTACCCCTCTTCTTCAGCCGACTGATACTGAAATAATACGTGTGCCTGTATTTTCTCGAGACAGCTGTTTCGCCTACGAAATGCTTAGTAGGCTGAATTGGATAATCTGATGGACATCGTCTGTAGAAAGCAGTATCAGTACTCGTAAACCTTCGTTGTTGGAATTTCAGTTGTGTTATTGTGTAATGGCTACCGAGGGTTGCAGCTAGTCGGCTGAAGAGCGCATGGAGGACAACAAGAGAGGAACATTGTATTACAGTCCATTCATTGGAAACTGGCACCCTAACTTTTTGGTGTCTCCCGCACATGTACATGTAATGATGTAGTTGTAGATATCGTGAAAATATTGATAGGCCTACTGCTAACCACTATGTGACTTCCAAACCACTCAGTCTCTGGACTCTGGCCCACACATTCCCACATCACGTGACTTGAAATAAACAGAAACGTCAAGGACGTGTGTGGCACTGTGGGCCAGGCGCCATGGCCCCAGCGTGGGTGCGCGCACGCGCGCGCGCGTGTGTGTGCAGATGTACCTGGCTATAGGCCGCCTAAGCTAAAGAACTAATTACTTGAAGTTTAAGTTGAACTCGGATGGTGAGCCAATAATAGTTATGATGAAGAAAGGAAAAGGACAAAATGTTACGAGTTATGACAAACTGTCCACCAACGTAACCAGTTCTTATACAGTCAGCGAGTGCGACAAAAATGTCAGGTCTCCGAATGTCTCAGTACTCCTTCGAGTCCTTGTCAGTTTTGTGCCATTTTTGTCGCACTCGCTGACTGTATGAGATCTGGTTACGTTGTTGGACAGTTTGTCATAACTCGTAACATTTTGTCCTTTTCCTTTCTACTTGAAGTAAAGCCTACTAGCACTAAACTACTTCAAAAGGGCATGCAGCACTGTTTTTGCTTCCCATACCATGGCCTAGCATAGGCATAGACTCAGAGTCATAGTCTGTACCGGTACATCATTGTACTCTTTAGTGGCCATAGCATTATCAATACATGTACCGACCGTTGGCCGCCGAATGAGTGCGAATGCTTACCAACAACGTAGCGAGTGAACAATAATAGTTTAGTAGTCTAGATACAGTGCAACGAGTGTTAGTTTCCAAGATCTTTACAAGACTGGCGAACACTAAATGTCATGAAGAAAGTGAAGAGAAAGGAGGTTTATATAGGAAAGAGATTGTGATAGAAGACTGTGCAATGAAGTTTGTTGTTTTGTTAGATATCTGACGTGTGCTGTTTGGAAGAAGTGTTTGGATGCAAACAGAACTTACAAGAGATGAGTAAAGACTACTTTTCTACAATAGCGTTGTAGGCGAGGAGTGCGTAACATCAAAAGATGTCGTAATGTGTATTGGAACTATGCTAGCCAAACATTACGTAATTATTATGGTAGCGAAGTACGTGTAGTAGGTATTACAATGTGTGCGAGAGTATGGTGAATCAGTGTTTGTGATGATGAGGAAAATATGACGTGTACATGCAAACAAATGATGATGTCATGATGCGAGAACGTCAGAGACGCTACAGAGCTCCCCTCCTAGTGAATGAGTAATGAGCGATAACTAGCGCGATAAAGTGAGAGCAAGCAAATGGGATAAGCGAGAGAGTGTCAGAAATAGGCGGGAAATCTGACTTGACGACCAGCTCGTGTTTGGCGTGGCGGAGGCACGTCGAATGCGAGCGATGGCGTCGGCTTGGTCGGATGGCAATGGTCGACAGACTGGTTGTCATGGAATGCGGGTTTGAGTCGGTCGATGGATACTGTGTCGGAGCGGCCGTTGAGGTCGAGGCGGAAGTACTTATCATGACGTTCCAGGACTCGGTGTGGACCAGTGTAAGGACGTTGGAGGGGCGTTCGTGTTGCATCTGTGCGAATGAAGACATGAGAGCATGTCGAGAGGTCAGCTGGAATGAACGGATGCTGGGTGGGTGGCTTGCGGGGTTGTGTAGGGCGGAGCTCGGACATGGCTTGTTTGAGGCGGCTGACATAGGACGTCGGATCCGGAAATGGCTCAGGCTCGTCAGTGAGGAAATCACTTGGCAGGCGGAGGTGGCAACCGTAGACCATTTCTGCAACTGAGCAGTTGAGGTCAGCCTTCAGGGAGGAGCGAATGCCGAGCAGGACTAGTGGCAGATGTTCCGTCCAGCGCTGTGGATTGTCGGAAGCTCGGAGTGCAGCTTTCAGTTGTCTGTGAAAGCGCTCTACCATGCCGTTGGCAGCCGGGTGGTAAGCCGTTGTGCGAATGCGAGATGTGCCAAGTAGTGACATGAGCGATGACCACAGGGATGACTCAAATTGGGCACCTCGGTCGGTTGTGAGCACAGTGGGAACACCAAATCGGGCGACCCAGGTGGCAACAAACTGGCGAGCGACGGTTTCGGCTGTAATGTCGGGAATAGGTACTGCTTCGGGCCAGCGAGTAAAGCGATCTACCATCGTCAAGAGGTAGCGAGACTCACTAGAAGATGGAAGCGGGCCTACGATGTCGACATGGACATGGGAGAAACGGGCATCAGGTTGCTTGAATGCACTCACGGGAGATGTGGTGTGGCGCTGAACTTTAGACTGCTGACAAGCGTGGCAGGAACGACACCACTCACTAATATCCTTGTTCATCGCGGGCCAGACGTAGCGAGCTGTAATCAGGTGCCTGGTAGCGCGGGTACCAGGGTGGGAGAGGCCGTGAAGCGAATTGAAAACAGCACGGCGCAGCTTGGCAGGTACATACGGGCGGGCAGACGCAGTAGAGGTGTCACAGATGAGCGAGTGATCAGTCATGGGCAGAGCTATAGATTGCCAGCATAGCGAAGTGGATGGATCCTTACCAGGACTGGGCAAGTCTGGATCATCTTGTTGAGCGGCGGCAAAGGAAGCTGTGTCAATGGCAGTGATGGCAGAGACGGGCTCATCGGGTAGGTGGCATCGTGACAGTGCATCAGCGGCAGCATTCTGAGAACCCTTGACATGACGAATATCTGTCGTGAACTCAGCAATGTACGACAAATGGCGCTGTTGACGCGGGCTGTGGGTCTGTGAACGGCTGTGGATGGCATATGTCAGAGGCTTGTGATCGGTGCACACATGGAAGACACGCCCTTCCAGGAAGTGTCGGAAATGCTTAATGGCTAGGTAAATAGCGAGGAGCTCTCGACAGAAGGTGCTGTAGCGTGTCTCAGCAGGCTTTAACTTGCGTGAAAAGAAGGCAACAGGATAACACTCACCATCTAGCTCTTGTTGGAGGACGGCACCAACAGCAATGTCTGAAGCGTCGACCATCAAGCTGTAGGCGGCATCCGGGCGAGGATGGTGAAGTGTGATGGCCTCAGTGAACGCAGCTTTGACATCATTGAAAGCAGCGATGGCCGAGTCGGACCAGACGAGCGCGCCTTTGGTGCGGTGGCGTTTCTCAAGCATAGCGTGCAGAGGTGCGAGCTTAGCAGCAAGATGTGGCTGAAATCGGTGATAGAACGTGACGAAGCCGATGAACTCACGGAGCTTACGAACACTAGCTGGCTGTGGGAATTCACGAATGGCGGTCATGCGAGCGTCGAGAGGTCGGATACCTGAGGCAGTCACGTGATGTCCCAGGAAGTCAAGCTCATCCTGGCCGAACTGCGAACTTAGCGACAGCAAGGCGGTCGGGTGCCAGACGGCGAGGCTTAGCGTGGACGGGGTGGCCATCTGTGACTATGCGGTGTGTCACATTGTGCTTGACAGGCGAGTCACCAGTGGTCGGTCGGACAAGGTCAGGAAACTCACTCAGCAGGGCAGAATACTCACTAGGGCTATCAGTGTCCAGCAGGTTGGTAGCGGAGGTGCTGACATCCGAGGCGGATCCGACAACGGCAAGTTGAGTAGTGGAGTCCCGGAGACATCTGGCGGCCAGGTCGACAGTGAGTTGGAAGTGGCCAAGGAAATCCGCACCCAGGATCGGATAGCTGACGTCAGCAACGACGAAGACCCATTTGAAAGTGCGTCGGAGACCTAAGTCTAAATCTAGCAGCTGCTGACCGTACGTGGCGATGCTGCTCTGATTCGCTGCACGGAGGCGAGGGCTATTGCGATGAACACGACGAGACAGAGTTACGAATGACGGAGGAAGAACACTGACGGCGGCGCCGGTGTCGACAAGGAACTCGACGGACTGGGAGCGATCCTTGACGAATAGTAGGCGACCGGTAGCGGTATTCGAGGGGCCAACCACACTAGCGGTCGCGACTAGTGGCTGGCCTTCCCGTTTCCCGACAGGAATCGGCAGGGGTCTCGGCATTTGTTCGCCTTCGCACCGAACGCACGGTGATACCAGCAAAGGTCGTCGTGATTGTCACGGCCGGGAGACCTGGAGGCACTTGGGTGGCGTGACGGTGGCCCGGGACTACGCTCTCGTTGGCGGCCACGCTGGGAAGGGGCACCGGTGTCACGGGTCATCACATTCACAGCGGACGTCAGCTTGGCGAGTTCAGCTCGGAGCTGGGCCATCTCAACCCTGTCAGCGGTGCAGGCCTGTTCCGCATCTGTGGACGCTGTAGATCTACATGATAAGGCCGTACTAGACCGAGCAGGGGCTGCACTCAGAGCGTGAACACTTGTACCGGTGAGTGGGGTTGAGCACGTGCTATCAACCATCTATTCTTGTCAGCAAGCGCGGCGAGGTCGGCCAGGCTGAGGCACCAGTCACGGGCAAACGCTGTACAAACAGCTCGCGCAGGATAGTCGGGTCTAGAGACTTACTGCCCGAAAGCGAGCGGAAGCGGAAGAACCAGCGTTGCTGGACATATTGCACTTTACTCACGTCGGAGGTCACCAATTTAGTAGTCTAGATACAGTGCAACGAGTGTTAGTTTCCAAGATCTTTACAAGACTGGCGAACACTAAATGTCATGAAGAAAGTGAAGAGAAAGGAGGTTTATATAGGAAAGAGATTGTGATAGAAGACTGTGCAATGAAGTTTGTTGTTTTGTTAGATATCTGACGTGTGCTGTTTGGAAGAAGTGTTTGGATGCAAACAGAACTTACAAGAGATGAGTAAAGACTACTTTTCTACAATAGCGTTGTAGGCGAGGAGTGCGTAACATCAAAAGATGTCGTAATGTGTATTGGAACTATGCTAGCCAAACATTACGTAATTATTATGGTAGCGAAGTACGTGTAGTAGGTATTACAATGTGTGCGAGAGTATGGTGAATCAGTGTTTGTGATGATGAGGAAAATATGACGTGTACATGCAAACAAATGATGATGTCATGATGCGAGAACGTCAGAGACGCTACAATAGTACCACAGTCACAGGGGGCATACATGATGATACAGCGGGAACCAGCGCCAGCAGAGACTGAAAGTTGAAGGAAAAAGGGGTAAAGGAAGCACTACAAGGGCTTTTAAGGAGCTTCTATTCGAATCACGTGTCGTCGACGTGGTGGACGCTCTCGCGCTACTTGCTTGAACTGAAGTGAAACGCAGCGACCTTCTGTGGAGAGAAGTAACTAGATGTATCTCTACATGTATGTAGGTCAATACTAAAACCAGACTTTAATAACATTGTACATACATGTACATGTACGTGTATGTACATGTACATGTATGTGCTGACAAGTGACAGTGTATCTTAAAAATCAGGTTTTGTATTCAAAACAGGCTTCGAGACAGGCTTTTATCAAGACACTACGTGCATGTACATGTACATGTACAGTCATGTACCTGTATATGTGGCTGTAAGTGTAAGGCTGTGTATGTCAGGTCGTGGCTGTTATCATGGTTATTGTACTTTGTAGCTTGCGAGTTGATCAACGACTTTGTATATTTTCTGTATGGTGAGCTTAGCGCGCCCAACCAACACGGCAACAGCAACCTAGTGTTCCACGTACAATGCAACGACAGTGTACTGTACATGACTTTGTGCATGACTGTACATGTACTTGCAGGGTCCGGGGCCGGGTGCAATCTACTAAAATAATAATGTTTTATAATGCAGCTCAACATTAAAAAAAATTGTAGCAGACGCTGTCAGTCACCATCGATCATCCGCCATCGTGATTGTATCTTCTACGCGGTCGCATCTGACTGCAAACTCCCCGCGACCCAGTCACCCAGCTCAACTGAGTGTCAGTCACCAGATCAAGCGGATTCTAGAATCTAGAAAGGTATGGCCCATACTAATACTATGCCATAATCATGATAATGGCATTAGTGCCTAGTGGGTCATCGTCACTCAGTCGAGTCGAGTGAGCTGTACAATACATGTACATGTACATGTATGTACTCCGGGTGCGGAGAGGCGGGCTCACAGTCTCACACCCCTGCTGACTAGTGTATGGCAACTACTTTGTAACTAAGTACATGTACATGTACTTCCCCGGCCCCGTGTCTCATCCCCAAGATTAGAAACATTGTAGTACTGTCCAGCCGTAGATACTGGTCTAAATCTAAACAAAAACAATTATTAGGAAATAAAGAGGCCACATGCCACGTACTGCTCTTTTCTCTCCGAAACTCAACACTTGCAAGCCAGATATGAAAGAAAGAAAAAGTCATCAGTCACACCACCGGGACTGTCCGGGACTCGAACCATGGACCTTGCTAATCGCGAGCAATGCTCTAACCAACTGAGCTACAGTATGACTCTTATCCACAGTGATGGTAAATGTATCGTATAATCCTTCTTCGATCAATCCACATCTGGCTTGCATCATACTGGCAACTCACACCAATCAAGAGGGCCCTCGGCCATTCGCTTGATCATGGGGAGCGCATCAAACTATGTCCACTGCGAGCAAATACAAATTGCAATTTCAAATTTGGACTTCACGGAGAATTTCAAAGTATTAGGAAATTAGAGGCCACATGCCACGTACTGCTCTTTTCTCTCCGAAACTCAACACTTGCAAGCCAGATATGAAAGAAAGAAAAAAATCATCAGTCACACCACCGGGACACTCGTTTTAAATTTGCGACTCGTTAATCGTTATAACCCCGCGGGGGGGGGGGGGGGGGGGAGGGTGGTTCTACTCTTGCCACTAGTTTGCGTAGTTTCACAGGATCTAGGAAGCGCGAGTTTCGGGGCAATGACATTATGTAACTAACTTTGAAAGATCTCTGCTGGGATAGCGACTACCATGAGCATACATGTACATGTAGCTTAGTGGTAGAGCATCGTTCAAATCAAAGGCTCCTGGTTCGAGTCCCGGTACCATGCAGCGCAGATGCAAAGTCAATAACAGCATTCTTCAGATGTTTTATTTTCCTTTTCACGTACCTCTCTCAAACTGAAAACCTTTTATCAAGTGTACAATCATGACATTCATGTTACTACCGGCACTGCACTGCACTGGACAGTGTGTCAAGGAGTCTTACAGCCGTGTACAAACTAGACAGTGTACATGTACATGTATTGTGCACTGCTCTGCCGTGAGTGCGTGTTGTTCTTTTTCGCAATACCAAACGGGCAATAAGCCCATGGAGTGCTTGGGAAGTAATGGGTGCATGTACCGCAAGACCCACACATGACTCACGACGCACCAAAAAGTGCAGCACGCCAACTTCGCCAAGGCGGCCAGCTTCGAAACTGGTTTATACATGTAAATACAACAAAAGAGAGCATCATGTACTATTACAGTGTTTAGCTGTCTGAAATATAATAATTGCCTGTGTAGGCCGACATGACTATTCCAAACCAGTGGCAGCGATGCGTACGCGTGTAGACTAAACTCTTATTTTTGCCAGGTACATGTACATGACGTGGGAGGGTACACTCGTTTACTCGGCAAATGCTGCCTGTACTGTGTGTAACTGTCCACCTCTTCAACTAACTAAGTAAGTTAGTTACTTCAAGACTATGGGGGGGGGGGGGGCGGGATAGCCTTGGCCTCATGCACGCGCACAAGCCTGTTTGAGGTTTCACGCGAGGTGTGAGTTTCGAAACCTGAACTACAAAATTTCAATACATGTAGTATAACATGTCGATTATTATAAACTAACCATTAATCGTGGACGGTCGCTGCTAGGATGACCACTGGCACTACACCTACAATAACATTGTAGTTTAGTGGTAAAGCATTGCTGGCCATAACATAACTCGTAAGCAAGGGTTGGTTCGAGTCCTGGGTCACAGTGGGTGGCCAGTCAACTAACAGTAACAAGACTTAGTAATTTTTCTTCAGACATTTCCCGTTTCCCTCAAACTCATGAATAATACGAAGTAGTACAGTACTCAGTACAGTGTAGTAGGTACATGTACTAGTCAGTTGTGGTTTTAGTCCACATGCTTCGCTGCTGCATGGCATTGGCATTGGTTTTGTAACTGCTGCTTTTCTTTCCGGCCGCGCAAAGCATCAGCAGTTCAAGCTTTTTACTCAAGCTCAATATTTACGACTCCCGATCCCTGGTCGTGCGTGACTCAAAAACTGGCACGTACATGATTGTACATTTGCGTGCATCAACTGACTGACTTTTCTGACCAGGCCGGAGATCCTACGCAGACGGTAAATCTACCATTTGTATGGCTCTTTCAATACACTCTTACTACACGACTGTAGTCTTAGTCTTAGTTATAGCTACTACAGTAGTACTAGTGCTTGGTGGATCTACAATGTATGTCCGCACTGTCCTTAGAATGTAGAACCAGGGTGTAACCGTTAGTCTGCTCGTCTCCACGTGCCCATCTCCTCCTCCCCCCCCCCCCCCCCCCCTCTCTCTCTCTCTCTCTCTCTCTCTCTCTCTCTCTCTCTCTCTCTCTCTACAACAACAACATAAAACCGACCAAGCACTGCCGTCTGTACACTGTACAGTCTGGACTACTACTGTAGCTACTGCGCATGCACTGGTCACTGCCAGTGGCACTGGCAGTGTTAGATCTACATCATTGTACACGTGCCAGCCTGGACCTACATAGTCATTGTGGCTACACTGGGCCATGGGATGCGGACTGCGCTGAGCGCTAGCGGAGGCTGCATCTGAGTGCATGCTCAGCTCTGAGTCTGACAATCGTTGAGACTGTAGACCTGGTATACCCTGGTATACTGTACTACTACTAGTCTGTAGTGTAGCCTGTACTACTGGCTGTACTGTAGTGTAGACCTAGCGCTATGTACATGACTGTATCTATAACTTAGTATAAGTGGTCGGAGTACTGCTAGCTAGCACTAGCAGATCTACGAGCGTACCGTCATTGCAGGTTTACCCTTTACTAGTACTAGTATTAGTACTAGTATCATGTAGTTACTTGTGCCACTGAGTTGTGGGTCTACGAAGACGTGTAGCTGAGTACCACTGCCACTGGCACTACCAATGCCAATGGCAATGCCATTGCAGTACCGACGCAGTGCAGTGATGGCAGTGTCTGATGACGATGACCGTCACCTGTCTGCATGTACGTATCACACTGACTGAGTGCCTGGCCTGGTGCTCAAATGTATTGTACTGTACTGCAGCATCATTATAATATGCGTGGCACTGTTGACTTGGGTCATTGGTTGGGCATTCCAGCGACAGGGAGAGAGTCTCTTTTTTTCGTGTCTTGCTCCAACACTGCAGTGTGTGGACTGAGAGTTAGAGTGAGAAAGTCTTCAGATCTTTGCCTGGGTTTAGCTCTGGTGTTAGTTCGTCCGTCGCTGAAGTAGCACTGCAACCCAAGAAATTCGCACCTCCCAGCGTTCGAGTGTTGGTGCGTAGTAGCTGTAGCAGCGAAGTGTGAACCAACTCAGTTTCCACTTCCAGCCCCGTACATGGTGTAGGCTCGGATCATCAGGCTCTACCGAATGTGTGTAGACAAGGACACAATCTGCAGCAAAGACAGCGCTAGGCATTCAGTTGGATAGGAGCCGTCCCGGGGCCTGACTGACTGCTGCGTGGACACGTTTCCTACATTGATGCGTTGAACTGTTCTGTATTATTATCATCGCCGCTTCTCCCCACTGAGCAGCGGTGCGGGTTGAGTTTGACCAGTCGACTAACGCTAGTAGTAGTGGAGTGTCCCTCTAGCTCTTCGTTTCTCGAGTGTTGTGCATTGCACGGCCGCGCTTGCTGCTCATCGAAAACGCGGACGGGGATTGCTGTTGTCTGTGGAATTGCTGCTACTTCTGCAGTCCTGTATTCTCTGTTCGTATTGGCTGTTGGTGGTGTGCCCGTGACAAGAAGAAGGAAGAGGGCTTGTGGTTAGCCGTATGTTCTCCTGCGTGAGATGGCGGAGAAATCACCCGCTCGCGGCAGAATGGAGGAAACATCACTGCCGACAGATACATCTGTGAAAGCGTCCACCGCCACAGCGGCAACAGGAGGAGCAGCAGTGAAAGTAGCAGCGCCCTGTGAAGAATTTACCTACAAAGAGACCCTGGAGAATCGTGGCGAAATCTATCGTGTGTATGGTAAGATCAGTAATGCGCATGTGGCCGTCGTTCAGGAGCTTCACTGCACTTTCTCTAATCTGCAGTCGAAAAACTGTAGAGCTGTGGAGTTGTTTGTATCAGTATCATTGGTAGTATTGCTGGGGTGAAATAACGCTGCTCCACATACTAGAATCCTGTTGCTCCATTACCATGCCCTTGTTTTTCGTCTCCCTGCATCAGGTGGGTTTTCGCACTCCCCTTTCTGCCCTTGACTGATAATGAGCTGTGTTTAGGAGCTTGGCAAGCAAGGCTCTGAACTGGATACACCATCGTCAGTCAGATTTGGGCCTGTCTTGCATGGGGTACACAGTGTGGGGGTGTTTTTCTTCGCAGTTTGGGACTTGACAGTAAGAGCAGGTCTCGCTCTGCTAGATAGTAATCTATTAAATCTACTAAAGTCACTTCTGCAGTGGATTTATTTAGGATAAACCACACCACGCACTCGTCGTGTTGAGCGTCATTTGGAAGGCTCTTGACTTAGCACAACGTTGCCAACCCACACTACTAGACTCTCAGCTGAGGTGACCACAAATGCTGAATCGTCTCAGTCTCGCATTCGTTCTAATAATAATAATTCACAATGGCTCTGGCAGTGGTTGTGATTTTATTTGTGCGACTGACGGTTTTGCGGTGCACACAGAAACTGACCCGAAATACTCGTAACGGGTATGCGCCTAGCGCCTGCCTGTTATTTTCTTCCTTGGTGTTACAGCGAGCACCCTTTCGCGCTGTGTACGAATTCTGCTCTTGTTGCTAGCACGTAACGTTGCCAGATAATTATTTTATATTCGCTGATGGATTGAGCCTGATCTATCGCGAGTGGTACATGTACTGCGGGTTTAGCCGGCGCAGTGGAACAGGGACGGCGTCGAATGCGTTGTGACTTTGCGTGCCACTACGCAGTACTGCTCTATGACCAGGTTTGTTTCATCGTGATTGTGTTGCCTGTTGGGTAGTAGTGTTTTAGGCAGCAACAGCAGAGCGTGTGCGATTCATCCGCTGCATTCTACTCGTAGCTAGTACCCAGTGGCTGAGCGCAGTTTGTATTGTCCAGTGTTACCGCTGCTAGTTTAGGAACGCCTCGCTTAGATTTCTTGCCAGTGCAGCAGACTGCACTGCTGTGTGGTGGTGGTGGTGGTGCATGCTCTGAGTCTGAACGAGACTTGATCGCGTGTTGTTACGATTTCTTGTTCCTGGCCTGACAACTACCTACTGTACTGGACTGGGTTTTACTTTTTAGTCTTGTCTGTGAGTGTGAGTCCGCTCGGCGCGATGATGCTATGACAGTTTGTTCGCTGGTTTTCTTCCCGGCACTGGCCTTGCACACTTCGAAGTAATTACAGCACGCCAGCAGGGCGATGGGGAGGTTGTACATCAATTTACCAACAGCACAATGTCACAATCGTAGGTGCCTGCGTGCGTCGCACTTGTTGAGTGAGGCAAAAGTGGCTGTAGGGTGTGAATGCGACACGGTGATCAATACCTTCAGCAGTTTTCTATTGTGTTTTTCTCCTTTCGATGTGCGTGCGTGTTTATGCGTGGTGTGTGTATGCATGTCTGTGCGTGTATGTTTAGATTACGTGCTGGTCGATGCACCGAAAGAGGATTTGAAAATAGCGCAAATCACACACATTCCCCAGCGTCACATAAAGGTAAGAAAATTATACTCGTGACGTGATCCTGGACTGACTTTTTCGCCGGTTGGAATATTCCATCTGCGCAATCTACACAACTAAGTTACTCTCCTCCTCCCTACTGTCTCCCTTGCAGGCATCTTCACCTCTTCATTAGTTCATGTTCCCCGCTGTTCTCCGCTCCGTTTATTGCCCCGGGCTCAGTGTGTGTATTATGAAATTGATGTTGTCTGACGTCCTTACCCTACCCTAGCACTAGGACTAGGAGTACTAGCAGCAGAAGCCACGAAAGAGAGGAGTGTGCATCTTGCCAGTCCTTGGTGTGTTGTTAGAACCAAGCTTGAACTCTCACTCAGTGGTGGCAATGGATAACGCGAACGGCCAATCGATATCGTGGAAGTGCTTTGTGGTGAAACGCTGGCTTTTCGATTAGCATGTGATGTTGTCAATTCGCCAAGCCTAAAATGTCGAGAGCCTGCAATCAAACTCCTGAGCTTGGCAGGTCCGTGGCTACTGCCTAGCAGGTCGGATCTGGCAGGTCTGGCTGCTGCTGCTGCTGCATGCTGTTGTCTGTTGACTTGTAACTACAGTACTCAGTAGAAGCAGTAATAGACCTACTGCCGTACTGGTTGGCTCCATACGGATTGCTTTGACTGCGATCGCTCCTAGTCCTAGACGCCTGGCAGTCCTACTGCACCACTGGCACTGCTCTGCAACACTTTCACCGAAACGCGTTTTGATCGCTTTGATCAGTGTTATGTACAAGTGCCACCAAGACTAGATATAGAGTGGGGGCTATGGTGTCACCGACAATAAAGTCTGCATAGATGTACGTACATCTAGACAAAGAGGGTGCAGCTTTCTCCATTTCCTCATCGTGGAAGCTGCTCCATGCTCCACACGATGAAGCCACACGGTCTCTGCTAGTAGTAGTACTACTAGCCTTTTGTATGTACACATGTATTCACCCTCATCGTGGGCCAGGCCCGAAAATTTTTTGGAGAAAGAACATGTTTTTGATTCACAGTAAAGAGACCGTTATCATGGTTATTGGAGCTGAGGAGTGATGTTGTATGGAGGACTCGAGGAGTGATGTATGTCAATGTCCTGTGGAAGTGGCTGCGTTGGAGTTTGCTGACAATACGACAAAATGTGATAGGTAAATCGCCAATATCTAACTTCATGCACTGAGTTCATGAAGCAGTATGGCCTTTTCTATTCTACTTTTGTAGAATTCATGTTGTGGTGTGACATGTCCACACTAAGAATAAGATTGAAGTCGCTCAGTTGTTGCTGCTGTACGGACACTTGGTTTTGAACGCCGTGTGTCAGTATCGATCTTGCCTCTGAGGCGGCATATGGGCGCTCCATGTCTAAAGCGGAAATGTGACCTTCCGCTGGGACCAGCTTCTCATGCCTGTTGGGACTGGCGCTTAGCGTCGCTCGCGCTCGGGTGCACCGCGATTAGTCGCTGCAACTGAGTGTGAGTTCCCTCTCCTCCTTTCGACCGTGCAGTGTTGAAGCTACGCATCCTCACTGCTGTGGCTCCCGTCTTTGTCTCTCTTGTAGTTTCAGGCGGAGCCTGTGTGATTGATTTTTTTCTCTGGAAATGTTTGTGGCCACAAGAACATGCAGCGTGAGCTGCTGCACTGCTACTGCTAGGTAGGGGAGGCTCCTTTGATGCTTTTTCATCCTTGGCCCAGCTTGGAGCCTTTCCACCTTACTACAAATGTAGAAGTAAAGCTGTAGACCTAGTACTAGTAGACCTACGTATGTGCGTGTGCCCTGATAGGCTGATGCCGATGGGCTTTATGTCGTTATGAAGTAATGGCATTTTTCCTCGCGTGACACGCGCGCTGAACTCCGTGGCGCTCGCGCTCGCAAGACCTCATACTAGTACAGTAGTAGACCTAGATCATGTCAGTCGTTTTCAGACTGTTAGTTTGCTTGTACTTGCAGGGAATTTTATGTTCTTCTAGTTCTGAGCTTTGGCATGTGACGGACATAACGACGTACTTCTTTGCCTGGTAGCTGGGCTCATGAAGTGCGCGCCTGTCATTGAGCTGATTTGAAGGCTGTCCTCAGCCGGCTACCGTGCGCGGAGTGACTCCGACTGCAACCTCAGTCCCACACACTCGCGGCGCACATGCACATCACACACATGCGCAAGTACGCAATCATACTGACGTGCCAAGGCAAAGGCTGGAGTTTCATTTTCTGAACTGGATCATGGAGATCGAGAAGTGCCTGTGTGTGTGTGTGACTGTAGCCGTGTACGGTGTAGGCTGAGCTTTTGTATGGTTTGACTCTGTTGTCGTGTTGTGTCTGACTGAGCGAAGTACAGTATGACTGTGCTTGCCCCCTTCAAAGTTCAAGTATGATCCTGCGATAGACATGACTCGTGAGGGAAACCTGTACAGTACTGTAGTGTAGTCCCGTGCGGTTGTCTGCACTGCAATGCCTGCTGCTGCTGCGCATGTGTTTTCGTGTGGGTGGAAGCATGACTGCATGCCTTGCTAGAGATAACTACTACTACTAGTACTTACATTCAACATTGTGCATGTAGTCATTAATTTTCAGGTTTTGCCTTTTCAGCACATACTGTGACATAGTTCTGCACAATCATTATTTACAGGTGTCAGTAGTACTGCCTGGACCACTTGCACTTTGTTTCTACGTGGTGGTAGCTTCAGATTTTTCCTTCCCTGGCCGGCCTTCTTCACCGACTTGAAAGACTTAGTGTTAGTTGTGAGAGTTGCGCATTTTTCTTGTCGTGTGAGGCTAGTGAGTGACTAGTGAATACTACTAGTTAGGAATCCCAAACAATTGGAACGAAAGTCTTTGATGAGATTGAGAGCAACGCACGGGGAAACAACGTTCTACAGAGCCTAAGTACGCGCCGCTTGGACTTGGAGTGCACTACTAGTACTAGGTCATGCAGTACTATTGCCGTTTTCACTGACTTGGTAGATCTACTCTGTGCTGCATTGTCAGCTGATTCACACCAGACTTTGACGACTTTTCTTCGCTTGTTGGCATAAAAATGCTGCATTCGAAGTGCGTGTCAATGAGTTACTTGCTAGATCTATCACCTATCACTTCTGTTTTTAGTCTGTTCTGCTGCTGCGCCCTTGCATTGTTTGCTGTCGCTTGCTACTGCCACTGGCTGCTACATACATGACTGTACTCTTCTTCAGCTAGCTAGCTCCTGACCTGAGCTACTTCCCTGCTTTACATGATTGTACACTGCACTTGTATTATTTTGTGGCGCTGTTTTCCTGTTTTGTTGCGAACCGTGAAGACTTTAGTTTTGCGTGTATGGCGCTTGCGTGCTGCTGCTGCTGCTGCTGCTGCTGCTGCTGCTGTGCATGTCACAAGCGCATTACAGCCAGTGCACTGTGTTTGTCTGTGTGTCGTGTAGATCTACGGGAGCTTTTTTTAATCTAAGTGCGCGTGTGTGTTTGTATCAATCGACCTGACTCCCTATGCAGGATCGCACTCTTGTGCTGCGCCAGTATAATCTCTTGACACAACCCAAGCTTCAGACTGTCAGGAAGGAAATTCTGGACGAAAGGAGCAGACTGAAAGGTAAGGCACAGCTACAGCTACATTGTACGGCCGGTCACCATAGTCTTTTACGTGATCCGCCGTCGTTCTGAGTTTGAGGCTTGTTTGTTCATGTTCCTCCTCGCTGGGTTTTTATTATTATTTTTTATTCCGTTGTTCCGTGGAGATCAGCAGTTGAAGTGTCACTTGTTTCTGCTGAACCAGCCCAGAACTCTTCTCCAGTGGTCACAGGGTGCGCAGAAATACTGTCAAAAGCCTTCCTTCGCGCTAACAAGCTGTTATAAAAGTCAAAAGCGTTGGGTGCGCTACACTCTCCTATCCTGTGACCTCAGCGTTCGGGCCAGCCTTTTTGACTTGAGCGGCTGGGCAGGCAGCTCCCTTCACTCGGTCAGTGTTGGGTGCAGTGTCAGTAATCGCTGCTGTCGTGTGCCGCTAGTCCAGCGAAGCACCTTCATACCGGCACTGGCGGCATGCCGCATACTGTTCGCTTTCTATCATCGGCGATCTAACACTGGTCGTGCATGACTGTTTTTGTATCAGTAAACTAATACAGTACTTGTGTCAAACCCAAAGTACATGGCTAGGCGCTTTTCTCTCAACTGCATGCACTTGCACTGGTGATCAAGTCTCATATTATCAGTTGGTGACCAGTGCACAGTGCGTAGTGCTCCAGAGAGAGAGAGAGAGAGAGAACACGACCTCAGATACTAGTACTGCACCCTGTTTTTGAGAGTGAGGATATGGGGAAACTGGTGAAGCATTGATTGATGAATCACCATGCTGTGGCACTTGCTTCAGTTGCCTGTCCTGTGGAGGGGCCACTGGTGACCTTTCAGACCTACATTGTACATTGTAATTTGTACTAAATAGTAGGCTAGGGACTGGTGCCGCATCATCTATCTAATAACTACTAATACTAGTAATACTTATCTTGTGCACAAGGCTAGACAATGGTGACATACATGTAATCATTGTACAGTTTAAAGACTATTAACCCTTTACCGTTTTAGGTATTTGTACAGCAAAAACCGACCGTCATTGTTCATGCCGTAACTTTTTTATTTTTCACTTTTATTATGTACAAAATGGGGTGATTCTGAAAGTAAAAACCCTCAGGAATGCGATGCAAAAACTTTCAAGTCCAGAAACTGAACAGAGATATCACTATTTAGCACTAATAATTATTTGAATTTATTGCCGACCGGGCAAACTGTTGCAATATGCAATAAATCAGATCCTTGCACTGGAGTGGCTCCCTCAGGTAAGTGGATACCAGGTTCGTTCTCTGGGTGGAATGCAGGAGTGTTACCAGTCACAGCGGTGTCAGCATTGTCCCAAGTATTGCAAATATCGACTAGTGCAGGTTGCACCGCTGGCTGTACACAGTACCTGTGCACCACGACCTCTACCGTGACGACGGCCTATTCCACGGCCGAATCCTCTCTCTCTGCCACGTCCCCTTCCACCATTAGTGGCACTGTCGTCGTCTGTGACATCCATGTCACTCTCACTGGCGCTGCTTTCACTCGCCATGTCATCGTCGCGGTCGTCGTCAGAATAAATATTTTCAACAGGATTGTCTGGCTCCACAAACTCATCTTCGCTGGATGAGGCAGCAACAGAGTCGTCAGGAAGGGTCTCCAGAAGCGAAAGAGCTTGCTCCGCGTCCATGGCTTGCACAGCAGGGCAGACAGTCGTGAGGCCAGCTCAAGCAAAAGTCGAAATAATCTGCAGGCAATACCAAAAGTCGCAGGGTACGCACTTTTCCCAAAGCGCATTTTTCAAGTCGCGATTTTCGCGATTTTTTATATTGCATCACACAAAAAAATTGTCGGCACCCTCTGCGCGTACATCTTGGCTACCAGTAGGGAAAATCCCAGCTCCCTGCGGTGAACCAGTCCAGCGCTGTGCGCATAGAAGTCATCGACCGCGAGCGGTCGAAATTTGTACGTACAAACGGTAAAGGGTTAAAGGTAACAATAACATTAATAATTTTGTTATGAGTACTAGTCTGAGTAGAGACTCAGTGAAGTCACTAAATTTTTTGTCTAATGACTATTGTAGTACTAGTAGTAGGCTGTGTTTACTGGCAGGTTTCCACTGCACTGGCCAGATTGCAGTCAGTGGGAGTCTGTAGCCTAAGTGTAGGCTGCAAATGACTACAATCATACTTCTACTGTACTAGTAGTGTAGTATAGTAGTGTTGTGTAAGCCTGCATGGTTGTGCTGGTCATGCATGGCTACCTGTACAATCTGCAGTTGACAGGCATCATGTACTAAGAAGTGTGTACATCATTGTGCCATTAGTGCCATTACAGCATTGTAGTGAGCTTTGCTCAGTGGCTTACATCATCCTGCTCTGCCCCCTTTTTTATTTAAATTATTTTTATTTGTCAAGGCAAGAATACATGTAGCTAGCTAGAATATAAAAGATATTAGATAATCCAATACTAGTGCAGTACTAGTATTAGATCAACCTTGATAGTTCACACTTATTTAATGAAGTAGTAGTAGTAGTAATGTGTATTCCCCGGTTTGCATTGAACAACAGTTGGAACGTATCCATGCAAAAAAAGCTTCATTCCCAGTGGAGCCCCCCCCCCCCCTCCAAAGGGGAGCGAAAACAATCCCGTCATTCCTATCAACTTGTCCCGCAGCCTGGAAGTGGATGCGTAGTTAGGCTATAGTGATAACTATTACAATCATGTACATGTTTCTGTACTTTTACAGTACTGTTTATTTGGTTTGAACAAAAAAGCCACTGGCTATCATAGCGTCCCATGATGCGCAAGGCGAAATCCAAGTCAGCAACAAGCATCTGTGTACCACTGTTGAAGAATCATGTCGTGCAGGTAGCACCTGTCCCCTGGAGGTGGATGTTCCTGACCTAGATTCTAGACCTTGCACTGGGCTTGCAGTACAGTGCTGGCACTGGCCTGGCACTCGCCTGGCAGTAATCTTTTCAGCAAGAGGCCATTCTCAGGAGTGTCTCAAGGTCACATGGAGCCTTTTTTGATTGGAGGGGCTGGCATGTATGATGTACATGTATGCTCTGGTTTGGTGACAAGGGTATGTGGTGTGGGTGATGAGACATCTTGTTGGAAAGCTGCAGAATGTTGTTCTAGGATGAGCATGATGAGCAGCTGTACTCGTGTTACCTGGAGTGGGTGTGGATGTGCAACAGGCTGTTCCAAGTAATTCTCATTTTTGTACCCCCTGCTTGTGTATTGTGACATGACATGTCATGATGTGGGTGGTCAACCTGTAGGCTTTACAATACTGTGCTGGATATCTGTGTGCATTTCTAGACAGCAGCTAGCTCTTGCCTTGGTGCCTGCTCACCCGGGCAGTAGCCTGGTTGTCTTTTATTTTCATTTTCAAACATCCAATCCGGATATCCAGGTTGTTCTCCATACGGACCATAGTGATGCCATGGAGTGTATCTACCATGGTCCACTATGATTACAGCTGTGGTATGCGTAGCAGTAACAATGGTAACAGTACTGGTAGTACTAGTACATCTCCAGGTACCATGTATTGTACTCCTAGATCCTAGTCCTATAGTACAGGTGTACTACTATGAGAAATGACCATGTAGGTTAGAAATCATTAGCATGCCAGTCACGGTGGATGATGTCTGTTGCCCTGCTTGCTTTGCTCCTGTGGATTGTGCTCTTCTACGCTGGGTCCTTTCTACACCAGGCACTATGCTCTGTGTATGCTAGAAAAGGAGAGAGAGAGAGAGAGAGAGAGAGAGAGAGAGAGAGAGAGAGAGAGAGAGAGAGAGAGAGAGAGAGAGAGAGAGGAGAGAGAGCACAGAAAGTAACAACGAAAAGCAAAGAGATCATTGCAGCTGTTGTCAGTAGTACTGGTGGAGTATCCTTTGGGTATTGATGTCAAGATCTATGTGACATGTGGAAAGGAGGAAGTAGATTGGCTATTGTGAAGTCAAGTAGTCAATTAGAACTGCTCCTGGCCTGGTGACCCTGTGTAGTACTATGGCTTCCTTTTCGGCATGTTTTTTGTGTGCCTTCTGTTCATGTATACAGTGGTGTGCTGTAGTTGCGGATAGGAGAGCAGCCACATTTTGTCTTTAGTAACCAAGTTAGTTCAGGGACATCGTTCTTCAGACTGGTGCAGTTTACAGTGGGTGTACACGTAAATGTAGGCCCAATACTCACTGGTATCAGTGCTACTTGCTGAGTTTAGGAGAGACCGTTCCTTGGACGTGTGAAGTACAGTGCTTTGGCGACGGTGCTGGGTGTAGATTTGTACAGCTGCGGTGACAGGTCTTGTGTTCTGGACTTTGTATGGTTCCCTCATCAGTTGGCAGAAATCTCTGGAGTCCAGGATGTACACATTGTGGCAGAATATGAAGAAAAAAACACGTTTATTATCTGTTTCAGCCTCGTGTCGTTTTTGTGTGAAAGCGAAACAGATTCGCCGACTAATCTGTGGGTGGTATCGCATGGGTTACATTGATATTGTCCTCATCTTCTTTTCTCTCATTCTCATCTTTTGTATCCCTGTTGGTTTCTGGTATCGGAGGATTTTAATTATTTTTATTCCCTCTCCCAATACACTCTGTATGGAATGCTTGGGGCTGACCGTAGATTCAGCATAAGTGGCTCTTTCCTCACTTGCCCTTCCCTCTCCTGTCTTTTCAACAGTTGGCCTGTTTTGAGTGAAAGTGCTGATTACTGGTGCATGGGTAGGCGAAGAATGCGTGTCCCAGTCTCACCTAACTGGCTGGCTAGCCTAATGTCTCACTCTGTATTGGTGGTGTATTGCACCGGCCACACTAGCACCGTATGCCTGAATTGGCCTGTAATGCAGCCAACAAAGAAGTGATCAACCGGTGCACGGTCAGCTTCTGGTCAATTGCTTGGACAAGGAATTCAGAGTGTTCTGGAGAGTTGATGAATACACATAATTTACTGCATGCACTACTCTGTGGAAACATTGCAATTGTGTCAGTGCTATTCTAGCCCCATTTCTAACTACTTGCTCAAGTTACCAGTGTTATCATCATGAGCTGTTAAAAGCCTCCTTGACATCCTGAAGCCTGGGTGTGAAGTTGCTGAAATGAATGTTGTTCTTCCTGTGCTGCACCTGCCAGCCTTTATTTCTTCAATTTTCCAGCATCAAAAAACCTTACGTTTCTATTCAATTTATTTTCGCAGTTCTTCGAGAGGTGGAATTATTAGTATTATTTGAAATGGGAATGGGATAAACTTCAAATTCAGCATAAACAATCAGGGGAAGCAAACTGCCCGAATACCTAGGGCAAAATGCCAATCCCACCAGGACTCAAACATGGGACCTTGCTTGGGACCTTGCTTATCATGACCAATGCTCTAGCCATCTGAAGCCAAACCTAAAAGGCGCTGACAAGTTTTTTCGCTCCAAAACTCGGATCCGAACGATTGTTTGTACATCACTCCTCAGGAATCATCATTGTACAAATTATGAACTCTTTTTAGAAAACTCTTTCTTTATTGTTATTCTCACGATTGCATTTTCTTTCCTTTTTTTGTTTTTGCACGTTGTCTCCCATTATGATTTAATTTTTGAACAGAGTGGGGTCGGTATGTGTGTGCTTCATTCCTGCTTGGGTTCATTTGGTCCTTTCTTCTGTGCCTGCCCAGATCCCCTAAGTCAACTACTGTGTTCTCCGGACATCTACCGGTCAGAGGTGATACAAATAACCAGTGCGGATTACAAGACCATCCCCAAGCAGCACCTTCGGTTAGTACTGCTAACCTAAATTTAAAGGGAACAAGGACCCAGAAACTACAGGTTACGCTATGCTGTCCATTAACACAATAAGTAAATACATACTGTGTATTAAATGCAGCACTGTACAGGTTTGGCATGTGACAGTGTTTGAAGGTTGCTAAGAGACCAGTCTACAGCCATGTATCATTCAGCAGTGGTGTATTAGTTTCTCCCACTTGTTCACACGCTGGCTTAAGCTCCAGGCCCTCCTCTTGCTGCTCCTGACTCCATTGTGATGTGTGTGTGTGTGTGTGTGTGTGTGTGTGTGTGTGTGTACGTGTATGTGTGTGCGTGTATGCGTGCGTGTATGTGTGCAGTGGAAAGGTGACTGTGAAACAGATATCCGACATCGGTGACAGCGACGCCCTATCGGCGTATGTCCAGGAGGAGCACCATTACTATCACGTCATGAACATGCAGCAGCATAACGGGTAAGCCACTCTTGTCGCCAGCTAGTTGTTCCAGATTCAAGGCCCTGTTGTTTTCTTTCGAGACCTGAAGTGTTGGGGATGGAGATATTAGCTTCTTGCAAGTGCCTGTGGGATGTTGCAAACATGAGTGAGATGATTTTAAAGAATTTGACCACTCTGCTTCATTCGTGCTGGCATTGTTGTGCTTATTGTATTGTTCTGCTCTCGTCTTCTTTGCAGGTTGACATTCCCCAATGATCCTGACAAACACCCGTCAGTAATTCTCGAAGTAAGTCAGCTGATGATTGCTTTGATCCAACTACTGCTATTTATACTAGTGGAAAGTGCACTAGAAATGCACTGTGTTGTCTTTTTCACTGAGAGATATGTTCTTGAATCCTTTTTTCCTGACAACACGCGTGTCTGAATGTGACTGTGTATGGTGTTGATCTTCAGGATGAGCTGCCAATGTGCAGAGATGGAGTTTGCGAGGATGAGGAAGGTGCTCAGCTGGTAGGTGTACTAGTAGAAGACGATCTGTTTCTGGTGTTGTGTCTGCTTGGAGTGGCCAGGAGTCTTGTTTCACAGGTTTTTGTTCGTTGTGTTCCTACCAACGGCTTTTTGTGCTTGTGTAATGTTCTTCGTCGTAACATGGGCGTAGGAACCGGTCCGGCAGGCCCGGCGGTCGCCGGACCAATAATTTTCGAATTTTTTTATTTATTTTTACATTTCAACCTTGTTGATGGCTTGTCAACTCTTGTACAGGTACCATGTTTTACATCGACAATGCGGTGTATCATCAGCATGCATATTCTTATTTCTCATATTATTCTGTAGCATTAAAATATGGCCTTTTAGGCCCAATTTTCCAAAAAAATCCCGGGGGAGGACCCCAGGACCCCCCTCTCACAATTTCGCCGCACCAATATTAAACTGCTTCATACGCCCCTGCGTAATAGTGATGCTTTCAATATTAACTGCCTGCAACTGTGCTTCATGCATCTGCCAGGTAGCATTAATTGGCATGATACTGTCATGACACGATGTCCTCTTTGTGAACCTTCTTGCTTTGTTTGCTTTGATAGGTATATAACGAGAAGGATATCAGCATAGGTGATGAGGGTCGGCTCTTGCAGTGTGTATTGTAAGTTACTCTCTGCTCTCTCTCTCTCTCTCTCTCTCTCTCTCTCTCTCTCTCTCTCTCTCTCTCTCTCTCTCTCTCTCTCTCTCTCTCTCTCTCTCTCTCTCTCTCTTCTCGCTCTTGCCCTTGTGAGCCTCGCGATACATATCGTTACTTTTCTGTTTGACATAAATTTCCTGAGAATTTTTGTACAGTCGACTCCTGATATAAGAAACACCATTGTTCAGGAGATCAGATCTTTATAGCGAAAGTTCTTGATAACAGAAATGCACTCACACTATACAAGCATCAAGTCATGACTGGCAAGTGGTCCATGACAGTATGAGTGCACTTGGTTTACATGCGGCCCTACAAGATTTGGTTCGTGATAAACGAAAACTGTTCGCTTTATGGGTCGATTTTGTATGGGCTCAGACAGGGACATGGATGTGGGTTCGCTATATCACGAAATTCGTTATGTGCGAGTTCGTTATAAGTGGAGTCGACTGTATATTCTCTTTCTTATGCCTTTGTCCAGTCCTAAGCTGGTTGAGCGCTTGGAGAAACTCAGTCCTGGAATTGAGAACTCCAAATCACCATGTAATCAACACCCAGCAACTTGCAAAGTGAAGGAAGAAGGCGAGGAGGATGTGAAAGTCGAAGGCTCTGCATGCAAGGATAGCGATCACCCGCACTTCAGTAATTGTCACGTGAGGACGAAAAGGAACGGTCTCCACTTCCCTCGATGTGAGCGTGTTGATAGCACCCTACTGATTGGCTTGCCGCATATTAAGTACCAGGACCAGGACACCGGTGCACGCTTGCAAGAAATGACGGCACTCGTCAGCACCGTAGGGATTGGCCATCGACCCGCGCACTCACCGCTGCCTGAACGCCTAGCTGATGTCACGAAAGGAAGTAGTTTGAGTGTAGCTTTTTCTGATCCAGCTGTCCAAGCTGTGTCAACTCAGGCTGTTGCCTCATCACTTGGCCAGCAGGGCGTATCGGCTTTTGTTCCCGTAGAACGGAAACACGAAGCTGCTATCAATGTGCAAGCGGGACAGGCGGAATGCAGTAAAATGAGCCCAGAACGTGCGCTGCCGTTCAGCCCATCGGATGGAGAAGAAGACGGTGAGCTGGCTGACGAGGACTCATCGACTGGCGCTCTCGACTCGACGCCAAGTAATAGCAGCCCAGTGTGGGATGATGGGGCGGACGGATGCCATAATGATGACATACTTGCAGCAGTCGGTATACAGGATCGACGTCCCTCAGGCAGCTTATTGTCCAGCATCCGTGCACCACAGCAGCAGCACAACATGGATTCACGGCCTTCGTCCACCGAAGCTCTGCCAACGCAGGAAGAGCTTACAGCATTAACACCAGTACCGACTGCAGTCTCGCCGGCGCAGTTCGCTGCCAACTCACCGACGGCACGTCAGTCTCCCGATCCGGACGTCAACACAGTAGCAGCCGATGAAGAACCACCAGCAGCGTCCGCGCTGAAAGCTGCAAAGACGAGGAAGGGCCGGCCAGTGAAGAGAGGTCGTCCCAAGAAAGAAATGGCGAATGTAGACTGGGTAGCAATGTTCACGGGGCAAGTGAAAAAAGTCTCACAAGATATCTCACAGCTGATGTCTCCATCTCCAAGCGTGGTAAGAGCTTTGTGGCTTTGGCTGAGCTTCCTTTCCTATTGCACCTTGTCTTTACCCACTTACCGCTGGTGTGATGAGCCCATAACTTCAGTGGGATCATTTCCAAGTCCACCCATAGTTTGGGAATTTATTTCCGGGGGTGTGGGTCGTTGGGCGGTTCAATAGCCCATTGCGTTATCTTTCCCAAGATTCCTTTTGAATCTCTCTCCCCTCTCCCGGGAAGACCCACACCCACGTCAACGCCCACGTGACCAGTTTTGGCAGTGAGCAACTATAACCCCCCCCCCCCTACTATTTTGACCTGGCTAGAACCCTGGTACCAACCAACCTAACTTAGTATCTAGCTGGCACACACACACACGCATACACTTACACATCTCATCTACTCACTGCCAAAGCTGGTCGCACTGTGTCTCCCTGTGAGAGGGTACACACACACACACACACACACACACACACACACGCACACACGCACGCACACACATACGCGCACGCACACACACACACACACACACACACACACACACACACACACACACACACACTCAGAAACACACGCAAGCACACACACACACACACACTCTCTCTCTCTCTCTCTCTCTCTCTCTCTCTCTCTCCTATCAGTTGCTGTGAACAACTTGAGTGGAGAGCGCTTGCTCGAGCGTTGAACCGGGTTCTTAATCCACCATACCCAGTTCGCAAGGCTGGGCGGGGTTGTGAGCAGGCTTTCATTTCATCTTTTCTTATTATTTCTTATTATTTCTGCTTTTCATCTCATTACAAAAATTCTGCGCATTTTTTCTCCATCTGCGCATAAAATCTAGACTGACAACCTGCTTGTTAAATCATGCATCTGCTTTCAGGCGTAAAAACCCTGTTGTAGAGGTCTCAGTCCTCATTTTTTAGACTTACCTGTCTTTATAAATGTAACTTACTCTCTCTCTCTCTGATGTGCTGGCATCATTTTTATTCCATGTGCTTCTTCTCCATTGCTACACCATTCTTTCAGCTGGCGACGGAGCAGTGTGATGATAAGCGTGACAAGCATGAACCAGGTGTTCTTATGAGAATGTTACTTCCTGATCGCTGGATTCAGGTTATCCACGATAAGGTATGCGTATGATAGCAACCGTTGCTTCTCCTTTATGAATTTCTTTACTTGGCTTGAATATGATGTTTTACTTCCTCCGGGAAAAAACTTCGTGACTTCAATCGACCTCTCAGTTCTGGTGAATTGAGCTCTGCTTCGTTTGGTCTCCGTTCTGCTCTGCAATCATTTTTCTATGCATCTGTGTGTGTGTGTGTGTGTGTGTGTGTGTGTGTGTGTGTGTGTGTGTGTGTGTGTGTGTGTGTGTGTGTGTGTGTGTGTGTGTGTGTGTGTATGTGTGTGTGTTTCTTCGTCTAGCTTCATGAAAACAAGTACAATATCGACCAGACCATTAAGGCGCTAGAGGGAACAACATTTCCTGCCATTTCCTTGGCCGAACTGTTCAGCGATCAACACCGGGTATGTGTGTACTTTCATCCTGCACCTGTTGCTCTACATGTAGTGGTGTTGTCATGTTATGCTGTTCTGCTGTTATGCTATGGACCTGGATCATTATTGTCATGCCTGGTTTGTTGTTGTCGTTGTTGTTGTTGTTGTTTGAAATATTTTATTCTCACGATGGCCTGTGGCCAATAAGAGAAAAATAATTACAGGCACTTTTTTTGTTGTTGTTGTTGTTGTTGTTGTTGTTGTTGTTGTTGTTGTTGTTGTTGTTGTTGTTGTTGTTGTTGTTGTTGTTTCTTCCTCATCCTGTTGCTCTCTTAGCGTGGATTCCTAGCATTCCTAAACGCATGTGTTGTTTCTTCACTTTGTTGCTCTCTTAGCGTGGATTCTTAACGTGCCTGAGCGCATATGGGAAAGACCCGAATCAGCTGGCCATTGCCACTGAATCTTCGCGGGTAAGCTATCTTGCTCCTGAAAATGGATCACTGGGAATGGCTTAAAATCAAAACATAGCGAAAAATCTATGACTGCTTGATGCGGGAAAATAACACTCCCCGATACATGTACCTGTTTGTCTATGGTAGTACTAAAAATAGATCAGTTTTGTTGAGTGAAGAGGGTCCACGTTTCTATGGCTCTTGCTGACAGTCGCAGTGTGTTTGCTCTACTGCCTATGTCGTCTGCACTGTTGCCTGCAGGAGAAGTGCATGGACTACTACTACATGTGGAAGCGCAGCCCCGAAGCGCGAGCAGCCAAGCAAACCAAGGACTGGAGCAACAGGAAAAGAAGCAATGACCAAGCGCACACAGCACCGACACGCTTGCGAGCTGCTCGCAATGAGACAACATGTGAGTTAGTGGGAATGCCTGGCCATGAAACATCATCATCAGAACTTCATTGCTATGCTGTGTACCGTGAACCCTCATTCACCGTTGTACTGATTACGTTAACATCCTTATTCTTGTAGTCTGTCAAGTGGCGGTCACAACATCCCCCGCTTTATCTCGCTGCAAACAGTTCTGCCTTGTCTTCAAGTCCATCTCCTCTCACCATCAGTTTACGCCTCAAACCCAGTCGATTGGTAGCGCTTTCTTGCCTGATGGTACCCATCCGCGCGCACGTATGGCGCATAGTTGACAACGACGCCCGGCTCCCTGGATTGCAAGTCGAGTTTCGTCCCTCTTGGCGGACTCGTCAGGAAGTCTAGGGCGGCCATCTTCTGGCTGAGTGTGTGGAACTGAATGTTGGTTTGAGCTCACACATATATTTGTGTATAGCTCCATGCATGCACTGTGCACCAGCCTGCCAAGCAAGATATCGCCACCCATCGATTATGCGTGAGCCGGTAACCAATGGTGATGGGAAGAGATCTGAATGTTGTTGTCGTTGTGCCGCATTCTCTTTGCACAGATGGTGCATCAATGCGGACTGGTGCCATTCGAGTTGAGGATGTGAAAACCCGCAGTCAGTCCGGTGTAAGTTTATAACGGCCTGGCTGCTATAGCTGCTCTTTCTGTCTTGCTCAGGACCAGGGTGGGTCGTAATACAGCAGTTCGCTGTCTATCTCTCTCCCTCCCTCTCCCTCTCTCTCTCTCTCTCTCTCTCTCTCTCTCTCTCTCTCTCTCTCTCTCTCTCTCTCTCTCTCTCTCTCTCTCTCTCTCTCTCTCTCTCTCTCTCTCTCTCTCTACCTCTCTCTCTGTTCCTCGGATGAGGGTGGGTTGTAAAACAGCAGCTACTTCCGATAGAAGTCTAAGCCGGTAGTAGGATAGGACTTGTACCCAGACTGGTATCTTGTAGATTGCGTGTTGTGAGTTTCAACTGTTGGTTTGCAAGGGGAAGCTTCTTGCATGAAGAATGGTTATTGACGGCAGTCACCAGGAATCCGTATCGTGCTCTAAATACATACTATCGTTTGTGCGTTTCCCTGTTTTAGCATCCACCACGTACGCGTCATCAAATTGAGGCGGTGAAAGGTAACCAATGCCGCATATTCTGTAGCTTTCTCTGCTATTCCTTTGGTGCGAATTTGATTGTAAAACTATTTTAAAGGATTTGCATTTTCTCCCTTCAACACATCACCATCATGATTACGGTTTGTGACGCTGAAAATGCATTTCCTATTTTCTTTCCTCCTGCCCCTTCTGTAGGCTTGAAGTTCTGTTGCTTCCTGAAATGTGGGACTTGAATGTGCTCTGTTTCACCTTGTCATAAAGTTCTCTCTCTGTGTGTATATTTTGGGCTTTTGTTCAAGTATTCTTTTTACTATGCTGTTTGCCTGCGTAGATGAGAAGCCATTGAAGAAGCAGTCACGCGGTGTGAAGAGGCCACACTCACCTGCCATCACCGCCGTCAGCAAGAAGGTATGGCACTGTGTGTACTACTGTATGCACTGTGTTGCACTGCTGGCATTGTTGGAAGTGTCAAGTCTTCATGTGTCCTATTGCCTAACCGTCACTAGTACTCTGCCGCCTCTGATAGAACTACTGCTCCTTCTTTGAACTACTGCTCCTTCCAGTGGCCCTGAATTTGCTCTTTATTTTCAGTTCTTCTACTCTTTGTTTGCCATTCAGTGATGTAATTCTAACTGAAGATCATCACAAGAAAACGTTCTCAGAACAAACAGAACCGTTCCTGATGTCGTGTGTATACACTAGTATATCCACTGATGACTGCACTCAATGTATTGTTCATACCTGTTCTGAAATTTGTGTCTCCTCGTCGACTTTTGACATTGCTTTTGCTTTCGTTGGGAATTGTTCCTGCAGCTGGGTATGTTGGCATTCATTTTGCGATGGAGATATAGTGTGCTGCTGTTGATGATAATGGTTACTGGTATTGTGTCTGTCTGTCTGTCTCTGTGTGTGTATGTATGTGCGTATGTGTGTGTGTGTTTTTGTGTATGCGTGAATTTTCCAGGAGAAGGTGGTTGTGGCGAATGGCCGTGCTCAACAGAAGCGCAAGCACCCAGCTACAATAGCTTCCTCCGGTGCCACGGCCAGCAAAAAGAAGAAGGTGAGCCAGCGGGGGCAATACATGTACATGGCTGTAAGGCTGAAAGGACCAAAAAGTAGGGATTCACTAGCCAGAAAATCCACTGCAAATAGCTGTGTGGTGTAGACCAGGCTGAATAGCGGCGATCAACTCTTCAGCCTTACCAGCTGTTGAATGGTGCAATCCCAGCACAAGTTATTTGCTATGGCTTTTGCTGTAGCATCGGATATGTGTTATAGGTCAACGGCCAAAGGTGTGTGCGTACGTACGTGTGTGTGTGTACGTATGTATGTGTGTACGTATGTATGTGTGTGTGCATATGTGTGTGTATGTGTATGTGTGCGTGTGTGCGCATGTGTGTGCATATCTGTGTGTGTGCTCAGGTCGAAGACTCCTCGTCAGCTTGCTCGGTATCACCGGTAACTGCTGATCTAGCAGACGATCCCGATTATCCTGACCCTAGTGAGAGAGGTGCAGCAACGGCGGCGGCCAAGAAGCGACCTGCTGCTGCTGCACGTTCAAAACGAGCTAAGCAAGCACAGCCGGCAGCACAACAGCAACAGTCAATGCCACAGCAGCAGCAGCAACAACAACAGCATGAAGCTGCATCGCCAGAGCCGCAAGCAACGGCTGAAGAAGCAGACGACTCGCCACCTTCTCCCCTACTAGATACTGCATCGCAAGGTGTAGCTAGCGAGAGCGGCAGTTCTGAGCGGAACCTTGAACCAAAATATGAACAATTCGGCTTTAGCGCCCTCTTTCTTGAAGCAATTGTTCTGGAACCGGTTAGTGCTTTTTACAATACCCGCGTCGAAATTCCTCTGTTTGCGTTCATGCATGTATCGTCCTTGTACATGTAGTTTTGTTTCTAGTAGATACACAGTCTCTATAGCAAGTGTCTTCTCCCGTAGAGGGGCATGTACACGGTGTACATGTGTATGAGGGGCTTTAAACGAATAGATGAGCAATCCCTGCTGAAGGTGCAGTACACATACTGGAATGCATTGGCTGGGAATGTGTTTAGTCGTATCCTCATGCATCATATAAACTTTTATGATAACCGATAAAATGGACCGGGGAATCCAAATTTAGAGTTGGCTGGTCATTAGCGGGGACAAAAGTAAGCGCTTGGTCTCTATTGAATACCAACGCAAGAACAAGATGAGGAAATCAACTCTTTGGGGTTGTAGTGGAGAATGCTTGTGTTTTGAAAAGGTACATCTAGGAACTGGAGTGAATGTTGTCTGGTTTACATTCTGCTGTACATGGCTTGTAAGCGCATACCATGCTGTGCCTGAGATACTGCATTTGGGGATGAGCCCGGCACATTGTTATCTGCATGCAACTATGCGTTGTCCCGTGTCCATTGAAACAACGTGTGAAGTGGCGCAATTAACTCTTCCAGAGACGAGCAGCTCCTAGCCTCGATTGTGACAGCTTGGCAAGCATGATGGGCTACTCAAGTTTGCAGGGCTTTGCTGGTGGGATTCTCGAGGGCACGCAGTAAAAACTGCAACTCGGGCAGTCATGGAAACTGGGATGGTTGCTGTTGCAGGAAGAAATTGCATGCGCTTGGAGCACGGTGGCTGCTCTCCAGCGCTGGAGATCGGTGGTCTGCGTAATGGTCCACCACAGTTTCTTCGTCTTGCGCAGACTTCTCCGGCAAGCCTAAGATTGTGTGTGGATCACTTGTAAATCTGAAAATAGGATCCGAAAGTATGCGCATTTTTCCTGTGGCTCTCAAAGGTTAAACAGTTCCTCTGGTCTGTGGTGTGGTTTGAATGTGCAGGATGGCCGTCGAGCTGGCTCTCAATGTGCAAGAACATATTTGGCTTTCCATCGGAAGATACCGAAGTGTGACCGGGTCGGCGGCCATGGCGGTGCCAACGTTTTGGCAATGCCGCAGCTCACTGGCTCTTCTGCGGCACCGGAGCAAGGAGAGTTCAGAGTGGCGGTGCCAGTGGCGGAGCGAGTAAGTGTGGAGTAGTTGTGGAGCAGCTGTGTGCAATGCATGCCATGTAGTGTCAACCCTTGCAAGGACTGCTGTGGTGTTGCTAACGAAATGTGAACAATGCTGTCCTGCGGGGCGGCTGTAGTTAATGGCCTCTGCTTCTCATAACAATCTTGCTCGCACTTTACCTCCTTTTGTAGGTAATTGTTCCTCCCTTGTTGTTGATTGTATGTTTGTGCCGTGCTCTATGCTTGCAGGCGTCTTCCCATCCGACATTGGTAGCCGGAGTGGCCGGCGGTCAACCTACATATCACCACCACTCACCTTCAGCTCGTACCGGTGGTCCAGCAGCAGTATCTGCTGTGCCCGCTGGTCTTCATGGCATGGCTGGTATGCAGCAAGTACCGGTGACTACGGTTGCCACCTCTGATGCCAACAGTCTTGTCATGCTGGCAGCAGCACAGACGGGAAGTGCGCCAGTCAACAACGTATCCCCTGATCTTGCTGCGCGCCATCACGCCAACAACTTGCCACCCGTCATCCAGCCCCATGCCATCCGCGGTGCACCACAAGGCTACTACATTCCTCAGCAGATGATGACCGTGGAGCAGGCGGCTGCTGCTGCCGCTGCTGCAACTGGTGCGGTGACTTCATCCGGGGAGCACCTGATAGCGACAAGCATCCAGCCTGGCGGCTACCCAGCCAGCGCGTATGCACCTGGACAGCCTGTCATGGTATCCATGTATGGAGACACACCTGCTTACGGAGGACACCCGCAGCAGCAGCAGCAACAACACCAGCACCACCAGCAGCAGCAACAACACCAGCAGCAGCAACAGCAACAACAGCAACAACAGCAACAACAACAACAGCAACAGCAACAGCAGCAGCAGCAACAACAGCAGCAGCAGCAGCAACAACAGCAGCAGCAGCAACAACAACAGCAACAGCAACAGCACCAGCATCATCCGAATGATGTGTCGAACCCGAATGCTCCCGCTGCAAATCAGCAACAGCAGCTGCAGCTGCCAGCAGCAGCATTGGCGCACCAGCAGCAGCAGCATAGAACATCCCCATCCCAAGTAGTCCAGTCCCAAGCTCCACACAACTCCAGATCACGGCAACGGACGAGCAGCAATGGCAATCACAAAACCAGTGCTACTGCTGCCACTGCTCAGTCCAGTGCTACAGCGCTAGCTGTTCCAAACCAGCCAGCATCTCATGCGCCGTCGCACCAGCCACGACGCTCTCCATCTCGCCAGTTGTCTCCTGCTGCTGCGTCGGCACACGTGCCTGCGGCACAAACGTACACTCAACACCCCATATCAGGGATGGCAGTTTCTGCTTCTGCAGCGGCACAGCATCAAACGATGACTGTACAGCAGCAGCAGCAGCAGCAGCAGCAGCAAGCACAGCAACAGCATGCTGTTCCTGTGCATGTAGCCACCGGTGCAGGTGGTCATATGGCTGTACAGGTAGCGCCACACGTCTATCAACAGTACCAGCAGGCATATAATCCCCGCGAGCATGCTCCCGCTATGCAGCAGCCGCAGCAATCTGTTGCTGTTGTGTCCACTCATACCCATGAGCAGCAGCAGCAGCAGCAGCAACAAGCTCATCAAGCGCGCCAGCAGCAACAGACACCTCAGCAACCTGTGCAAGCTCAGCATCCACCGAGACAGAGACAGCAGCCGCAGCAGCAGCAGCAACAGTTGCAGCAGGCTGAGCAACAACAATATCATCGAAGAGGAGCTGAGGAGACAAACCACTCCAGTACTAATGCTCAACACCACTCACTTACACAGGCACAGCAGCAACCACAACAACAACAGCTGCACAATCATCAGGAGGCTCCCGCCCATCACCATCAGCAGCAGCACCAGCAGCACCAGCAGCAACAGCAGCAGCAGCAACAACAGCAGCAGCAGCAGCAGCAGCAACAACAGCAGCAGCAACAGCAGCACCAGCAGCAACATGTAATTGCTATGCCACAACAAATGGTACTACCAGCTGCTGCTGCAACTGCTGCAGGAATGCCAGCTGGTGTGCAGTACCTTGCTCCTCGTTCAGACATGTCTGCTGCTGCTGGAGCAGCAGGGGCAGCACAGCCACAAGCTGTGCAAATGATTCCCATAGCTGGCCCTGGCGGTCAGGTTCAAATGCAGGTCTTGCCTCATTTTGCTGCCACAGTGCCTGCTGGACATGCCCAGTTTGTTATGCAAGCCGCACAGCCCTTTCCACAAGTCCAGTACACTCAGGGCAGACATCCTGGTATGCAGCAGCAGCAGCAGCCCGTCTATCTTCCAGGCCAGGCCAATCCTGCAGTGTATTTTATTCAATCATCGTAATATGCTGCATGTTGAAGCAGCTTCCTGATGAGAAGAAGGACTGCTCTGCCAACTTTGAGAGGCCTTGTACATGCATGTGTGTCTCTTTTCACCTCCCCCCCCCCCCCCACACACACACACAATCTTCTTCTCCGATGGAGCCATAACTATAAAGCCATTCGTGTAGATATGGTATACATCCAGATCCCAACGCTGCTGGCTGATGCTGCTTACTGCTGATCTATCGTGGGCGGCAAGTGACTTATTCTTTGTCCGCTGTAGGCATGAGTACAGCAGACAGCATTCCTAGCAGACATGTTTGAAGTTGGGTAGACAGAAGGAAAACCCGTTCTGTTGTCTAAAGTCTATTTTTTCATTGCCTGAAAAAAATATGGCGAAATATTCTTCTATTGTTCTTGTCCTCCAGCACCAAAACAGCCACTGGATTCATTTAGGTACTTGTTTTCTCTCTTTCTTTTCTTACGCATTGTTCCCATTGATCTGAGAGAACATCGCAAATCTCCTGTAACCAAACCCCTGAACTTTTTTTTTATCGTCAAAGCTCGTACAGTAACCATCTATTTAATTGTCCTTGCGTTTGCAAACTATTGCGCACATACATGTCTCGATACACACTTTTGCCTCGGACCTTGCACTCCGAACCCCTTTGCTTTCTACTACCCTTGCCGCACATTCTTAGAGAACCGGTTTGAAACGGGAGAAATCGGATACGTCTAGAACGCCTAGCGGGACAATGCACCGCACACCTCGTCGTAGTGCTTGTCAACCCTGCTCTTAGCTTAGACTCCCGGTCAATTTCTGACCGTGGCGCTGTATATATTGTATGTAGCAGTTACTGTGTGTTTCGTCTCCGTTTGTTCATTGTTGCACTGTGCTGCTCTACTGTACTATAGGCCCTGCTTTTGTAAATATCTCTTCACTGTCGATTGACCCTGATCGTCGCTGCTGCTCCGCTGTAGTGCTTTGCATGGTAGCTGTAGATCTAGCTGACGCTGCTCTACTAGAACTTTCTATTGTAATATGCTGACTCAATGTTATGTTGACTCTTGATTCTTCTGATGTGAAAATGGCCCACAATTGTGCCGACGTCCATGATCTGGTTTGCTGGGCTATGTTCAAATTGTCAACCCTCGTGTTTTGTTTCGTACACTCTGTATCTCTTGATTTTTCGAACTCCTTGCAGCAGCTCTATTGCTTTTGATTTCTTGCTTTATTATTAACATGACCTTGGAATTATATCAACCAACGCCTGTTGTGTGTGTGTGGGGGGGGGGGGGGGTTCGCAGAAGTGGCGACCGCAAACATCATCAGAATTTCTGCCTGGCTCAATAAGCCTATCATCACCTTCGGCAATGGGGCGTCACAACTTACAAGTTATGTGTGTGTGTGTGTGTGTGTGTGTGTGGTGTGCGCGTGCAACTGTGGAGCCAGCAGGACTGGTGCACTGCCACTGGCAGTCTTTTGTATATGTAGTTGGGTCATCACTTGCACCGCCATCCCACTCATATTATACATTATCATATCCGCACATTCACACTGGCGAATGAAACTGGAAATGTGTTTTGTGAATATAAAGCAAACACAGACCCAACCCAGTGTGGTCAGAGTACGTCTCAGCCTTTTATATTATTATTGTACAAGTCATGAACAAGTGCTGTGCTGCAGGTATTACAGTGGCGGGCTATCCAGCTTTGAAGCAGTAATTTTGCGTTCAGTGTTTATAATATCAGGCCTGTTGAATTACATTTTTGCCATGATGTATGATGACAGTATCGCGAGTCTGGGTGATACGCATACCCGCCACATGCAAGACACGCACACACTACCGGTATAGTTTAACATGTTTTTCGATTTTGACAGCATGTTACCGGGACTCTGCCAACCGGGGTTGTAGTCAGGAGCACAACGCGTCCTCGCCTCGGTACTATAGTTGTAGTACACTGTAGCGGTATGCAGTCGTCAATTAGCTTGCAGTCTAATCCAGGACCTGGCCTGACACATGCAGACTGAGGCTACAAGTCAAATACCCCCTTATTCATTGCTCAAGAGATGGAAAGAAAAAGACACAGACCTTCTCAGCTCCCTCCCGTCTGTTTGCATGCACATGCAGACAAGGCAGTCCACTGGCCCGCTACTGTATTAGTCGGCTGAAAGTAGACTTGGAATTAGATAGAACTCCAGGAAAGCATTGGAGGTTGGAGGATAAACGAAGCGTGTGGCCAGCAATGCAGCACTGGATGTGCAGCAAACATGATTACGGGCAGCAGATATGGGTTCCCCCTGTGCAGCAAGTAGGCATTCTTTAAAAACATCAAAAACAGAGAGAAAGAGAAAGAGAGAGAGAAAGAGAGACGGAAAGAAAGATGACCTAGTTCCAGGCATTGAATTGTTCTACAAGCCTGTGTGAGACCAAAAACCAACGAGGCTGTCTATTGAGGAAAACTAAAAGAAGAGCTAAGGACAAAGAACATTGTGTACTTTCATTTCAGTGACCTACTAAGTATAAATAAGGGATGCCTACTTCTTATCGAAGTATTGCTTTGCAAACTGGACGCCCTTCTCAATATCCTTGATGAGCTGCGGCTTGACTTCCTCTTCTAGAAGCTTGCTCTCAAACTCATTCAAGACAACATCCTTGGTGGGCAGCTCAAACTGACCAGGGCTCAAGATCAATGGCAGAGCAAAGTAAGGCATGCCAAACTGATTCTGAGAGGGCATTGGTGCATAGCCGCATGCCCGGACCGTGGCTGGCGAGCTGTCGATAGAGCGAGTGACGTTCTTGACGAAGCGAGCACCAGCGTACGCCATGGAGAGCGTGGCAGAGCCAGCGCCAGCCTTGGCCTCCACCACCTCGGTACCGGCATTCTGGATGCGTACAGTCAGTTCCTTCACCTTCTCCTGTGAGTAGTGCAGTATACATACACGGCGCGCGCACACAAACACACACACACACACACACACACACACACACAGATGCCTATGAAGATACAAAATGTGTACCTCATTTTTGAAGTATAGAAATATCAGTTACATTTGTACATGGTTAGAAAACACGCATTCTTCGTCACCTGAAAAACGTCATAAAGGGAAGCAGCCAGTGCAGCAGAAGTGCCCAACAACAGTGCAAATCTAGAAGCCCCATAAAAGACGTGCACAGTGCTGTGTTGTACTTGCATGCAACAAGAACCACAACGACGAGCTTCACTCGCTCTCTTTTACTCTCGCAGCAAACACCCAAATGTCTTATAGATGTGCATTTCTCAAGCTAGAGTGCAATGCAAAGCTGTTACCGTTGCCTAACTTACATCAGACAGGCCGTGCTCAATGGAGGACAACAGTGGCAAGATAGTTACACCGGAGTGGCCACCAATGACGGGAATGTCCAGCTCATGGGGAGCCTGGCCAATGGCCTCGCCAATAAAAGTGTTGGATCGAACAACATCGAGAGTGGTGACACCACAAACCTGATTGTTGAAAACATTCTTGCGTTGGTAAATCTGAGCAGGAAGGATGGAGAGACAAAATATTATGGCAAGTTCCTCATCGGCGTACATCGAATAACTTCGAACGTGCATGAAATAACAGCGGCCATCAGCCTTTTTTTCCGGTTGTTACATGAGTCGTATCAACAGTAGGATTGCTGTATTCCCATTCTAGTGGTCATCACCTCTCTTTCAGGTTGAGCTTGATCCACAACATGTCCTTACAGAAGTTCGCAATCTTATTGCAGCGACAAATTCCACAAATTCCTGACTAAAGCTGCAGATGTTGAAGTTTTTGCTATATTTAGTTACTACGAATAGCGAGAAGTTAAAAAGGTAAAGGAACTAATAAAGGGTGCTAGAAATGGAGATGGAGGAAGGAGAGAACACGCACGTGACACATCACATCATTGCCGCTGCCAAATTCGCGGGGAAAAAAGTAGAGCTTTCAGAACCAAAGATGGTCTGATTGCGCAAAAGAGGCTGTACGAGCACCAGCGGTAGCTACCAGGGAGGGAGAACTAAACTGTTTACTGATTTCAGTACTTCAAGTACTCCTGATAGTTACAGGCACCGAATGTTTCAATGTTCGTGGACAAAAATTATGGGAACTGCCTCGCAAGAGTGAAATTGCTTTTTTCCTTGTGCCATATGCATACCTTCACTGCCTTGTGCCATATGCATACCTTCACTGCAAATATACTGTTTACTAGTATGATCCGTGAAACTTGCGCAACTTTTGATATTTTTCCGCGAATTTCCACGGTACAGTACTCGCATAACACAAGCGTACTTATGCTACGAAGTCAACTGAGCCACGCAGAATTCAGTGCCACAATCATCAATGCTACAGCTGCACACAACCGACTAATCATTGTACACAGCGGTTGTACTAGCAACAGCAGCACGTACAGCAGAAGTACACATTAGATCGACATTACAATACATGACTTGTACTAACGTCAACAGCCAGCGGGACCATAGAGTTGACCGGGTTGGTGATCAGGCAGAGGACGGCGTTCGGGCACACCGTGCTGGCGGCGTTGGCCAGAGTGGCGACGATGGAGGCGTTTGTGTTGAACAGGTCATCGCGAGACATGCCTGGCTTGCGCGGCATGCCGGCGGGGACAACGACAATGTTGGCTCCCTCAAGGGCGCCAGCCAATTGGTCAGCTCCGAGATGGCTAGTTACCTGACGCAAGGCAAAAAGGACCAACTCAGCCTTTCATCACAATAAGAATGCACGGATATAGATGGATGCACCAATACCTAATTCTACAACAACCAGAGGCCAACATGGGTAGGTGTTATGTCACTACAGCGTCTTGTTTAAAATACGCGATCTAATAGGGCTTGAAAGTGCTACGTCACAGCATAGCAACAATTTCAAAAATTCAAAAACTGGATCCACTTGGATCCAGTTTTTGTATGGATTCAAGCACATTTCAAGCCGTCTTACTCACAGCAAGGTGATGTAGCCAGTGAAACTGACTGATTTGGCTACTGGGGGCGGGGTTACAACTGGTGGCGAAGTAAAAGTCACGACTGCATACGACATGAGTGGGTTGCTATGCACCCACACACTGAGGCAATAGCAAAGTCACACCTTAGTGGATCCAAAATAGAAATGTGATGTCAACTTACTACTCCCTGGCCGTTTTTGACGTCATCACTTTCAAGCCCTATAGCCAATAGTTCTCAACTAGCAGGAGCAGCACCGCATGCAAGAATACAATTGTGTGTACGGACTAAAAATACAGGCAAGTATTATACCTGGCACTACACCACACCCGCACGACACCCTGTCCGTCTCTTTCTCTCTCTCTCCGTCTCCGAAGTAAGCCACGAAAGCCGGGAGGTTCTGCTGATTGCAGTGCATGACCCTGGTTAATGCAAGTAATTACGTGTACTTCACACTAACCTCTCTACAAAGCCTTTGGCATGGCTTTTCACTACTTTGAGGCATGCTACTGTTGAAATGACTTGCTTTTTATTCCTCCTTCTCTCTTCAACCCAAAATCTTTCTTCTTCATGGTCTATCCACCACGGATCTTTCAATATTTCCTATGCTAGGTGTAGTTCTTGTGCGGGTTTTAAATCGTCCTGCACGGATGGCCGATGCGTGGTTTGTTATTATCATCCCCCTCATTTCTTTATGAGCTACAAAGTATTCATGTCTTGAGATGGAAAAATTGCACTTGATTTTTCAAAACTTTCTGTCCAAAAAGTGAAATGCACCTATTATGACCGCAGCCGGACTGGCGCGCAACAGAGGTGAGTACCATGAGGCATTAGAATAAAACCAACCTTGCAAGAAGTATCGATATGGCTGAGGTCAGCAGTGACACCGGGAGCATGAGCAACATCATACAAAGCCAGATGCTGAATGCCAACGAAGCTAGTTTTCAGCAAGAGTGACAGGGGCTGACCAATACCTCCAGCCGCTCCGAGAACCGCAACCTTGGTGTTCCTTGGAGCACTAGTAGACAGTTGGCGAGCAAGGCTCGGAACTCCGCGAACCATCTTTGCAGTGAACGCCATGGTGGAGAGAAACTTGAAGATGATCAGAAAAAGCGAGGTCAAATCTTTCTCCCTCAAATAATTTCGACCTTGAAAGCTTCCCCACCAACGATGAGTTGACCTGGTGACTGTGGTTGTGCAAGACTGATGATCTGATCGCCGCTACACCATGTACTGTGATGTAGACATACAGGCACGCTACTTTTTTTGTAGTGGCCGCGCCGTACCCCGTGGCCGAGGCATGTATGGCATATCCGGGATATATATGGGGGATATGCTGGCCCGGCATGCATGATCGATCTAGCGCTTGCGAAGCATGCATAGAACACGTGCCGTCCTCGAGCGCCTCGCGCCTCGGCCTCGGCCGCCGGCCTCACATTAATTTTTGCATTCAAAACGAATAAATTATTTTTGCAGTTCATGACTGATCGATTTGGACCATGTACCAGCGGATTACAATCTCATTTGCTTTTAGATCCACATTGTGCTCATCCTCCTGTCTCAAGCATTGTTTCCAACATAAGATTCCACTCGCAATGTTTTACCTGGTCGGATTGGGCCTGGCAGATGCCAAAGATATTACAGTCAAAGGGCTAGAAATCGTCAAGAACGCTGAGAAAGTCTACCTGGAAGCATATACGTCTATTCTCACGGTCGGGAAAGAAGCTCTGGTAGGCCACTGACCTTCTGCTAATTTCAATATTATTGATTTCGTGCTATTTTAAATTATTAAAATGATGATAGTAAACATACACGTGGAGAAGTGGGGAAATGCACGCCTGCCCACACAAGTGGGGGAAATGCACGCCTGCCCACACACACACGCTCTCTAGGCTGCAGAGTTACTTGCAAGCACCGTACATGTTCTATCCCAGTCCTTCATAGAGCGCAGACCTGCCAACCGCCATTCCTCTTGGGAAGGAAGATCTCTGCCCTGTTCAAGTTGTCTTGTCGGCAGGAAGGCTATAGGCAGTATAGGCCTTCAACATGTGGTGGTGAACATGAGCACAGTACTGCATGTGAACAGTGCTCGCAATTCCGCCAAGCAAGCACGACGACCGGATGGTTTGGCATCTTTTCCTGTACGGGTGTGTGTGTGTGTGTGTGCAGATGTACTCTAGTCACGTTTACGTAGTCTTATCAAGAGTACATGTACAAACAATGTATATACCACTCCCCAGGAGTGTGCAACTCTGCATGGGTTTGCTAGGGGGAGGGGCTGCCGACGGCGAAACTCACGTCACGTGGTGTACAGTGCGTATCGCCTATAAGGTTGGCGGCTATAGTGATCAACTTCTCAAATTCCAAAAAGAGAAGAAAACACATGAGAACGAGTTATGCAGCAACTATCGACGGATGTAGCAAGATCATAAACAGTCAGAAAGTGCGATAATAGGGCACAAAACTGACAAGCTACTGAGACATTCAGCATTTGCGGTAACTAAGTACTGTATTTTCCGAGTATACGCCGCACTTTGGACACTCGAAATTCGGGGGGGGGGGGGGGGGGGGGAGTTGCGGCTTGTGCTCCAGTGCGGCTTATACTCCGGAAAATACAGTATACACAGTTACCGCGTATACTGGTAGTAATTATCGTCTATAGTGATCAAATTCAATTTTCAAAAGACCTCTTACATTATTTTTGCATTGGTTAATTAAAGTACTATAAGCAGAAATATTCGTCTGGAAGTTAATTTCGTCTTTTTCGTCCAATGAGCTTTGGACTAAATTAAATGCTAGACTACAGTCCATTTCAAAAACACTTATAACTATAAGTGTTTTTGAAATATTTCAAATTTAGCTGGAACTTTTTGAGAAAAGTTTTCGGAATATTGCTCAGGTCCGCTCCACAATTACTCTCATATAGTTTCTAAACGATTGGATAACAGACGCCCAATTTGGAAAAAATTATGCACAAAGTGATCATAGATTTTATGTGGTATAGATGCTGGCATAACGGTTTTTGCCTGGGTACGCGCCTATCTCTTAATTTGCTAAATCCTATATATAGGATTTTGGTCATATTTTTCAACTCAAAATGCGTGTGGCATGAGCATAGGGAAACGTATGTGACCAATTCTTCCGCTTTAGGTCTTAGTCGATATGGAGAGTTGAATAAGATACTTTTTTCAAATACTAACATCTAAGGCTCATCTCCTTGCGCAATATTTCTAAGGCCTGTGCCCTATTTTTTGAATCCTATATATAGGATTTGAGATTTTACTGGACCTTGTTTTATCCTTAAAATTGGTAGTTTCACGACGGCATGTGCGATATGTCGTCATGAAACCACCCCGTGCCACACCTGTAATGTTCTTTTGCACATTCACTGCTTCAGTCCTTCCCATGACACCAGCTGAACAATGCTGCTCAAAATTCCAATCCTTGCTCAAAATGGGTATTCATGATGTCCTATGAACCTAAAAAGTAAACATCCATGCCTCAAACATATTTACAGCTTCTAATAAAACCATTATGCTCTTATTATGGGTCATGAATGACTCATGATGACCAATAACAACGGCATAAAGGTCACGCATTTTCAAATCCTATATATAGGACTTTTGCCCAGCAAATTAAGAGATAGTTTTGAAATGGACTGTAATGTCGATTTGTCCAGCTTTTCAATACACTCTAATGATCCATGGACGAAATTTACAACTGGACGAACTCCCTTTCTTTGGAGTTGGACGAAATTATTGACCGACGAAATTTTCTGCCTGTACTGTAATTGATGCGGAAATCAAGTGGTGCCAGAGACGAACAGGTTGTTAATTTTGTGAGCTCTACTTGCAGTAATAGTTGTCCAAACTGCCTCCATCGTGAGGGTATGCTGATGTTTTGTGTCAGGAGCCTTGGCTGCATAGCATGCATTTCTTAATGTATGCACTATAAGACCAGTGATGTTAACGAACATTTAGGGCATGTTTGATTGGGGAATCCGGATTCAGATCAGATTCACTGGAGCAGTCAGAACAACAGTTCCCAATCAAGCAGAACACAGAACAAACAGATCATATTTTTGCCAGAAATATTGTAGAACTCATGATAGCTCACCATGCCGCGGACTTCAACATTTCCACAGAGTTGATAGATTTTTTTACGTTCCTCAAGATGAAAAAATGTCATCGTAGATTTTACTACAGATCGTAGAGTTGTTGTTAATCATTTGACGTGTCTACTTCTGGCTTGTGATTGATTGCAAGCATGGATTGTTTGCGACGCAGGAAAAGGAAGAAGAGGAGACAAGCTGCTGCGATTGTCTCGGCGGTTCTGTGTATTCTGCTGTCTAATGGAGGTGTGCTAGCTGGTCATCGTCAGCGACTTTTGAATGATCTAGCAGTTGGAAGTACCGGAAGCACTAACAGCAGCAGAAGCACCAACAGCTGGTGTTGCATCTGCTGCATCTGCATTGCCACCGGGCGCCTGGGTGCCCAAATCACCTGGTCACCACGCCAGCAGGCGGCAACTTTCACACCAAGGTTCAACTCGAGTTCAACTCGAGTGACAGGAGTGCACCCAAAAAAGGTCAAACAGGCTAGTACGTTGTACCCTGCAGGCACGGTGACCAGGTGACTGGCGTACGCAGGAGCACGTGACCGCTTGTTCAACCATGTTCGATTGGGAATAAAGGAGGAACGCTGCATCGCAGCCTTTTCGGACCAAAACCAATCGACTCAGCGTCCAAACGACTACAACATATGGGCCAATCGCGGTCATCCATGCTTTTATAAGAACGAAATGGCGCTTTTAGTGATATTTTGCATACAAATCCCCATCTAGTAGGGCGCAGTCACCCAGTTTCGGTGGAAGTGCGCGAGTTCGATTGGGATTCAAGTAGGAAGGGAGCGTCTCAGCTTCCTCGGACTACGACCATTCGACTCAGCACCCCGAAGACTACAACTGGTGAAATTTTAATTTTTGCCTTAACTTCCCCTTTAAGGGCAGGTGGTCGCTGGTCGCTAAACCCAGAGGTCGCTTACACCAGGTTTTACTGTTGTAATAATTATATCGACCCCACTGGCATACAGTGCATGCAGTATTGGTCATAGTAATTTATCTCGCTTTACCAGTATTGATGAAATGCTCAAAATCAAAGAGCAACGCTACAGCCCAGTATAGGCAATACATATCAAAGAGCAACGCTACAGCCGTGCAGTATAGGCAATACATATCAAAGAGCAACGCTACAGCCGTGCAGTATAGGCAATACATATCAAAGAGCAACGCTACAGCCGTGCAGTATAGGCAATACATATCAAAGAGCAACGCTACAGCCGTGCAGTATAGGCAATACATATCAAAGAGCAACGCTACAGCCGTGCAGTATAGGCAATACATATCAAAGAGCAACGCTACAGCCGTGCAGTATAGGCAATACATATCAAAGAGCAACGCTACAGCCGTGCAGTATAGGCAATACATATCAAAGAGCAACGCTACAGCCGTGCAGTATAGGCAATACATATCAAAGAGCAACGCTACAGCCGTGCAGTATAGGCAATACATACTGTCCTGTAGTGTTCATGTGATACTGCATTCCCAGTCTGTTTCTGGGCGAGCGATAGCACCCCCTGAAAGAAATCTACTCAAGTTACGTAATCTGTGCACTGCCTTCAATTTCCTGTCTCCGTGTCCGTCTGCAGGAGAGTTACTATGGTCGTGAGGTCATACTCGCAGATAGAGAGACGGTGGAGCAGCTTGCCGGTATGTTTACTCACAACCCGAATGCCCTGGATCTTTAGAATTTACTGTGTGTTCAGCTCGTGGCCAGGGATGGCCAATCAAGCCGACCGTTGTTGTCGAAACAAGAAAGAAATGAGATCTCTGCAGGTGGAGTGGCTTGGGAGGTTGCCCTGTTATGCAGGGGTGCATGCCCCCCCCCCCCAAATTTTGCAAATGTACAACTGAAAAGATCGGAAATTTCAAGCATGCACAAAAGGACGTCCGTCCAATCACAGTGCAGTCGAGGAGCACTTCTACATTTGCTTTCGATGTGAAAATGACCTGCAGACGTAAAAACACACACACTAAAACACATTTTGGTGTGAGTGTGTGTGCATGTGTGTGTGCGTGTGTGTGTGTGTGTGTCCCATATGGTGCAGTGGTATGTGCAGCGATTTCCAATCGAGAGGTTACGGGTTCAATTCCCGACGATTATGGTCACACACGTCTTTCTTCTCTTTCTCAGACTCCTGACTTTTGTTTCATTCTCCTGGGTGGTTACCAACAGCCAGTGCATGCCGGAGTATGTGGTGTGATGTGTGTGCGGGGAAAAAATGGAAAAGACCAAAAATTCGGGATTCACTGGCCAGAAAAAGCCACTTCGTAGCTGTGTGGTGTAGACCAGGCTGAATAGTGGCGGTCAATTCTTCAGCCTTGCAAGCTGTTGAATGGTGCAATCCGTGCAATCCCAGAACAAGCTGCTATGGCTTCTGCCGTAGCATCGCTATCATCACCTCCGGCGATGGGCGTCAAATGTGTGTTGATGTCGGTGTTTGTGCTCAATACAGATGACTTGCTATCTGGTGCCGTAGAAAGTGATGTTGTCTTGCTGGTTGTTGGTGATCCGTTCGGGTGAGGCATATTCTACTTCGAAGGATACATAATAGGAGTTGTAGTGTTCACATTGGCGGTGCCAGTGCAGTATCAATGCAGCAATGCCCATACATTCACGTGTTTGTGTGGGGAACCCATGCATTCATGTGTTTGTGTGTGTGTGGTGGGGGGCATGCATGCATGTGTTTGTGTGGGGGTGCTTGCATTCACGTGTTTGTGTGGGGATGCCCATACATGCATGTGTTTGTGTGGGGGTGCTTGCATTCATGTGTTTGTGTGGGGATGCCCATACATGCATGTATTTGTGTGGGGATGCCCGTCATGCATGTGTTTGTGTGGGGATGCCCGTCATGCATGTGTTTGTGTGGGGATGCCCGTCATGCATGTGTTTGTGTGGGATGGCTGTACACTCACGTGTTTGTATGGGTGTCTGATTTATGTTTAATAGAAAACAGTGCAATCTTCTTGATTTGTGTGCTGCATACATTTCAGCAGTGTTTACTAATAGAAAACAGTGCAATCTTCTTGATTTGTGTGCTGCATACATTTCAGCGCCACCACCCATACTGATCTAGTGTTGCGAGCCAAGCAGGCTGGTATTGAGGTCGGGGTTGTGCACAACGCCTCCATCATGAACGCTGTTGGTTGCTGTGGACTGCAGGTAAGGACTGGCAGGTGTTTCTCGGCGTATGACCAATACCAGCATATTATTTTGGGACGCTGTCCGCATAGAGATTGATCTGGCTTGAGTTGCAAGCATGCAGAAAACAATACCCCGTGAAGGCATGCAGCTGGATTTTCGTTGCTAATTGCGACTGTGGTGCTGCCTACAGGGACAGGGCAGGGCATCTCAGCTGCGTTGCTGCAGGATTGTAGACAACAGCATCCTACAAATGATGAAAACATTGTTGACACAAGGCTGAATATTTGATCTGAAAACAGCAGCTTTAGCTTGTTCAAGCTAGAGTAGTTAGCGCATGTCCAGCCATTCCAAGCAATTCTTTTTCTGCTTGTATAAGTTCCAATTTCGAAGGATGTTTGCCATAACTTGCGAACGAGACGGTGTTGCCGCTTTTTGATCCATCATTTAACTTTCTTCTGGCCGCTTTGTAGTTGTACTCGTACGGCGAGACTGTGTCCATTGTGTTCTGGTCGGACAACTGGAAGCCAGAAAGTTTCTATGACAAGATCTGCCACAACTCCCAGCGCGGTCTCCACACCCTCTGTTTACTAGGTGAGCGCTCTTCCTTCCTATTACTAGTAGTAGCACACATACGTACGCATGCGCGCGCGCACACACACACACGCACTCACACATATATATACGCACACAATCTCTCTCTCTCTCTCTCTCTCTCTCTCTCTCTCTCTCTCTCTCTCTCTCTCTCTCTCTCTCTCTCTCTCTTTCTCTCCTGGCAGTGAATTCATAACTTTTTCTGATGTTTTCTGTTTCCCCTGTAGATATCAAGATGAAGGAGCAGTCTGTAGAAAACCTGATAAGGTATGTCAAACAGTAAAATGGTGTAAGAATGGACTCGGATGGAGAGCCAAGGATATTAAAATTTATAATAAAGAAAAAGGACCAAGAAACTACAAGTTACGCTATAATGTCCACTAACACCACCAGTTACTAAACAATCAGCTCATGCGATAACATTGCACGACACTGACCGACGACCTGTTAGCCAGTTAGTTGTAGAACGTCAGTACCGTCGGTCAGTGTTGTGCAATGTTATCGCATGAGCTGATTGTTTAGTAACTGGTGGTGTGAGTGGACATTATTAGTGGACATTATAGCGCAACTTGTAGTTTCTTGGTCCTTTTTCTTAATTATACTTGAAGTAAGTAAAATGGTGTGTGAGCATTGCTGTCCAATTCTCCTGTGAAGCCTGCACGTCCGTGTGTATCTCGGCAGTGCATGAACCAGCGTGACTGCTAGCTGCTGGTATCAACATGATCTATGGCTATGCGTGCGTGTGTGTATGGGCGTGCATGGTGCAATGTGCAGAGGACGGCAAATCTTCGAACCGCCTCGTTTCATGACCACGCAGCAAGCGGCCGAGCAACTTATTGCCATTTACAAGCGGCGCACGGCAAGCAGTGATGGCAAAGGCGACAGTTCGGATGACGAAGCCGCCGCAGACCAGAATTTATTTACCGGTATGCGCTGCGAGCATGTGTTTGTTGGGCTTGCTGTAAACAAATGATGTTGAAAGTTATTAAGTTTGTATGTTTGAGTATTGGAGTATTGCTTCTCTAGACACATGTAGTGTTGGTGTTGACCGTAAGTACTACAGTAGCCAGTCAGCATGCATACACATCTTTAGCAGACTACAAGTACTACAGTAGCCAGTCAGCATGCATACACATCTTTAGCAGGCTACAAGTACTACAGTAGCCAGTCAGCATGCATACACACATCTTTAGCAGACTACAAGTACTACAGTAGCCAGTCAGCATGCATACACATCTTTAGCAGGCTACAAGTACTACAGTAGCCAGTCAGCATGCATACACATCTTTAGCAGACTACAAGTAGGGAGTGCTTGTAGGAAGAGTGTCTTCCTGTATCTTTAGCAGAACTAGAGCGAAATTGTGTCTCGAGCTGATTATATGTGGGGGATTGAACCTGTGGCATTCTGTGTGTATTTCTTTCATTTCTTTGGAGTAGGGTACTAGTACTAAAATATTACATTAGATAGGTTCCAGAGTACGATTTTTCGTGCCAAAATCCGTAGAGGCGCTACGGATTTTTCATACGTCGTTTTTGAGCAGTGAAATGTTCCGGAGTACGGAACTTCTGTGTTTGCCGTCATTGCCTAGGTTACGATCCCAAACACGTCACATTCCCGCGCTATGCCTTTATGTTTTGAAAAATTGTACCGAAACCAAAACTTCCCGCGGAAAATCGATGTTTCTCGTACCAAATTTGTACGCGAAAAATCTTTCTGCACTCGATGACGCAAAATCTCCGTACGAAACATGGTTCGTATGAAAGCCAGTCCACACGGATTCTCCGTGCCGAAAAATCGTATGGAGCACGCCTCGAAAATATCCGTAGCGCCCATACGAATTTTGGCGCGGAAAATCGTACTCCGGAACCTCTCTATTGTGCTGTTGTGTTGTCCCTGCATTGTAAGTTGCTTGTGTTTGTTTCCACCTCTCTCTCTCTCTCTCTCTCTCTCTCTCTCTCTCTCTTTACGGTGACTTTATCATAGATGTAACAGAGGAAAGTCTGGCAGTGGGTGTAACACGCGTGGGCAGTGACTCTCAGCGCATCGCAGCTGGCACTCTCCAGCAGCTAGCCGACACTGATCTCGGTGATCCGCTGCACAGTTTAGTGGTGGTGGGACATATGCACTGCTTGGAGCGGGACATGCTACGCCAGTACGCCATCGATGTGGCTGACTTTGATGAGCGTACAAAGCACGTGAAGGAGTAGGAAAGAAGCTGGTTTAGTTGCTGCTGGCGACAATGATGAGATGGTGACCCTGTATGCTCCTGGCTGGACCACTGGTTGTAGTGCTAGTCTCGTTATGGTGCGGTTGTGACCATACTGGCTTGCCCTTATCTATTATCTTGGAGAGTGTGAGGTCCCCAGTGCCACCAGCCGGAAGGGTGTCTTAGCACTCGCGTGCCACCGTACACCAGCTCGGTCTCAGCGATGTGAGAGCTGTAATCACAGACCATGCTGCTGCTGTATCTCTCACTGCATGTGTGCTGCTGCAGTTAGGGACTTCCCCTCGGGCGGTGTTTGTGTATTTACAGCACCGGAGAACACAGTCCGCTAAGTCCATGATCCGTGTTGACTACTTCAAAGTAGTTGTAGCGCGTGGGACATAGCAAGGTGTTCGGCCGGGCAGGAGCTTGCCGCACACGTTTGTGTGTGTGTGTGTGTGCTGCGCTCTTTTCTGACAAGCCCTGCGGGGCGTCTCGAGTTTCCGAGCTTTGATCCCAAGTGACCAGGAGACTGGCTGTCGTCACACGTGCCATACAAGTACACCACCAGCTACTTAGCTTGTACGCTGTACATGCCTGTGTTGTACTACTGCAGCACTATCCGGGTATCCCCCTCCCCTTCCTTAACCATTTAGAATTTCAACACTAGCAATGTGCGTGTTCTGCTTCAAAGTACCTGTTATTATTTCAAATCCTCCCGTGCCTCTTCTCCTGTGCCTCTTCTCCTGTGCCTCTTCCTTAGAAGCTTCACAAGAAACTAGAAGCTAGATGTATACCTCAGAGCACCAGTGATCATTCTATAATTCTATTTTTCCGAAAGAAACGCCAGATCAAGAAATTGAAAACAGTTGTGTGAGTGTGTGTGCGTCTACAACAGCAGCTCGAATGTTTGTCTGCTGTGCATCGCTCCGTGCCTGCTACTACAGTATAATGCCCATACCGGTGTCTACTGATACTGACGGTATGTTCTATGGGTACTGGTCGAGTATCCAGTTATCAGCCAAATAGTATTATGTTTAGCATCATTATGTACAAGCAACATTGCGCACAGCGACAGGCACATAATTGGATTACATGTTCAACAAATCCAATAACACGGCTAGCTAGAAAAAAACTTCCAGTATTAAGAGTGAAGTCTCATGCCTACCTATAGTGTTTCTATTCGTACACATGTGTATGTATGTGCGTGTTGTACTAGTATTCAATAGCAGAAAGCTGGTGGTGTTTCTTATGGAATGAGGTAATATACAAGGCAGTGTGTTGTGGTTGCCAGGTGACCCCAAGGCCGATCTCTCGGCATTGACTAAAATAGTAGGTCACAGAGGCATCTTCATGATCATTGTCAAATAGTGTTCGTACGTGACTGTAATCCAGCCATCCCGATCACGGTCTTCAGTGCTGAATGCCGCCGTCAGCGTCTGCAAGCAAACAGGTGCAGAGGAGGAACACAGAGTCAGTGATCACTTCATTTTGTACAGTCCTACCTAGGTAACCCGTGCTAGCCTGGCTATCGGAATACATGTACACTCAAACGACTCTTATCCGGACGCCTCAGATACGGCACGTCTCTCTACCCCGGGCACCTTCAGCTTGAGTTCCTATGGCAAAACTGCTTCAAATGCTGGGGTTTTGAACATGTTTTTTGGTTTTTTGAAACTCGGATGTTGAGCCATAATTTTTCTTTTTCTTTTTTCGTATGCACTAGTGCTTGTTAGTATTTGTCCATTCTTGTTTCACAAAGCTTGAGATAGCGCGAAGCAAGAGTACATGACCATGTCCTGTACTCTTGCACGAAGGCAATGCGTACCGGTACCTTTCCTAGTCTGAGCAAGTATTAGTACTGTACACATTGTAGCTGAGTCTGCTGCTAAACCTCGGGTACTTGGAGCACTACTGTCATGGTGCTATCAATCCTGCGCCTCGAATGTACAATGAGGTGGTCTATACTGAAATGTTCATACAAATGTACAGTATTTGGGAGAATTCCAATCTAACTTTAGCTGTTCTCCGGCATCCCGTTATCCGAGGCGCAGTGCTAATGTGAAGTGAACACCCACCCACCATGATGTGCGTATGTTCTTTCACGCGCTTGTGTGACCTTCGTCTTACCTGAAGAACGACGCAACACTGAATAAAATCGTCAAACGACACGCTGCCGCATCCACGTCGGTCAAACTTGCGAATGAGTACATCTACGAATCTGTCCGACAGTCGATACCCTGGAACACACACACACAGTTGAGTACAGCGAATAACACATCGGGCACAGAGCGAGTTGTGCCTCGAGCATTTGTCTTTGCACAGCCTGATAGTAACTTGCATCAACCCTTTTGCAAGCCCTTTCGGTAATAAGTACATGTTTGGGGCTCGTGCATCAAGACACAGCCCAGCTGCAGTGCCAGTAGTCACACATTGCTATGTACTTACCAAAACCATAATAATTATACATTTGTACTGAAGCATGTACACACATGTTTTTATGTTTTACTAAATTTTTAGAGTACTCATCTTGAAAGGATTGGGAGAACTTCAGATTCAAAGGACCAGTTGGGGAAGTGAACTGCCTGCAAAGAGTAAAACGTACCAACCCCATCATTCCTCCCCCCCCCCCCCCCCCCCCCCGACGGATCCTTTGAGTACTCATTTTTGTCAGGGCTATGGAGAGCATCGTTGTCTCCATGCTGATTGTTCATACTCGTTTCGCCTTACCAAAGGAAATCAACGCTGAAGACGATCGGCGGCCATAGTCATTGCCGTGGAGCAAGAGTTGAGTGGATAAATGACCAGTCACCAGAGACACCAGATATATGCATGCATGCGCCACACGGACATACCCACGTGCACACACGAGCATGCGTGCACACACACACACACACACACACACACACACACACACACATGGCCATCACAGGAACATGAGATAATAGTTAGTACTCTCTACATACACTATGTAACTAACTTATTAGGTCCAACTTTCCAAGAACGACATGTTTTCAGGCTGGCTCATTTCCAAGCTACATCCCTATTTCGAGCATAGTACTAGCAGAACACGTTATTTTCAGTGCAACTTAAATTTCTCGGCAATTTAGGTAGAGAAACCAGGCACCTGAATTTGTACATGTAGTCGTATACTAATGATTGCTCTTGTATTATAGAGGAGAGTGCTCTCTGTTCTCTATTACCTGTGGATAACTCTTTCTTGTCAATAGCTCCGGAGTTGTCCGTGTCATAGCTACGAAATGCTTGCTGCCAGTCCGTGATGTATTTCCAGAGGCCAGCGAACTCATCAAACGTAATCATGCCATTGCCATCGCGATCAAACATGCCTACAAAAAAACACACACACACATAATTATCATGATCATCATGATCATCACCACCATCAAGTGGCATTCATGCTTGAAGTCCATCACCATTGAATTGCAACCTTTTAAAAAGACTAATGGGACCTCAGTGGTGGCAAGGTTGTCCAAACATTGGTTTTGATCGAAAAATGGAGTTACAGTGCCAGTGAGGGGACTAGAAACAGCAATTCCCTTAGCGATGTGTACCAGCGTAGTGCTATATGGGTCAGTACACTCTCTCATGACTGCTGCAGGCTTACCGACCATCAGACGTACTGTCTCCGGATTGAACTCTGTCCACTGTCCTGTTGTCACACCCAGGCACACACACACGCACGCACACACACACACACACACACACACACACACACACACACACACACACACACACACACACACACACACACACACATACACACACACACACACACACAGCCTGCAATGTGTTTACCAATACCGTCGTGAATGATTTACATACCGGGCTCCGTGCCGTGTCTACATTATACACTCTAACCTGTATCCGATTGAATGGCAGTATTCCATGTTAGTCTTGGACTGGTGGACACACACCGTGCATCACTACTGGTCAAGAATGTCTCCAGTGATCTGAGTGCCTCCTACTGCTTTCTTACCGTTCTTCAACGCGCTGGAAAGCTCGTCTTGTGATATGCTTCCACTCCGGTCAGTATCCACACTGTGAGCCGCAGCGCCGGCACGAGTCGGAATCACGGTACCGGCCACCAGTATTGATACCACATAGTTATTATGTAGGGAAATACACAACACACACACACACACACACACACACACACACACACACACACACACACACACACACACACACACACACACACACACACACACACACACACACACATGAGTGACATATGCATGGATGCAATCATGCACGCACACATACAGCTCCCCATTGTCCCACAAGTCGACATGTGTGTAACTCGTTTGTGAAAGTCACAATGGCAGTTCGCAGTTCTTTCTCAGCTTTACACTGAGCCACGTCAGTTATTCATTTGTCTCAGCCCTCCCTACATGGCTCTCACAGTCTCGTTCTGAGAGCATGACGATTTTCAGCTAGCTCCGCATGCTCACTACGGTCAGTACACAGACTGTCAGTGCCGGAAAACAGCAGCAGCCGAGTCTCACCGTTGGAAATATTGCCATAGGGCATCCCTGGATATCGGTGGCTGGCCTCTCTGCTGGTATGCCATAGTCGCTGCTTCGTTTGCAATGACACCATCCGCGGGCTACTGTTGCAACGCCTGAACGAGTGCGTTCAGCTGTGCACGATCACCATGCAGTTCGCCCACTTGAAAATATGTTGCCCCTCAAAGGCTCCTACCAGTCTTCCCTTCCATTACATCCATCGACGGACGCAAAGTAATAATAAGGAATCCTTCCTATCCTTTCTTTTCTACGACTACGAGTACGAGTTCAGGAAACAAACAAGCAACCAGTTGGTCCGCGGGGCGCGGCGGACGCAGATTCACCGCTAGCGCGCCGGAACTTCGCGGTAGCGAGGCATTGTTTACATCAGGGAGTCGTAAAATACCTGGTATTTTACGACTCCCTGGTTTACATGATGCGGCCACATTCGTATCGCCGCGACTATCGGTGCGCCGGGTTGGGTGCGCGCGCCGGCAGGATACGTGCGCACTTAGCTTTACTAGATCGAATGAGTACTCGTACGATCGTACAGATCTTCACAAAAAAGAACTGATTCTTTGCGTGTGACGGTGTGGTCACTCAGCTGGTTGGAACTTACTTACTTGGAAGCCCATCATGGCATTCATGCATATGCACGGCCACATCCATGCACCGTGTAGATGTCTACGTGTAGTGCACCCGCGATTGGTCCAATGCGAAGAGAAAATTGTCATTCACATTTCACCAGGAAACTCAAGAAGTCAGGTCTTGTTCAGCCTTTTTTACTAGTTGCAGAGGCTTGGTGTGTTGTCTCAGTATCTACTTCGTTTGCTGAAAATGAGTAGCAGCAGTCAGACGTTGCCTCCAAAGGAGGCAACTCTCTTCAAAAGGATCTTGGTGAGACTTCAATGATATACTTGAGCATGATTATGTTTTATGAAGAGAATTGACGATGAACTCTGAAATTTGCTTCGAACTGTAGAGATGTTACGAAATGAAACAGTTCAAGGCTGGTCTGAAGTATGCGAAGCAGATTCTGTCGAATTCCAAGTATGCTGAGCACGGAGGTAATGGTGGCGTCGTCCTCTGATCGTTTGTAATAGGCATGAGAATTATGAAAAATTGTTTCGCATTTTTGTATCATTCTGATCATCTCCAGAGACGCTGGCGATGAAGGGCTTGACTCTGAGTTGCCTAGGTCGTAAAGACGAAGCCTACGAAGATGCTCGTCGTGGTCTCAAAAATGATCTGAAGAGCCACGTTTGTATCCTCTGAATTCTTTGAAATTGCTCGGTGTGAGTGTGCGTGCGTACTCGTGCTTATTGAATTGTTCTATTGAGTGTACAGGATGTGCAGATATTGCAGGTGCTATCCTTGACTAGCTGTCTCACTACCAGGTTGGCACGTATACGGACTACTACAGCGTTCAGATAGGAAGTATGATGAGGCCATCAAGTGCTATCGTAATGCTCTCAAGCTGGACACGGTTGGTTATGGCTATTTCAGAATTTGAAAATTTCGAAATAATCGTTACACCTGTTTTCTACCAATGTGCTTGTTGAGCGACTTGAAGCTACACAGGTAGTATGTTGGGTGTGCTCTGTATCAGTATACTACAGTACATGTACATTGGACTGTAATAATGCCAGTGCGATTGAATGCCATCTTTACTGGGTGGGTCTGCGATAGAGAAAGTGCAGCAATGTACACCAGGAGTTCACAAGGGGAATTTTATGACCCATGATCAAATTACCAGCCCCGTATGTCATTATGATAAAGTTAATATGACATGATGTGCAATGATTGACGTCTGTTCATAAGACTTGTGTCTCTTGTGTGTATGTGTGTGTGCATGTATGCTTGTATGTGCTTGTGGACGTGCGTGTATATGTTTGTGCATGTTTGTGCATATGTGTGTGTGTGTGTGTGTGTGTGTGTGTGTGTGTGTGTGCGTGTGTGTGGTGTTTATCGTACAGGATAATGTCCAGATTCTCCGTGATCTTGCACTGCTGCAAATTCAAATGAGAGATCTTGAAGGCTATCGGGTTAGTGTCAGAGAGGCTAACAGCAGCCTGAAGTACACCACTCCATTGCTTTTTATGCCTAATGGTCGATCTATAGTTTATTTCGCGTACGGTACGCGAAACGCTTTGCAATGTATTTAGCGTCGATTGCGCCATGGGGCAAATAAGTTGAACTCAATTCCACTATTTTGCCGTGACGGACGTTGCGACAGATTTCCTGTATGCGAAATTAAGTAGAAGTCAGGCAGGCGTGTCCAATTTGACCGTCACAATCAAGACAGCTCCGATCTTTTTGGGGGTGAAAATATCTTTTACAGAAGCCCTTTCTTCTGCAGGAGTAGTTCTCTGCCATGTGTAGACCGCAGAAGTGATATTCATATGGGGATACTTGTGCTTTTTGCTGTACTGATGTATTGAAAGTGCGAAAATTGCATCTGTCCTCTCATCGGAAACAACTAACAGGAAAAATGTAACTTCTCCTGTAAAAGTGTTGACCTCCGAAGAACTTCGAAGAAGTTTTGGGACTTCTTGTAGTTTCGTAGAAGAGGAAGGTCAGGTGGACATACGCATTCTAATGGGACATGTAGGTTTACTTGGGCAGATACCAGTACTGTCGCAGATAAGCATAAAACTATCTGCACCACAGGCCATTCACATATGCCATCGCGAGTTGCGACCATGTCCGAGCTGGTGTTAGTATGGAATTTACTCTGGGGGGGGGGGATGGGGCATGCTGGAAGGTCCTTGGTCGTCGATGCTGGGTACTGCTGCATGGATTAGAATTCGAACATCTCTTGCCATCCAATGTGGGTAGGGGTGAAAGTTGGCATTGAGATCCCGAGTTCGAGTACTCTGATTTTCTCCGAGCGAATATTCGAGTATTCGAGTATTCTTCATCTCCTAAAAATTGCACACCGAGGGCCTTAAAATCACATGATACACCCCTGATTGAACCGAATGGCAGTCATTTTTCTCTGGTATATTGGTTGCTGGGTCATTTGGGCTCTCTCTACTCTTGAACAAATGTTCACCACACAGTCTGCACATCAATATCTGCCGATTGCTGCTCTGAAACTGCAGATTTCTGTGGTAAATGCATGTACCACGTATGAACGAGTACTCTGATTTATTCCGAGTACGATTATTTCTGAAAAAACCGAGCGAGTACTCGAGTATTCGGTATAATTGTTTCACCCCTAAATGTGGGTCATCGAGGCTGCTAGCCGCAACTTCAAAGCCTGGCCTAAAAGGAGATAGTGCTTCAGCATTCTCTGTTTGGTCAACCTCCGTGGTGACTGACACTTTAAATTTCAACTTGCTTGTGGTTACTTTCTTCCCTAGATTGGCCCTGATACGATCTTGTTTTTGTTCTTAATTGTTAGGAAACGAAGTCGCGCCTGCTTCAGTTGAAACCTGGCCATAAGCCTTCTTGGCTGGGTTTCGGTGTTGCCCATCACCTACTCAACGAACAAGACCTGGCCATTCAAATTGTCCGCGAATACCACCGTACACAGGCCGTAAGTTAGAAACTTGTTGTGTGGCATGTTTGGTGTTTTTTTCTGTCCACCTGTTGTACTTACTGCATCGGATTGTAACTTGTAAGTGCACGGAGCGTATACACAGACAGTCGGTCATGTGGTGATCATTGTTCCATTGCACCGCCCGCTAGCACGGTGCCTTCTCTGTAGAATGGTGCTATCAGTAAACTGTACAGTAATGCTCACAACTCTCTCCAAGTGTTGTGAAGAGTACGGTTATAATGGATGGCGACAGTGGAGTGTCTGTGCATATTGAGAAGTCTATGAGAGAGAGAAGTCTATCGGTAAACTGGTGGGTCATTACCTGTTTGCAGCACTGGTCAAGATGTTGATAGGACATTTCCGTACAGGGTTTGTATTCCGATGCTAATCGTGTGCCTGCATGTGATGATGTGTGCCTGCTTGTTTAGAATTTGAATGGTTACGAGACGAGCGAACTAGTGTTGTACGAGAACCAGTTGATGCAAAAAAGCAAGCCGCCGAAGCAAGCAATCGATCACCTGAGGAGGACTCAGTCCTCTGTGCGCGACTGGCTCAGCCATGACGAGACTATGGGTAAGGGCGTGCCACGTTCCCTCTGTTATCAGCATATTTACCGTACTCACTCGATAATTAGAAGCCCACGCTTCTATTTTTTCACTACCAATTTTGACGAGGCTTCTATTCAAAAGGGGCTTCTATTCGAGAGGGGTGTTTATTGTTTTATTCCATACCAGTATTCCAATCGAATCTTTAAAACTTTCATATTCACAGCAACTCGGCCCCGAGTTAGCTTGCACACACTACGTTGACCAGGACATGTACCAGTATGTGCATGGACGAGATGTTTTTGCGCACTTGACCTTAACATACATGGCACTACCTGGTCACCCCATGCTTTGCGAATAGTAATCCGGGCTTCTATTCGAGAGGGGCTTGTATTTATTCAAAAGGTCCGTTTAGGGGGGGGCTATGATTATTCAAGAGGGGCTTCTAATCGAGTGAGTACGGTATGTCACTCATCATACTGTTACAGTGATGCTGCTTTTGTGAAGCTTGACCATGTCGTGTTCCTGTGGTGCACTCATGCACTCAGCGAAGAATTCAGTCTCGTTTCTTGCGGCAGTGTTGCTGCTAAGCATCACACCTTTTTCTGTTGGAGGTGTTCAAGTATATTGGGCATCTCTCTCTTGTTCATGGCGACCATTCCTTTCAAGCTGTATCTTGTCTGTTTACTCTATCTTCCATGATTTGCTGAATCTTTCTTTTGTCTGTCCTGACAGCGGATCTACTCTTCAGCGAAGGCCGTCTTAGCGAAGCAGCCGAGGTTGTTGCCGGTTTGATTGACCGCAATCCTGAGAGATGGTCCTACTACAATCAACTAGAGAACTGCCTCAGCTTGGGTACGTACTACATGTATATGCGCATGTACTACAGGAGTTTCCAAAGAGAACCCGACGAATCATGTGCAAGCTTCAGTGATTTGTAGGAAATAATTGTCTGGTGACTAACTACCCTGGCATGTACTAGTTTGGACGGCTGTATGTGTGACGTATAGCGCAGTAGATGTGCAAAGTAATGATTCCTGATCTCTTTGGACAAAGCGATCTTAAATCATAAGTCATTACTACTGCATGTAGTATGCAACGCTTAGGTATCACTATGGGTTCTTATAGCCAGGAATCGCCTATACTAAGGCAACAGCAGGGAACTGTTCACTCTTCTTTGTCGTATCGTTTTTCCCTCTATACCATGATAATTATATGCATACAGAGGTACATATATTTTAGTAAGGGTGACCTAGGCTATGATCGTTTGGTCGGATCCAGATCTCAGATACGTCGGATCCAGATCTCAGATACGTCGGATCCTTCAGCATCAACCGATCACTTTTTTTTGGACCTTGCTGTTGCCATGGTGACGAAGTAAAAAATGGTGCTGACAGGTCACCCAAAAGGGCAAAAGTCGTACTGATTGTGCGCGTCGTACGAAAAGTCAACAAGAGTAGTTTATGGATGTTGTGTGCGTACGACAATGAGTACGAGTATGATTTTACCCGCCATACACGCACAAAGCTCACATTTGGATCTGATGCCCAATGGATCCAGTCAACCCTGCTCCCGGGGCAGAGTTGCTCGGATCCAAATCCGAAGGATCTGGATCCGGATTCGACCTATCAATCACTGTGGATCCGACGAATCTGGGTCTGGATGGTGCTGACAGGTCACCCAAAAGGGCAAAAGTCGTACTGATTGTGCGCGTCGTACGAAAAGTCAACAAGAGTAGTTCATGGATGTTGTGTGCGTACGACAATGAGTACGAGTATGATTTTACCCGCCATACACGCACAAAGCTCACATTTGGATCTGATGCCCAATGGATCCAGTCAACCCTGCTCCCGGGGCAGAGTTGCTCGGATCCAAATCCGAAGGATCTGGATCCGGATTCGACCTATCAATCACTGTGGATCCGACGAATCTGGGTCTGGATCGTGCTGACAGGTCACCCAAAAGGGCAAAAGTCGTACTGATTGTGCGCGCCGTACGAAAAGTCAACAAGAGTAGTTCATGGATGTGTGCGTACGACAATGAGTACGAGTATGATTTTACCCGCCATACACGCACACAGCTCAAATTTGGATCTGATGCCCAATGGATCCAGTCAACCCTGCTCCCGGGGCAGAGTTGCTCGGATCCAAATCCGAAGGATCTGGATCCGGATTCGACCTATCAATCACTGTGGATCCGACGAATCTGGGTCTGGATGGTGCTGACAGGTCACCCAAAAGGGCAAAAGTCGTACTGATTGTGCGCGTCGTACGAAAAGTCAACAAGAGTAGTTCATGGATGTTGTGTGCGTACGACAATGAGTACGAGTATGATTTTACCCGCCATACACGCACAAAGCTCACATTTGGATCTGATGCCCAATGGATCCAGTCAACCCTGCTCCCGGGGCAGAGTTGCTCGGATCCAAATCCGAAGGATCTGGATCCGGATTCGACCTATCAATCACTGTGGATCCGACGAATCTGGGTCTGGATGGTGCTGACAGGTCACCCAAAAGGGCAAAAGTCGTACTGATTGTGCGCGTCGTACGAAAAGTCAACAAGAGTAGTTCATGGATGTTGTGTGCGTACGACAATGAGTACGAGTATGATTTTACCCGCCATACACGCACAAAGCTCACATTTGGATCTGATGCCCAATGGATCCAGTCAACCCTGCTCCCGGGGCAGAGTTGCTCGGATCCAAATCCGAAGGATCTGGATCCGGATTCGACCTATCAATCACTGTGGATCCGACGAATCTGGGTCTGGATGGTGCTGACAGGTCACCCAAAAGGGCAAAAGTCGTACTGATTGTGCGCGTCGTACGAAAAGTCAACAAGAGTAGTTCATGGATGTTGTGTGCGTACGACAATGAGTACGAGTATGATTTTACCCGCCATACACGCACAAAGCTCACATTTGGATCTGATGCCCAATGGATCCAGTCAACCCTGCTCCCGGGGCAGAGTTGCTCGGATCCGGATTCGACCTATCAATCACTGTGGATCCAACGAATCTGGGTCTGGATCCGACCAAACAGTCAGAGCCCTAGTCAGTGGTGCAGTGCAGATGTCTGCCGCTATATCATACTCTTACCATTCGCCTCTGCTTGTCTTCTCTCTACACATCACCTGGTTGGAAATATATTTTTTTCATGGCTGCATGTCTTCGCTTCCCCATTGCTTTCACAGAGACCGAAGAGGAGCGTGTTGCAATATACGACACTGTCCTACAAGATCACCCAAGAGCTATGGCACCCAAGCGTCTGCCACTCAACTTTACCACTGGTATGAAAATAGTTCGAAATACCCAATTGCCTGGTGCTAATTGTGTTTGTTAGCGATGTTGAGTTTTTTGTACTTGTACATTTATCTATACCTTGCCCGTGTTTCAGGCTGCAGTGCTGATCTGTATGTTTTAAGGCTTCCGGTCATACTCTCCTTGATCGTCATGTTGCATTTCTTGCGCACGTTTGATTCCGTTTCTGCACTGTCTTACGAATGGCGTCTCCTGCAGGTGACCGCTTCAGATGTCGCGTCGAGACATTTATCCGTTCTGGCCTGCGGAAAGGAATTCCACAGCTGTTCAACTCTCTTCGGTCGTTGTACTCCTGCCAGGAAAAGGTGTGCTGTTTATCGAAATTGATTCATAGAGGACTGGATGTTTGCATGTCGTCCCTAGTTGTCCATCACTAACCACTAATATAGCAGAGTTTGAAAGTGCAACAGTTGGCACTACTAGTATACTGACAAGTGGTACTGGTATTCAACCACCCGACGTTTAGCTCCATCCAATGTTGAACACGCCAGCTAACAGCTTTGCAGCTCTCAGAACGTACTTGGTTACGAAAGAACGCCGGTGTGTCAACCCTTCGTAGTTGACCTGATATGTTCCTCCCAGAAGTGATGTATCCAGATCAATCCTGGATATGGCAGACAGAAATTCTTCTCTATGTGGGTGCTCTGTTATAGTGTGTGCTGTGTCACCATGCTATCCGTTGCTGCCAACATGCACTCATCACTTTTGTTTGTGTGCTCTCGTTGGTCTAGGTGGATGTGATACAAGATCTTTGCCTGGGCTTTGCAGAGTGCCTGAAGAAGGATGGCAAGTGTAAGCCTGACGATGCCGAAGAGGAACCGCCGTGCACATATCTCTGGCTGTTATTCTTCCTGGCGCAGCACTATGACAAGCTTGGTAACAACCAGCTTGCTCTGCAGTACATCACAGACGCAATTGAGCACACGCCCACTTTGATCGAACTCTACATGGTCAAGGCGAAGATCTACAAGGTAGGTATTTTCTGCTGCGGCTTTTTTTTCGGGGGGGGGGGGGGGGCTAAGAGGATACATGCTAGCTCCTGTGCTTGATTGCCTTATTTGCCATACTATAGTGTTGACTGGAGTACACCAACATTATGAATGACCCATGCCTATCGCATCTTGACTCCAGGTATGCCAACGCCTTTCTGTTGCCACTCATTCACCCAGTCACTGAGCGCTTCATCTTCTCTTTCTCTTTCTCTCTCTTTCACAGCATGCCGGCGACTTGAAATGTGCTGCATTGTTGATGGACGAGGCACGTGAGATGGATACTGCAGATCGTTATGTGAACTGCAAAGCTGCCAAGTACATGCTGCGCATCAACAATGTGGAGCGTGCAGAGGAGCTCTGCGCCATGTTCACACGGGTTAGTGCTAACTATGTCTTGAGAATGCTTGACAGCCTGGCTGTTTGTCTATCTCTCTGTGTCGTGTAATTTCTAATTGATGACATTGGTTACCCTGCGGTGATGTCTTTCCCGGCTGCACTCTGAATGATCTTCCTACACTGGTGTTGAGCATTGCCTTCACTGAGGATGAAGGTTACTGCAGTGGAACTTGGATGAGGGTTATTGCAGTGGGACTTGGGACAGCTAACCTTGTGCTGCTGCTGCTGCTCATCCTCTTTTTCACGTTGTCCTAACCACGTACTCCGATGTTGTAAGCCCATGAACGGGCTCTTATACATGTATTCCCCTCAGGGCCTCTTGTTTGAAACTTCAACTCTAGTTTAGTTTGGGAGTTTCAGGGGCGGTGGCTATGTGCTAGTCCGTGGATCAGTTGCCGGTTGAGTTGTCTAATAACCAGTAGGCCTTTTGATCCTCTGCCTTCTTTCCTGGGGAAATCGTGCGACACTTGTGCGTGTGTGTGTGTGTTCTGTGTGCGCACTCGTGCTTGCACGCGTAACTGTATATACATGCTGAACGTTAATGTGTTCGTGTGCGTATGTGTGGTAACAAGAGGTTGACCAAGAACATCTGCGCCTGCACTGGGCACTCCTTCATTCACCAATGGATGTAGTGAGCAACTATTACAACCGAATGTTGTGCATATGCACACTTGATTATGATATCTAGTGCTCGTGCCTCATGGCTTTTCTTCCTTTTCTGTTTTTAGGAGGGCCTATCGTCAGCGGAGAGCCTGACTGAAATGCAGTGCATGTGGTACCTGACGGAAAGTGCCCGTGCATATATGCGGCGCGGAGAGTGGGGAGAGGCCCTCAAGAAATGCCACGAAATTGACCGGGTATGTGGAGCGGTTGCTGTTGATGTTTTAGGTGTTCTCCTAGAGTCTGTGGAATTCCTTTTTGCATATCATGCATGAAGATGTCTATAACTTATAGTTGTTGTCTGGTCATATTCGTTTCGTCTTCACACGTGGTCGCATGTTTATGTTCTCTACCTTGTCCTTGTGCGCTGCAGCATTTCGAGGAGTTTGTCGAGGATCAGTTTGACTTCCACACGTATTGTCTTCGACGAGGAACACTGCGCACATACACAAGGTATACTATTTGTTGTTATTTTTTTGACAATTTTTTGTTTTGTTTTGTTTTTACTATGTCCTCATGATGAGCAGGATATTGTGAACGTTCTGCAGGTGCAGCAGAACCTTCCTGTGCGAGAACCTGAGAACCTGCACGACTTCAAGGTTTCTCTCTTCACCTCACAGCACCCCCCCCCCCGCACACACACACACACACATGGGCGGGACCTAAAAGAAAGTGCGAATACGTGAAACACACCATCACTGCTCTACTGACGTTCAGTGGAGCATTGATGCTGTACAGATAGACATTGCTACATGCAATTCAACAGACTGCTTGTGAGCGTGTTGTGGATAAGTGAAGCCATGGATATGCGACGGTGTACTGTACACAAATTACTACTTCTACGCCTATAATCGTACACAAGGTCCATGGCATTCATGTCTGTGCGTGGGTATGTGACCTGGCGTTTTGGTTAAACCCTATGCACGTGCATCTACATTCACTTGCTGGTAGGGGTAATGCTGTTGTCGGTCCTACACCCACATCTACATTCACTTGCTGGTAGGAGTAATGCTGTTGTCGGTCCTACACCCACATCTACATTCACTTGCTGGTAGGGGTAATGCTGTTGTCGGTCCTACATTCACTTGCTGGTAGGAGTAATGCTGTTGTCGGTCCTACACCCACATCTACATTCACTTGCTGGTAGGAGTAATGCTGTTGTCGGTCCTACACCCATGTCAATAGTACATGTACTCTTGTGCATACCAAGTTGCTAGTGTTGGACGAGTTGTCGTTTTGATTTGGCTCGCTTGCTGCAGAGCCGCTATAGTATGGCGTGGGCTAATCTATCCCTGCACGTCAGCACATCTTTCCTGCGGGGGAGGGGGGGGGGGGGGAGGGGTACTTGGTGGTCTGCTCGTGATATACTGTGTGCGGACATAGCCATGCATAGTTCCAGTGTCATTCATTCACCTTGCGTGTTTGTTACGTTTGCTGCAGAATGTTGGCCGTAGAGGACACCATTCACCAGCATAAGTTCTTCGGCAATGGAGCCAAGACAGCAATTGAATGCTACCTCCATCTATTCGACCATCCTGTTCAGGATGAAGCTCAGAAGAAGGAGGAAGAGTTTGGTAAGCTGTGTGTGTGTGTGTGTGTGTTTGTGTTTTTCGGCCAATTGGTATTGAAGTATTTTTGTGACAGAACATGCATTGTATGTGTTCTTTCGATACTTGTCACTTGCACCTATGCTCTTGTACCAATGTATGTTGTGTGAATGGGACCGCCCATACGAGTTTTTTTCATGAATCTAAAAGCTTTCGTTTATGTTGGTAGGTCTATGTAGGCCATGTTCGTTTGAAATAATATATTATATAATTGATGGGTGAAAGGTAGATTGTGTACCAGGTTTCCATCAATATAATACATTTTGTTTTTCATTTTCGGGGTAGGATGTAACTAAATTTTTTGGTTCATAAAAATTATCTACACGTCTATCTTGTGTGTTATGCCAGATGGCCCCTAGATTCTCATGCCGCTATTTTGCTCCTCTCTTATTCTTCTCCTGTGCAGCTGGCATGGACAGTAAGGAGAGAAAGAAGGAGCTGAGCAAGCAGCGCAAGGCAGCCAAGAAACGTGCCCAGCAACAGCAGGAGGCCGAACAGAAGAAGGAGAAGGCCCAGGCACAGAAAGGTATTGATAGAGTGCTTTTTCAGTTGTTGTTAAGTTCTGCCACTCCACTGCGCCTTCCACTCATTTTTAATCTACAGTCCTGCTCAATGAAATCCAGTCGCGTCACTCTAGTTTGCGCCCTGCACCATTTTGCAGCCCAGTGTTCGCAGGTCTAGGTCTGCGCAACACCCCGTGCTTACTTGAATGATGCGCCTGAATTTCATTGAGCAGCACTGTACAAGTAGTGTCGGTGTAGCCGTGCTCTGGTGACGTAGCTATTCATCTCCTTCGTGTCGCTCTTGAATGCTTTGCTCTGCAGTGGACAAGGAGGATCGCGAAGAAAAGCAACTCCTGAAGGAGAAACTTGACCCGAAACAGCTCGCAAAGGTAGGTGCCAAGCGTTCCGATCTGGCTGTGAGGTGCTGACATGGTCCACACCTTAGAGCCTCGCCATCACTGGGAACTAGTGCCCACCCATAACCTATTCATGTGACATGGCAACACCAACAACACCAGCTGACATGTGATACAGAGCCAGACCTGGCTTCTACAATTCCCTTGCCACCCTGTTGAAAATTGCCCATAGTAGATTTACTGGAAACACCAGGCAGAAGAGAGTACAACACAGTTATCCACTTCTCTCGCCTATCTGGGTATTTGTTATGTAAACCAGGCTGATTGTTATGACTTCCCAAGTCCTTGAGTCCTTGAATTGTATTATGTGATTTCCATGACAGTGTGCTATATTGTGGATATCAGTGTAGGCGCAATTCTCACTTGATACTGCCACTGCTTAGTGTGCTCTCCGTCACGTGGAATATTCTGCTTTGCTGCTGCTTCTGCTGCTGTGTTTGTACGCAGGCCGACAATCCTCTGGAGCAGGCTATTAAGTTCCTGAAGCCTCTGCAGACCTTCAGGTCTGAAGATCCTACCACTCACTTCCTCGCTTTCCGAGTGTATGCGAAGAAAGGTAAGTAATCTTCACTTTACTACGGTACGTTTGTACTCATTCTATTTGATATAATGTAGTATTTGTAGTGCATGCAGATTGAATACCATCTAACACTAGCACATACATGTGTGTGTTGTCTGTATGATGTGCGAGGACACATGGGCGGCCACTGCCGGCACATACATACATACATACATACATACATACATGCATACATACATACATGCATGCATGCATACATAAATACATGATAATGTGTGGGTGTTGGGGAGGGGATGGGGGTGGTACGCATGTGTTGGTACGGTATGTTACTCAGATCAAGTGAAGGTGCATGCGCTTCTTCATGTTTCATCATGGTTGCATTCTGCCAGACATGCATGATCACACACACCTCGATATGTGAGTCATCATGATGGACGTATTACTTGACCCTTTGAGCATGGCAGAGCTGTGGTTTCTGCCCATTGAATCACTAGTGAGCAATATCCTGATGCATTGGCACTGGCCTACTCTTCATTGTACCTAGCTGTGTTGTCTTCGCACTCGCTGGTTTTGCTCATTACTGCTGCTCCCACTGCTGTGTATCTGCCGCCAGGAAAAGTCCTTCCCATGCTGAAGGCACTAAAGCAAGCATCACGGCTAGTGCCGGAGCACGCACAGTACCACGCTTGCCTGTGCGAATTTGCCCTGACAGGTGAGATATGCCAACTCAGGCATCTTGGTGTGTATATTGCCACCGGTGGATACTGTAGTCTTCATGCTGCATTCTTCTGACTGTTTTCTTGTGTTCGCTGGCTATTAGTATAATATGAGCCGTCAGATGACGAAACCGACCTTATTTTAAACACTGTACAGTGCAGAAAAAAGGCACTTGAAAGTTGGCGAGTGTACGCACTGGTGCGCCTGGACAACCAAGCTACAAACCGTCGTAGTTTAGTCAAATATCGGTCTTTCGGGACAATCCAAGTACCGTATGTCAGCGCCTTTAAAACCATGGCCTTATATTCGAAACACCGTTGCTTTCCTAGATATTTTAGATGCAAAATCACTCACCCACTACGCCATGCCATAAAAGTCAAAGTCCACACAGAAATTTCACTTTAAATCTACTTGTTCACCCTTCCTGCTGGGCTGTAAGTGTGTTCGCAAAGTACTGATTCCTTCCTTTGCAAAACATACTTCAAATATCATTTCGTTTATGAAGCCCGTGGCTTTATAATCGAATATACCGCCATGGCTTTAAAGGTGCGGACATGCGGTATGTAAATCGAAGAGAATCCAATGTAGCAAGCGCGATCGTGGCATGATGCTGAGTTCCCGAGATACGAAGCCTGCAAGATATGTCACGGCATTTTGTATTTCTATGTGTGAATCAAATGCTCCAGGCCTGGGGTTTTCCCCATTTCAAGCGATCTGCGATCTCGGCAACAGGCTCAGACGTCTTGGAAGCTCTCACTGCATCTGCAGGAAAAAATGGCGTCCTGGGATAATGGAGATGGAAATGGCGAGCGGTTTTCGTGCGATGGCGCATGACCAGTGCTAAAGCAATGTCTCTAGCTTGTTGCGCTGGTGCTATGCTTTATTAAGTTTATTTGCTATCGAATTTGTTGCTCGCCACCAGAGCTTTCCAGAAAGCCCACGTTTGTGGAAATCGGTCAAAGGAAGCAGAAAATATTCTCCAAAGGAGGTGAAACAATTGTTGGTGTTGCACCCAAAATCGAGATGCAATTTGTAATGGTCTCCTATTGTAGAGGGTATAACTTTACTTCCCCTGATCCAATCAACTCTAGTTTTCTGCAGACGGCTCCTGATGCTCCTGGCATTCAGATAGTACCACTAACACAAATATGATTTCTTAGTGATAAGGTCGGTTTTGTCATCTGACGGCTCATATCATGATAATTATGTTCTTACTTTCACCAAGGGTGTAACTCTGACCCATGCCCACTGCACAGCAATATTCCTCGTCTACATCAGTACTGTACTGTTGATGTGGACCACACGTGACTGCAGATGGTACTGGAGTACCTTTCTCACCAGCGATGAGTACTTTCTTGGGGCTGTGATTATGCAGAACTCGGATAGGCCAGCACAGCCGCATTGTGTATACCGTATTTCCGCAAATAAAATACCGTCCTCGTATACAAGGCCGGGGCAGGGGGCGATTAAAAAAATACAAGACCGTCTCCGATTAGAAGACCGGGCTCAAACTGTCGGAAAAATAGAAGACCGTGCTCAAACTGTGTAGAAGAAAATGGAAGAACGGGGGTAAAACTGTGTGGCGAAAAATAGAAGACCGGGGTCAACCTGGGTTGAAAGAATAAAAGACCGTCCTCGAATAAAAGACCGTCTTCAATTATAAGGCCGGGTTAGGACGAGTTTGAAAAAATAGTAGACGGGCCTACTATTTGCGGAAATACGGTATCATGAGTTTTCATGAGATGCCACTCAACAGAGCTGTACACTCTGCTGTACACTCTGCTGGCCTATGTGCTTTTGATTTCAACCACTTGTTGGCAAATTTGTTTTAAATGGTATTTTTGTGTCTTCACTGTTTTGTTCCTTGCTCGGTTTGTTGTGGGTACTATTGTTGTGAGCAGTGAAGAGAAGGAGTTCAGAGCTTCCCGCCGCTGTTCTGGAGGTTGCAAACCAAGGGCTAAAGGAGCTGACGGCCCACCGTGATGTCGAAGAGTTGAACAGTGAATTCCTCAAGGCTCACTCTAATTCTCTGGAGCATCGCCTTGCTGGTACGTTGGTGAAATGCAACAATTGCTAAGAAACGAATATCGTCATTGGCAGTACATGTAATGTGCTGACCTGAGTATGCAGATGTGCAAGCTCAAGTTCATGTCCAGTGCATTTTATCCCGAAACATGTGCAACTTACGTCGTTGTGTTGACCTGAGCATTCAGTTACACTTTGAGTACATATTGGTCTGTCGGTTACCTATATGCTGTGGGCTTGTGCAATGGGTATAGCGCCGGTGTCAGTACTGTTGCAAATGGGGTGCCAGTTTGTTGAAGTTCTACTTTACGATATGTGCGTGTGTGTTCATGCATGTGCGTGTGCGTGCCCATTGCCTGTAGGTGGACGTGTTATATACCAGGCCGATGCTTCGCGGCAAGCAGCAGCGTTGGAAGTGGCAACCAACTTGGATGACAGTCTTGTTGACAGGACTCTCTGTGTGAGTGTGACACTGATGATGGCCGTACACCAGTATCATTGTGATGAGGCCTTTCCTATATACGGTGACGTGCATTTCAGTTTTTTTGCTTGTGTGTACCGTGAACAACCGAACAGTTCTTGATGGGTGGAACCTCAATTTTGTCTGTGTACGCGTGTCTTTGCGTGCTTAGGTCTGCAGTGCAGTGTACAAGGCGCTTGAAGGTGGCGAGTTTGGAGAGTGCGTTGCGGACGTAGCCAAGTTCAAGTCGCGCTGCCACGACCTTTTCCCCCTGGCAGTGATCTTCTTCAGTGATGCTGAGCTGGAGAAGCTTGCTGACGATCTCAAGAAACTCGGAATGACTGGCAGCAAGCCGGTTGTGAATGGCCATGCCGAGAATGGCACTGCTGAAGCCTGAATGCATTGACATGTTCACAGTGTGCCTAGAGGAGAAGTGTATATTTCTGGGTGACTTCAACTGCCTGCTTGTTTGCAGCTGCTGCTGCTGCTACGACTACTACTTTGACTACTACAACTGGCTGACTGTGTTTTTGTGTCCTGGTGTGCTTGGCATAGCTGCACCCCATTGACCTTTGGCCCGTGTGGGGCTAGGTAAAGTCGGCTCCACTAGTGGCACTAGCTTCAGCGTGAGCTGTAAGACTGTAGCACTTCAGCCTGCTTTCAGTCATACATTGCACTGCACATTGTCATCGTTGCCACTGGTTTTTCTTGCTGGTGGAAACGTGCAGTGCCAACAACGCTGGCTGGGTACCATTCTGTGGCGGTTTTTCAATCGAGCGTCCATGCACGTTGACAGGGTGACGGCACCACGCGTCCCCGTACATCGTTGCCACGGGGAGCTGTTTCACGTTATGTAGCACCTGGCAACCGAGGTCTATTTTGGCTCTGCTTGTGATTGTTTGATGCCATCATTACATCGCGGCGTGGCATGTTTTCCTTGACTGCCTGCGCTCCGCTAGCATTGGAAATATGCCGGGTCTCTTCCTGTTGAAAATACACACACTAACACGCCATCCTACCCTTTCTCATGCCCAATCCCTCTATTTTTTGGTTCCTTTATTTTCTTTAGGGAAATATGGCTTCATGTTGGACATGTTGATTCACCTTCTCTCGTACTTTCCTGGAAAGCGAAAACGCCCACACAGAGTTTGACTTTCTGCCGTTATTTGATCTTTTTTGTCCTTTCAGCTGTAGGCTACTGTGTATATTATGATCTGCTGGTGCTGATACTACTGCTTCCGCTGCCTCTGCTGCTGCTTCTTCGACCCTGTTTTTCTTTTTCCTCTTCTGCTGTGTACAATCGCTATTTGCTTGTGTGTGTGTGTGTGTGTGTGTGTGCGTGTGCGTGTGTGTGCCCATGGCTGCTTTCCAAAGACGTACTGTTTGGACATAAGACTGGTTGACCCAGTGTGGATTTTGCATTCCCCAAAGTTTTAATTAATCATGCTCCAAAATTCTTTTCTTTGTTTTTTGTCTTCCTTAGTAATTCACGTACGGGTATGCAAAAAAAAGCTTGAACAAGGATAACTGTGGCGTGTGCCGCGCAGGTGTGTGTTGTTTGTGTTGACCGGCAATGGACTCTTGCTGTGTTATCAATGACAATGGAGCCGGTGGAGCAGTTTCATCAGATTCAATCATTATTCTCTCTTCTCTTTCCCGGCTAACTATGGAGACGACTCACGTGACCAGTTTCTGACTAGACTGCGAGCAAGTAGACTACAGCACAGAGTACAGTACAGTATGATACACATGCACTGACACTGAGTCTGTAGTGTTTGCTGTTTGTATGTGGTGTGTCTGTGTGCTTCTGTGAACTCGCATTACTTTTCGATGGCATAATTAATTTTATCATTAATTTTCCATACCCCTCCGGAGCTCCCCCGGCCTGAAAAAAAAGCACTTCAGTAAAACCTGCCTACAATGACATGTAGGCGACCTGCCTGATCCGAGAGAACCACTACAACCAGAGCCATATTTCCAGTCAAGTGAACCGGATAAGAAGACCACCTGTACACATGCACAGGGGACCGCAGTTGTGAGGTCCGTTCCAGGGAGCCCTACACATAATGTTGTGAGATACTATGAAGAGTGACCACATTTTTGTTGTTGTAGTAAACACTCTTGATACCATGCTCCCAGGTCCCTCAGACAGTGTTTTACTGTTAGTGGCAACGCCTGGTCGACACATGTACATTGCCCATGCGCACGTACAACAGAGAAAGCCATTATTCTGACGAGGCGCATAAAATAACAAGCATTGTAACGATTTCCTAAAATTGATGGTATACGTGTTTACAAAAGGTAACGATTCTCACTAATTCTCAATGCTCAGTTGTACTTCTTCAGACTCCAGGCACCATTCACATGTATCACCAACCACTGTCGACATGTCTTACTCTTAGTCTCTTACTCGTAGGTTTGACTCAGGGAACAGGCTCACATACTGGTAGACAGCACACAGTCGGTAGATCAACTTTTCCAATAAGTTTTCCCCACCTCCACACGTGCAAATGTCACTCATTACGACAGCCTGGTAGTGGTAGGATTATAGCAAATATCTTCAAATATAGGATAGATGTGATTCATTTGTTCTCTCTCACTCTCAACGCAGGTGCTAGTATAGTTGTCAGTAATATCAGAGCTCCTTTCGTGTAAGTCGCTCAACTGTATGGTCAAAGGAACATTATATCCGGGATAAATCATGGGAAAAGGTCACTGTCAACAGTCAAGGAAGTTTCAAAGCCGGAGAAAGTGTCAAGCCAGCAGGTATAGCAGACCTGTATCAACTGTGGCAATATCGAGCACACAGTAATGAACTCAAGAGCAGTGTTCAAGGAAACTCGGTGTGTGCGTGCCCAGCAAGCAACTCGTGGCGTAGTTGCTATCTAGCATCTCAGATCAAGTGAAATAATTATTATAAAAACAGCAGATACAGCCGGGGTGATACCTATGATGCAGTGGGTAGTGCTTCTCTGGAAGCTGTAGAAGAAGTCCTGTAATTGCAGGCTGCACACGGTTGATTCAGTGCGATTGTGCGCAGGTGATGTGAAATAGTTCTTAGAGGCAGCTCTCCGATGCTTAGTCGCTTTCTGGCTCAAAGAATGCTTCAATCCAGCACGGGCACTGCATGACAGTAGGGCGCCGATGGCCATAGCCCCAGCCAGACACCATGCTCACACGCACTGCCATCACATCAAACGGAAACGTCAGCTGCCTGCGACTGCGGAGGTAATCCTCCAGCTGAACGGCACGCTGCCAGTCGAAGATCTCTACAATGTGACCGGACGGAATCGCCTTGACCAGCTTGTCCTCGCCGTCTAACTGAGAACAGGCCAGCGTGGGGCTCTGCACATACATTGAGTGCTTGCTGCCATTGTACAGGCACACTTTCTGGTTGTCATGCGTCCGCCACATGAAGAAGCCACTTCCGATCTGCTGGCGGCGTTTCTCGGCAGCAGCACTGCGGCACCGGCTCTTGATGCTGCCAATGTTGAACGAGCCGTCGAGCTGCGCAGAACCCTCGTGGTAAACATGCATGGCGGAACTCTTGCACGTCCGCTGGCGACCCATTCTCTCTCTTCCTTCCCAGTAGGCCATGGTGAGCCATGACTCAGTCGCTGGACGCTCTCGTCGTCGAGCAGGGCTGACAGGCTTCTCTACAATAGCAGCAGCAACATGGAAAGAACCACACACAGACAAGCATCTGTCAGAAACGTGTCATACAGCACATACCAGTAGAATGTAAAGTCATGCCCGGATAGCAGAGCAGCACGTACATACGCATGGGTGGCCTTTCCCCACACAACACCAGGCCATCCGCACATGCTACTTGTATGTGTGTCGGTTCCTATCTACAGGAAAACGTGCCAAATCCTGAATGACGGATGATGGCATTTTCAGACTTGTGGCCAGGGCAGCTACATTGTCCAACATTCAACCTGTCAGAGAAACTTCTGCCTTGGAGCCAATCATGCCAGAATACCCATTCCCAGCGCACATAGCCTGAAAGGAAACGTGCACACCTCCGTCCTGCCCAGCCTACCTAGCACCAATGACTGATGACAAGCACATGGCATTGAGGCCAGTTGAATGAGTCATGCCTGGCAGTAGGTTCGAATGGAACGTCATTCTGCCTCTTTGTCTTTGTAGACTTTGAACCAAAGCCGGGCTTCTACCATTATTGCACTGCCAAACCACCAACAATAATACTTGTCTTGTTAGAAACAAAATCCAGATATTATAGTGACTAACTTGAGCTAATAAATCAAGCCATCCGGAATCTGCTGGAGAAGTGCCAACCTCTCAAAGCCCTAATTTCCCCTGCAGCAGCAGCAGCACCATTGCTACCACTACACACTACTACACTACATACTGGACTGAAGACAACTGCAAGCTACTGACAGTAAAATTATTGTCCTCGCGGACCTCGTCATCAGAATTAGTTCACGACCAGGACGGGAAATCTCACTACATCCCACTTTCATTCACGACTGGATACCAGTAAGCTGAGCTATAGTTCTTGGCAAGGCCTATCTCGGACTTCACGTTGACACGCAGCTACAGAACTCAGAAGACACAGTTGAATTCCCTCGATCACGTGCCGCTCCCCAAACACACCAACTACTTACACACTTTCTGTAGTTTCTGCCCAACCGTTCAACGCGATCGAATGCCTCAAGTCAAAAGAATTATTCCTTCTACTGCTATCAATACGATCGGCACAGTTCACTGCTAAAACACTTCTGTCTAGTGCAGAAGAAATGCACACAGGCCAAGAAAACTCACCATGTTCTCCAGCATCCAGATCAGGGCAGCACGCTTCGTAGGCTAGTGAAGCGCCGCTACTTCCCTCCATGCCGCTCTCCTCTGAGCCCGTTGTGCCGTCCGCTGCGAAATGTCTGCGTACGATCGTGTGTTGTCTGCCAGCTGAACTCGAGACAGTGGTTTCGTCGAACGCCGAATCACAGCTGACAGAATCTGTACGGGGACACGTCCAAACACAGGGTAGAAAAAAGGGAAACAAGACTGTTACAATGTAATCAATGATCCCACAACAAACAAAACTCTGTGCCTGCGGTCTAACCAGCGCATTCCACTTCATGCGCATATGCATGTATGTCACAAGAAGAGCTTCCTTTCACGCACGTCACATCGTCGCGTCTTGCTCACTTGCATGATTTGGAAAAAAACACACACGTGCGGCAATCAAACGGAACGCAGACTGGAAGTCTCCTCCGCCGCAGTTTCGTTGACTGCAGTACAAAACGCCGTCACTTGCCTACTACAACCATGTACTTCACAGACTGCGACAAAATACACTGCGTCGAATGATGTACATGTTCATGGCACTATGAAAGCTAGACGGACAGTCAGACAAGACGTACAGCTTGTTATCCCACATCCCCTGAGCGGGCCACAAACACGCATTCTTGTCGCCAGCCCCTGAACTAGAGCCACCATACCATCAACACCACCATCATCGTCATCGCGAAAGAGGCGAGAGTGCAAGTGTGAGATGGCGCAGCGCTCAACGTGCAATTTCATCACCAACCAATCAAAGTCTGAGATAACGTGGAGATGCGGTGAGGTTTGCTTGCTTACCTGAAGTCTTGCCGAGCTCTGTCGTTGATGAACAATGTTGCAATGATATCCTGTCCAGTGGTGTACTCCCTGCAAAATCAGCAATGACAAAACAGCACAAAGCAACAATTATTTCTCAAGTCAACAGGAAAGGAAATGAGTCCCACGCCACGTGCATACTCGTGAAGTCGACACCAATAAAAACACAAACACTCCACGTGGGACGGTCTTCTCGCAGGAATACACCCTCATTATAGAAACTAAAACGCCACCGGGCATATACGGAGATGACACACGGACCGTATCGTGTACATACAGACAGTTCTGCGCAGTTGAGTAACACTTCAGGGTCGCAAGCACACACTACGACTTTATCACACAGTCACAGCATTGCTGCCTGCCACAAACTGACTAATCGCTAAAAAGTAAGAAACCCGCTAAAATCCCTGCCCGCGACACTTTGTCCATGCATTGGAGAATCAAGCCAAGCGATCATCACAGTTCAACTACTCACTGAAGTGTAATAGTTTGCCAAAGTGAAAGGGATTGCAGCAGCGCTTGCCAGAGCTTGTTGCGTCGGGGCAAATTGGCAATCTGCGAATAACATCTTCCGCAGAGAGATCCAAGTCCGGCCATCTGAAAACCTTACAACACACCGCCTCGGGTGTGACATTGAGAAGGTGCTGTTCACCAGAAACCACTACATTGACACTGACGGTGTTCGTCGGCAGCATCCAGCACGCTCCAGCGTCATCCTCCTGTGCCAGGCCAAAGCTCTTCAGCTCTTTCGCTTCTGATTGCTTGCAAATAACTTTCAGCAATTCCAGCATTGAATCTCCTTCAGCGTGACTTGCAACACTGGATGATTTCCACAACTTTTTGATAAGACTTTTCTTGGATGACAGCATGGTTGCGGAGTAAGACGAGCGATCAACTCGAAACCAACACTCGGAGCTATGGCGATTAGAAAAATAATAATTATTTGGCGAGAGGCGAGCAAAAGTGCTGCTTGCTTTCTCTTCAGCACACCAAGACTAATGCTTGGAGTAGCGATGACAAAGACTAAAATCGAAGGTGTCGGCATTGAATGTCGATCGGGCACGGCAGCTGTGGTGTGCGGCGGTACTGTCCCAGTGCAGTGTGCATCTTGTATGTTTTCAAAGACTGTCGACACACAGACTCAGTACAGTATCAGTTCACTACACTGCAGACACTCTGTCTGCAAGACTGCATGACTGTGGAGATCGCATGCATTGGACCCGCACGTACTTGAGCAACGCCGCTCACATCACGGGCATGTGTGATGAAAGAGGACAGTGCGTGTATGTGTTGCAGATGATCCTGCCTCCTTGTCGCGTCGCCAGACGTCCTGGCGTCCGCTGCGCATTGACGATATGGGGAACATGTTGCTGTCCCTGATGTACCTGCACGGCGTGCTGGCTGTGGCCATGTGGAGTATGGCGTGCGTGTCTTGCATGCCAGAACATCATGTATGTACCATGTGTACTGTCATATCAGTGGATCAAGGACTCGTGACTCTTGAGTGCATACTCAGATACTGTACAGTCATACTCATCGCGCGCTCCCAACTCCAACCAAGTGACTGCAAAGATCATGACTTGAGGTCGAGAGCGCGAGCGCACTCACTCACATGCATGCAGACGTGTCATGTCACTGAGAAGATACACAGCACAAACGTGAGAGGGCTCGTGTGATCCATGGGCTCCGACGAGACACCCAGCTCGGCGCCAAGCTTTCACCGGCTATGCGGCGCCGTGAGGTGTGAAGTCCATGTTGCACTCTGCATTGTTCACTGCGATCATCATGATCATGCGAAGGAGACTTCAGCTCATAGTCAGGGAGCCGACCTTCAAAAAAGTGGCGCTCCAGGTCGGGCGAGATGGAGTACAAGATCTCTTCAGCAATGGGTTATGGGTCTATCAGAGAAGGGCTTTCGAGTTCTTGGCCATCCCAAAGCTGTGCACGGACATCGCGAGGACGCATTTTGTTCGATGGTCAAATTCACAATTGTCAAGCATTTAGGCGCAAATGTTTTTCGTTCTCAGCCGACTTCTCGGTTTGAGAAGTAGGTGCGCACGCTCAAAATTCCAAATCAGTGACTATGCGCCTGTCCAGAAGATGACGACGCTGCAAGCTTACTTTCTCAAAGCGTGACATACATTTTCATTACGATTTTGGCTTTGAAAGTGAGAATAGTATTGCCATCGTCAGGTCCACTAGTCACGAAGCATGGCGCTTCTGGACAAAAGCGCAACATCGAGTGTGTACCAGCAATAGTGCACAATAATACTCGCGCCTACTCCGGCAATTCTGCAACGCGTGCAAGCAAAGTTTCAAAAGTATATTTCCAGGTCTGACTGAGGTCGAGTCGAGCGAAGATTTCGGCAGAGTAGGCGAGATGTTGCTTGCTGACAAGTCGGCCTCCGCGTCCCTGAGTCTTGACTGCCAGTGCCACAGCCGTATGCACCAGTGACCAGTCACCGGACGTGCAAGATCATCATCACCCATGTCGGTACTCTGCCTGGCCTATTTATCTGCTGGTGGTGTCAACTCCGTTGCAGTTTGCCAGCTTGTTTGTTCCGGTACTCGTTCTTCAGGTGAGCCTAGCTGCTTTTGCACAAAATACTTTGTGGATCCTGTGAGAGATCATGTAACTCGAAAACGAGACGTTGTTTGAAACAAAGGTAGAATGACAATCACTGCCAGTTCCACATGCACTTCTGACAGGAACTACGACAGATGTCTACATGGCAGCACCAAAGGAGAGCATGGGATAGGCAACATAACAAGATAGAACATACATGCGCGCACGTGCATGTGTGCGAGCTTGTGTACACGCGCGCACGCCCACACACGCTTGCAAGCGTGTACTCACATGTGTGCGAGTGTGCATGAGTGCACACACACGCACACACATGTGACTCTCTGTTCGCACACACACACACATACATGTGTGCGAACATGCGCGCATTCATCACACACGCGTGCGCACATACACACAGGTGGATGCGCACATGCCAATGCTCACACACACACGCACACGCATACACGTGTACATGTGCACGCACACACACGCGTGCGCGCTTGCACGCACATACACACAGGTGGATGCGCACATGCAAATGCTCACACACACATACACGCATACACATGTACATGTGCACGACACACGCGCGCGCGCGCGCGCACACACAGAGGTGGATGCGCGCACGTGCATGTGTGCGAGCTTGTGTACACGCGCGCACGCCCACACACGTGCACAAGCGTGTACTCACATGTGTGCGAGTGTGCATGAGTGCACACACACACACATGTGACTCTCTGTTCGCGCACACACACACACATACATGTGTGCGAACATGCGCGCATTCATCACACACGCGTGCGCACATACACACAAGTGGATGCGCACATGCCAATGCTCACACACACGCATACACGTGTACATGTGCACGCACACACACGCGTGCGCGCTTGCACGCACATACACACAGGTGGATGCGCACATGCAAATGCTCACACACACACGCGCATACACGTGTACAAGTGCACGACACACGCGCGCGCGCACACACACACGTGGATGCGCACATGCAGATGCTCACACGCATACATACATATAAACACACACACTCATGCACGCGCGCGTCATTATCTACGAATCTCAGAAACATGCAACACGCGGCCAGAAGTTAATCATCACCAGTGAACTTGCTGTGATTGTGGTACCAACAACATGCTGTGCAAGAACGTCACCATCATCGGCTGCTCTGAGGTAGCATTCCAGAATGGCAATTTACAAAGCCGCTGTCTAGTGCCCTACTATCATCTCCACAGAGCAGCAGTCGGAACCCAGGAGATAACTGCTCGGCATAGCTGCAAACATCGCAAAGGTTACAGCACTGGATGCTTCTAGTGCAACGGGTCACCCCAACCCTGTACTATACTTGCTGGTGCATGTCCGAATGTGACAACCCAATCATTAGCGCCCATGTTCTGGACCGTCACTAACGCTTCCGCCCAGGGCCTTATTACTGGCTTTTACGGTACTCACCGATGCATGTCCGAATGTGGCAACCCGCTCAGCAGCACTACACATGTGAGCAACAAGTGGACGTCGTTGGCAGCACAGAGCAGAGGATCGCAAACCGGATGAAGAATGGATACTGTTCTCCATGATGAAGGGATCAAAAACCGTTCAGCACAGATATTGCGCTACATCGTCTTGCCTGGATGTATGCGGTGGTGCCGATGCATATCGCGTCCATGACACTGTTTACATATCTGCATTCAGCCTTTGTTCGCATAAATATGATGCACCGTAGCTGTAGTTTTAAAATGATTATATTCTACATGTTACCGCCACATTTACTGATTGCGTTTGCGGAAATTCCTAAAATATACTACGTCTACTACTACTCAATTTACCACACAAAGGACTGAATGAAGTAGGGAAATAATCATCCCATGATCTTCTACAATGTGAATTCTTCCATGTACGCGCATGTCATTGTGCAGCATCCGAAACTTCAACAAAACAATGATTCAAGGAGACGTTATTCAAGATAAGTCATGCATTTCCACGTTCACTGGTATAATCAAAGATTCCGTTCAAGGCAGCTGCCATGGTGTGTACCTTATCACCTTTAACACACGTTGTCAGTCCGCTCATTGACTAGCATGAAATCGTTTGTAGCAGGAGTACTCTTGTTTGTAGTGAGGATCAATCTACAAAACACTATTGGTAAAAACAATCCAGAGTCACCTCGATGGAGACGGACAGTTCCTACGAGACCTGCCTGTCGACATCAGGGTCAAGTGGCAAGTCATTTAGCCGTTACGCACGACAATCTCAGGAACACCAGTCATGTCCTCCTCCGACGAACCAGCTACTGTATGTTACTTCAGAACTCAGAACGACACAATTATACAAACAGAATGAAAAATGCTTCATCGACGGTGTGACTTTGCGTTTCGCTTCGTGTTTCTTTGTGTTTCTCTTGAAAATCTAGCAAAATTGAGTCATTCGCATGAAAATGTCTGGTTACGTCAGCGAAACCCGCTGATTTTCCCCATTTTTCAAGCGCTGAATGGCGCAAAAACTGTGAAATCACGGCAACGAAATAGTGTTCGACGAGCGAACAAACCTCCTTGCACCGGCATTGGTGCACAGCTTCGGGACGGCCAAGTTCTCAAATCGTCCTCTAGAGACCCTTACCTACCTCTGTGCGAAGTTTCAAGTCCTCCCTCTGAAGTGGCATACCCCGAAAATAAAAAGCATCCTACAGATTTCAGCTCCCGGACTATCATGCTCGCGCTCACTGCCAGCACTAACTGAAATAATCATGATAATGGATGTGGACTACACATGGCTGACTTTCGACTTCATAGCCCGTAGATCTACCATGATCTAGATCTACTGTTGATACATAATTATATGGGGCCATAGGCATAGGTGACACTCCACTCGGGTAATAGTACTACTACTAGTAGTAGTAGATTTATTATTTTGATAGGGAAGGCCCTACAGACGTTGCCGTCTTATAGTTATACTATGACTGATTGTACTACTACTAGTAGTACATGACTGTATCCATGGAATCTGTGCCCAGTAATATGGCAGTATGCTATCGATCCCTCAGAGTCAGAGTCAGGCTCCTTTGTCCTTCGCCTTGCCTTTTAGTACGGGGGCCAGGCATCAAAAAAGTGGCTGAAAAAAACTTTCGTTTCCACTTCGTCCGCACAACAATTTGACTGCAGATAATGAAAGCAGTGGCCTTCCTGACACGGAATCAACAAAAAATTGCTTCAAAATGCGAATGGAAGGCCTCCATCGAGTAACTTTTCTCGCACCTGTTCAGCCATTGCCGCTTGTCTCTTGCGCTGAGTTTCTTCTCCGCGCGAGCAGTCACGCAACGGTAAGTTTTCCTCACGGGACTGTCCCGTCCATTGTACGGCGAACTGAGCATAGTCTGCGCTGCGCGAAACACGCATACAGAGTCTAGTCTCACACCTCACGTGCTCAGCGGTCCACGTGGAGTGTCAAGTTTCAAAAGTGAACTCGGATGTGTCGATTCACGTACTACTACTGCGCTTCTTCTCCGTTTTTGCCTTTTTGTACTCTCACGCATAATAGTAAGTAGTTTGTTTTCGGGTGGTGAGGTTCTGGAAAGTCGATGTCACAGGCAGATTGTCCCCAGCGGACAACTCGGCAAAGTCTATCTGTACCAGTTGTAGAGCCAGGGCGAAAGGAGTGCATATTCTGTCAGAAATTTCAGCTGGGAAAGAAGCACAAGTATCAGAAAACTTCGCAGTGCCAGTCACACAACGCTGCCCAGAAAGTGCTAGACGCAGCTAAGTTGCGGAGAGACGAGGCTATTGTAATAGCTATTGGTTCTCAGTCTTGCCTCATAGCACGTGAAGTTCACTACCATTGGCACTGCTTCCGAGAGTACACCAGACTATTGGAGGTCGAGGATCCTGGGGACGACCCTCAGGGAATTGGTGGACAGGCTCCTTCGGAGGAACAAGTAGTTGCCCAGTTTCTTGAGGTCGTGCGTCAAGAATTGTTTGACAATTCTGCACTGCTGACCTCTGCTGATCTCCAGTCCATCTTCCAGACCTGCTGTAACAAGGAAAGTGGCAACTTCTGCACTCAGGTCAGAAATCGAAAACTGAAGAGCATCATTTTGAAAGAGTTTGATGGCCAGCTCGCTGCAACGCCCCTGAATTGTTGTGTGCTGTTAGCTCGACTGACAACTTTATCAGACAGTTTGCACTGCTGAAGGAGGAAGTTGCAGAAGATGAACCCCTAATGCCCGCCGATCCTTATTGCAGTGAGTCTGGGGAGGAGTCTGAGGATGAGTCTGCCAAAGTGGAGAGTAGCCATGTCTGGACCAATGAGTGTGAGGAATGGAGAGTCTTATATTATGCAGCAAACATCCTCCGCCAATCCATCGAGCACCATGTCAAGTCCACGAAGCAAGAACTGAGCGGTGCACGGCTGTCTCCTGAGGATAGCGCGCGATTGATTCCTGACAAGCTCTTTAATTTTCTTGCATGGACCCTGGACAAGGATGCCGAATTCCCGACGTGCCGCTTGCCGTCTCTTGAGAGTGTTCTGCAACGCCGTATCCATGCCATCTGCCAGGATCTTATCGGTTTTGCGGCACTGGTTACCGCACTCCGAAACACATTGTGCTGGGCATGGCAATCCATCACCTGTGCCGCAGTAAGCAGATAGTTACCATGTTGAATCGTCTTGGCTATTGCTGTAGCTACAGCCAGGTACTGGAGCTGGAGACTTGCTTGGCAGAGTCTTTTACACGCCATCAGCACAATCAGTCTTTCTTGCCTGCCGCCATCGACACTCGCAAGCCGTACCATTTCGTGTGAGATAACAATGACCCTTGCGAGGAGACACTGAGCGGACTTGCGACTACGCACTGTACAAATGGTATCGTTGTACAGCCTTCTCTGCAGGATGAATCGGTAGCAAGTGAAGCGACTTCCATCTCTCTGCCTACACTGTCAACGTCGAAGCGAAAGCGCTCATTGACAATGGTCCCGGAGATTCAGCCTGTGTTTGCAATGCCTGCAAGACAAAATCCACCTCCCATCATACGCCTATGCTGCTGACACCCGCTCTGGTGCTGCATTGATGGACTTTGTCTGGAAGCTCTCCCGGTTCTGCCCAGATGGACAGATCAGCAAGCCTCGTGCAGTCATTGAGATTGGAGCTGCAGCTGATGGCAAGTCTCAGAGCATACCCGCGTGGACAGCATTCAATTATCTCGCGACGAAGAACAATGTGCCTTCTAAGTCGGAGATTGGTTACTGTCCGGTGATCAATGCATCGCCAATATAGAACCTCACTGTCTATACCCTACTATGCCGCTCCATTACTATGGCAAGGCAGGCTGATCTTCCATTCACGATGGTAGTTCTGGATCAAGCAATTTATGCCAAGGCTGTCGACATCGTGTTGCAGAGACCCCAAGAATTCCGCTCTGTGGTTCTCCGGAGTCGACTTGAAGTCAAACTTGATGACAGCATCTGTAATGTCCATGCTCTTGTACACATTATTATCGATGAAATATATTATGTCATGTTCTTGTGGGCCATCGAAACTGGCCTTCTGTCTACTTTAATGCGCATGCCTGCTGGAATCGTAACCAATGTGCATGTACAGTGCGTATCGGTTATAGCGTGGTCGTGTAAAAGAATATACTGCATACAAGAATGAACCCTCATGTTTTCATAATCATAACATGGATTTCAAGTGCACATTTATTCTTACAAGCAATTTTATCCCATAGTAGAATATATCGGTCCTAAGAATGGACTTTGTGTAGCGAAACATGCCAATTAGTACAAAGTGTATCGCCTGTAGTAATAACATCTGTCCAATTCCGTTCTGATGTGACTCTCGTTGCGTCGTAGTGCTGCAGATTCAACTGTTGTGGCCATGTAACTCAATTTTTGCATAGCCACATGTAAGCTTATGGGACTATGACCAGCCACATGCACAGAAGTACTGTGTTGCATGTACGATGATCTTCCTGCCCCTGCGGACATGCATATGATATGCCACACTTGATTTATCATGTGTAAGAAATATCGGAAATAAGAATAGAAAGTCGTTTTTCAAAAACCCACGCTATAACCGATACCTACTGTACATGCTTTGAACATACTTATGACTGACTTCCTGTGCTGGAAGGCATGATTGTACATGTACAAGTACCCTGTGGAATAAAGTATGCTTTATCTCTGCGTGTGGTGAAATAGTCAGCTGCTTCCTTCATGCCAGTACACTGTATTCTGATTTGATACATATAATGTACACAATGCTGTAGTACATGTACATGTACATGACTCTATAATTATGACTATTCGCATTGATACAATAGAGTGCACGATGTGCATGATACTCCATGTACATGTATGTTTTACTAATAGCAGTGCCAGTCGACACGAATACATACATAGTATGTACCCCTCAACAAATTTGGAGCTTCTGTGGAAGAAAATAACATGAAAAACACGCTGTTGCCATACTGTTGCTATGCAGTTGCCATGGCAACCCATGGGAAACTTTCAAATGCCAATTCCACACCGTTCCATCCCGATTCCAGGGGTGAAAAATATATCAGGGGACTCTACACGACTAGGGCTACAAGATGAAGTACATATTTTGTTGTGCGCTCTCAGTGGAAACGAAACTTCACATTTCTCAACCCTGGCCCCCGTACTATTTGCCTTGGCTTGAGCCAGGCAAGTGATTCCTGCCAGCACTGGCACTACACTACTGTGCAGTATTATTAATTTTTTGTTTGAACTAAGAACACGCGCGGGGACATGAAAAGCACAATCATACTCGCACGAGTCATAGGCGCTAGGCCTTCAGTGACAGGTACTAGGTAGCGGCGCTAGCGCTGGCAGTGGCGGGCATAACATAAGCTAAGGTGAGCGCTTTGCAGCTTTACACACAACAAATACAGTAATTATTATTACGTCGCCGGCCAGCATGCAGCCATGCATGCCAGTCTTGCATTCCTGAGTCGATCAAAGTTAGTACAGTTTTTAAACTGTACTAACTACTTCAAACGATATAAAAAATTAATAAATACAATAAAACTGGCTGATGTAGTCTGTAAGACATCGATCGACAGTAAGGACTGAGCTATGGCGCGGCGACAAGATCTAGTGGCACGTGCCAGAGCCGCGGACTCGACTGTACTAGCGTACTGTTTTTGTTGGCATGTGCAGTCGACGTGCGAGTTCCCATCGCGTCGAGGTGTTGAACACGTAGATCTATGACCTGTGTGTTACCCAACATGTAGTAGGCACAGATATGAGAATAGTTTCTCCTGAAGTCACATAGTGGAAACGCTTCCGATAGAACATGACCAGAGATGACCGTACTGATGTCCTTTGAATAAGACGCTAGTGTGGTAGACCTACGTACTGGTGGTAGGGCTAGGCCTAGGCTAGGGCCGCCCGCTTTTGTTTCATTTTTACTAAGGTGCCGCCGGGTGTGTACATGTGTGTGACTGTGGACCGTCCTGGCCCTGCAAATCAGGCTTTGGCCTAGCTAGTCCTGCCAGGCATCAGCGCTGTAGACTCTATACGACTACGCGTCGCCCGCCATTGTTTCTTATTCTGAATGAATGCTGGATTGTAGATGCCGGACGCGAGACTCGCGAGTCTTTATTCTGGCCGAGCTGGAGCTAACGACACGTAACCGTTGCTTCTGTCAAGTGTGACGCCTTGTTGTTTTTGAAGACGCTGTAAATGCCAACAGTTCATGTCGACAGCATTCACTATCGCGCAGGAAAATCGTCTGGAGGCGCTGGACTCTGGCGTGACCACCACTAATAATAGCATGATGATCGATGATGGAGACAGGCCTTGGCTCTGCACGAGTCTGCAGCGACACGCGGCGGATAATGGCCGTCACCGAAGCATTGGCCTGTCGTCGAGTCGACACAGTGATCTAGGTGGCCGAGCGCATGGCATGCTGCTCGCTGCCGTGGCCCATGGTGTTTCCTCCACCTTGCTGGCATGTTGCTTGCAAGCACGTCGCGGCTGCCGTCCCGCGTCTTCAGCCCCACACATTCCCAAGCTAGACAAGTCCTGGCGTGGTGCTGTACCTGTTGTGGCAGGGGTGCCTTCAATGGCTGGGGTTCTTCCCGCAACTACTACTACTTACTAGTACTGAGTACTACTAGTAGTACTCTCTCCAAGTAAAGTGCTGAAATATTCGTAGCCTAGGTCATGTGAACGACTGGCCTCAGTCCTGTCTACACGTAGATCTTCTGGAGCATTCCTCTTACAGTCTTGGATCTATTTGTGCCGGCGACGTCCAGACTGGTGAGTGGTGCAGTACTTATTACCATGATTACGCTGCACATGCTGCCATTGTTATGTACTCATTGTTCGCTTGTGGTCGACGCCTAGGCCAGCGCCTGTCAAGAAAGGCGTGCTGGGCTTGTATTTTCTGGTCAAGTAACGTGTTTTGATTGGAATTTTTTCCGATGAAAAGCCTGTCACCCGGACCAAGGCCAAAAACAGTTCTACTAGTACTAGCCAGTGATTGTGTTACTTAGCAAGAACCTGTAACACTAACATTGTGAGAAGTTAGTGTTACTGTTGAATGTTGCAAATATTAGTATGTGCCTCACAATTCACCTCTTCCGCATCATCGTCTCATTTTCATTCTCAGGCTTTACTTGGTCAGGGTAGTAGATCACGGTAGATCTACGCAGACAAAATGCAGACAGGATGCTAGCATTCAGTCATCATAATGGTCATGGTCCTCATACTAGTCATACCAGATCATGACCTCACTCACCTCCGTCTGTATTTTAAATCTTGACAAAGCTGACTCAGTGACTGCGCTGAGCTGAGCCACATACATGTACATGACGTCATGCATGCTCTAGCCCTACACTACAGTACATCATTACATGTACAGAAAATGAGTTATGGCTACTGTATAAGTACAAATTTTCGTTTATGAAATCGTTCGTTAGATCACTCCACCAGCAGGTTCATTACGTACTAAATTTCATTTTTGATCGAGGTCGGTCACCCCGAACGTTCAGGAAAAAAACTTGAGTTTGGTACAAACTTTTGTTATTTCGTGTCCCCTAACGAATATAGCGAAAGTTAATCCAAACGAAACTTTTTTTATACAGCATGAAGCAATAAAAAGAACTAACTCTGCCATCACCATCATGCATCAACTAGGCACCGCACTGGCTAGGCACCGCACTGGCGGATTATGCCGGCAGAAAAATTGGCAGAGTTCGATACTTTTTCTGGCAAGTTTCATGCATGTTTGGTATGTGGATAAAGAAATGGAGCAGAATTCGAGGAATTGCCCGCCATAAGGTTTGCATGGTTCTGCCAATTTCACTGCTTTTCGAGCAGAATCCGCCGGTCCCTAGCATCAACGAAGTCAAATGTTTCCATAATCGATTTTCATGTCACTCACTAGCTGGATCTTTGCTTCCTGTCTGCCATGTTGTTTTAGAGTGGCTTTCTAGCCTAGAAGGTCACGGGCAGCTCGTTCTACAGCACTCGGCGGTCATGACAATCAATAGGAATGAAGACAATGATCACCTAAAAAGTTTCCTCGGAGACAAAAACGCTAGAACACCAATAAAGAAAGAGCCCACATTTCAAGCTTTTCAACACCAACATTTTGAAAAAGTTTCATTGTTCCTGTTCCTCTGTTCGTTTTTGCCTGTGCCTTACCTGAGGAGAAGCCACGAAAGTTTACCTGTGGAATTGTTTCAACATGTTGGTGTTGGAGCACCTGAAGTGTGTGATCTTTCTTAATGGTCATCTAGTGGAGGGGGCGGGGGGGATTGTTAGGGTAGTTGTCTAACCAAACCTGTGGAATTCTGTTTGTGCATGATACTATTGATAGGTTGGTGAACTGCTGCTGCTGCTGCTGCTGGGACTACCAGTCTACTTGTTGGCTGAAAGTACCGGGTATCAGAACATGTCCTCCATCACAGTTCAGCCTGGTGTCGGAAGTGGTGTCATGGCACTTAGACCTGGCTTTCTTGTATCCTGCAATGATAGTGGACAAACTGTCGTCATACTTGGGCCTAAGGGTAAGCATGCGGTTTTGTTTTCCGGCTTTTGTTTGGTGCCCAAGTAAGTTTTTGTTTTTCACGTCACAGTGCAGTACTGTGCTGTACGTCTTTCGTAATAATAAATTATGACTGTATCAGTATCCTATTGGCATCCAGCTGGGTTTGCAAAGAACTACTCTTCATGCTAGTAACATAGTCATCACAGTGTATCAGTAACTCAGTCATCCCTCTCAGTGTATCAGGAAATGATCAGTCATCACAGTATATCACTAACTCCGTAATCACAGTGCCAGTATCAGTAGTAGTGGTACAGTGCACCAGTTCAGTGCAATGTACATGTACATGACAACAAGTAACATGTACAGCCAGGAGATGTAATATGCAAACATGTACCTCCCAGGGAGGGGGGGGGGGGGGGGGACATACATGTAAAACCTGGTGTAACTACATTGTATTGTACATGTAGGTGCTGTATACCGTGTATTCAATACCCAATAAATATACATCAGTGTACTAGTCAAGATGTACATGTACAGTTCTTTTATTTTTTCAAAGATGGCCAGCTCTGTGCTACTAAAGGAGACTGTACTTTTATTGATTCCGGCTGACACTTGAAGATTCATCGCCTGCCATGGGTGTCATACCACTCATTATAATGATACTTTACAGCTGTAGAGGTACAGTACCCCAGTAATGTCGCTCACATCCGATTCTGGCATGCACTACTATTAGAAACGTATCCTGTTATATTTCGACCCGCCCTCAACATGTACACATACATGTATGTTACTACTATAAGAGAGGTACATGTACTAGTGTTGAAGATGTGTACAAGCGGCATTGGGGGAAACTACAGTATCCAAGGTCAAATGACTGGAAATAGATACAATGTATACAATGTATACAATGTATACAATGTATACAATGTATACAATGTGTACAATGTATACATTGTATACAGGGTCTTCATATATTTTCCGATGCAAAGTGATTTTTATTTTTAATTCCAGGGTACTTTATGCTGAATCATGAGTTTCCTCCATGCTGCCTATCGTGAGCCGTCAACTCACACCAGGGTTGTCAGGTATTTGGCCATTTGTGAGAGGTGACGTCTTCAACACTGATTTTGATTGGGATATAGGGATATGTACTTCTGAAGTAGTCGGGTACTTCTCCAAAGCCCGCATGTGGCACATCACACTGCAAAAAGAAGGTAATATCACATGTGTGTTTTCGATCAGCTTGCCATAGTTGAAATCATAGCGCAACCGTATTTACCACCACCTGGGACTGCCTTGGCCGTACACACATGCAGTGATGACTGTGATGTGTGCTGTGTATATTGCAGGGTGCTCAATATGTTACGGCACTTTGGCCATTCCAGGCTTTGTTGCTGTGTATTTCACTCCACTCCAAGTTCACCCATACACATGAGCCAGGATGTAGTAGTGCAATGCATACTGCAGCCCACTAGGCTCGGGCAGTTGAAGACTGAAGAGCAGGGTCACTAAACACATTGCAGAGAGAGAGGGCATCATGGAACATTGAACAATTACAATTGACTATTCAGCATGGCTATTCTTCACACATTAAAAACAATATGGGGCTATGTGGATTGAACACATTGTAATGTATTTATAGCAGCATATGGGATCAATGGTGCGTCTTTATGTCTTTGATAAGATGAGAGTGGCATTCACCCTCTTGACATGGAGCTGCTTGTGCAATCATCTACTGTATTGGGACTAGAGTGGCTGGGTCGTGCTGTGCTGGAGTAGTTTTGACTTGGAGTCACCATGTCCTTGTGAGGTGTGGGCAATCCAAGCTGTTCGCAAAGTGGACCATCCATGTCTTACAACATTAGAACACTGTAGCAACAGATTACTGGCGCTGATGCGGCTATGGGCTATATGGTGCCTGGCTGCACGGCTCCATGCACGGGTCTTGTGAGTCAAGTGGGCATGATTCTGTCACTGTGTCAGCCCTTGTTTTGCAGTTGATTGGTACTGCTTGAGTGATGACATGCCCACTTACATCTGTATGCAGCCAAGCTGCTCTCCAGCTCCCGGCCAATAGTTTGTTTGAAGGCAAGCAGGAAGATGGTCAGCACCATGATTTTTTTTAAATTTACTTTGTGACTGCAGCCAGCATTGAGCCCAAGGCCCAAGCTAGCCCAGGCATCTGCTGATGGGAAGTGGGGGCCAGTCAGGCGTCTGGGCATGCAACACAAGAGCTCAGGTACATGTATGCTGTGCTGTGCTGTGCTGCTGATTTTTTGCTGGACTGGTCACATCACTCAACAGTCAAGAGTGTATTGCTAGATGTGGGTCTTCCAAGAGCCTAGCTTTCCAGGCATCTTTACAGGCCTGTTTTTTGGCAGCTCAATGGGATCAGATGAGGCATGTACCAGGTTAGGTGTGGTCCTGCTGAGTGATGAGTGATGACTGATGAGTGATGGGGCTGATAATCACTGTACAAAGACGACGACGAGGTGCAATGCTGTGAAGGTGTGAATGCATTCTGGCAGCTGATGTCATAGCCACCTTGGCCAATGCATTATGAACTGGTTGGCGCGGCATTCTTTCATCTTGGACCAGCTCTCTCCAGTGCAGCTAACTTGGCCGGCAATGCCTGCATGCAGACCAGTACTGGCCGTAGTGGCACCACTCTGCTCAGTGCTGTAGCCGCAAGTGCAGGAGCCATGCATGCTGTCCAGCTTTACTTGCCGCAATGCAATTCCATTCCAATCGGATAGGCTCCAGCACCAGGCTCCAAAGCCAGGCTCCAGCATGTCTTTTATGCAGTCATGGCCTGTCAAGCACTTGACACCTACTTGATGCGTGCCGAAAACCCCTTCACTTCTCTGGCTTCATCAGCTAGCTCAAGCCGCTTGGGTGGCTTGGCAGGGGTGGAAGCATGTGCTGACAGCACACTCCAAATTTGGCTCCACTGTGCACAGTCATGTTCTAATGTTTCTTCTACTTCTCAAGTGTTTTCGTGTGACCTATACTAGTAGTGTAGTGGTGCTGGTCTCCTCACCTGCTGTCAGAGCTGCGGCCACACTCGGAAACCATCCTGCTCTCTGCGCCTGGGCCTGGGGTATTTTATTTGCTGAACATACTATTGAATATGAAAATAGAGTACTAAAAATTAATACTACATGTAGTAGCATTCATTTATGCGGCTGAGTTATGATCACTTAAAGTCTTTATTACTACAGCTGCACTCTTATAGGTCTGGGGAAGGGGGGGGGGGGGGATAGTAGTTGCAAACACTGATGTAGGTCATTGTGCCTCTGTGAATCTCTGCTGAGGCCTGCATAGGGAAGCTCGCTGGACTGGCAAGTAGACCACCATCAGGGCTGGCGTTGTTTGTAAACTGCCTTGGTACTACAGCATTGTAGTTAGCATCTCTCTCCTTCTCTCTCTCTCTCTCTCTCTCTCTCTCTCTCTCTCTCTCTCTCTCTCTCTCTCTCTCTCTCTCTCTCTCTCTCTCTCCATATTGGGCAGCATGCTAACCTTTATCAGCTGACTTGGGGTGCCCTGGCCACTGCTTTATGACTTCGTAGAATCGTAATCATTAGTGGGCAAAGTAGACTGGAATTGTGTGTGTCACTTTGCACTCTGTGTATCCTGCTGAAAAGGTGATAGCTACCTAGTACCTGCTTGTCACTCACATAGTCATCATGCCAAAGTTGTGGCTGGGAAAGTCCTCAACTACCAGTATAGTAGTGCCATACTTACCCTACAAAGTTTTTTGCCTCCTTCTCAGTGTAGGCCAGATTAGGCACCAGGAATGCATAGTAGCGATGCCACTCAGTCTTCTGCTCTGTGCCCATCCATGACCCTGTCGATCTATCTCTTTACCTACATAACCTTCCTCTTTCACATCATCAAGGCATGGTCCCCTGCTAGCTGCTTGGGTTGCCTAATATGAGCAAGCGCCTGTCAAGAGTAGCCGCTAGGAGTGGTAACGCCGGACTGGCCTTACTGGCCCATAAGGCATAACCTTTGCTGCCTACCCTATTACTCTAATACTTGGCTGTCGCCGTGAATATCCGCTTCATGGCGTTTCACTGTTTTCAGCATAGATTATTCTTTCTATACAATGTAACTGGCAGCAATATCAGTAAAGCGCGTGAATAGTTTGTCAGTACATTTGATAGCAATCAGGCATGGTCAGTGGAGCGCAGTTGGGACTATTGTCTTGGCGTGTGATTGCTCTCTTCCTTGATTTGAGAAGAACCAGTGGGATTCCTTTGTTGCAGATGTTGCCGACTCTTGAGCATGTCACTGCAGGTATCATACCAGATTTCTCCCGGTGTTCAACTATTGTATTGATGGCAACATAATCAACGCAGCATTTCACCGTAGTAAAAAGATCTTCATATCCGAAAGAGAGGCTAAGCAGTTATGGGCACTGCAATGCACTCAAAATTCCCAGTTTGATATTGAGAATTAAATTACTCGTTAATGCTACTTGTAGACTGCATGCGGCAGAGCCAAGTTTGACATTTGAACAGGCACAGCCTCCCCCCCCCCCCTCATCACTGTGCCCAAGGGTCACTCTTAGTCTTACTCACTACATGTACCTTACACTCCACTCACAGTTGGTGCATTTTGCTTTGTATAGAGGCATGTGTGTGTGTGTGTGTGTGTGTGTGTGTGTGTGTGTGTGTGTGTGTGTGTGTGTGTGTGTGTGTGTGTGTGCGTGTGTGTTACATGTATGCATGTGGTGATTCACAAAATATTCGTCTCACGACTGACTAGAGCTTCAGTCGCCGGCATTCTTCATTTGTCGACGGCATTCTTCATTTGTCGACGGCATTCTTCATTTGTCGACGGACACATGATCAGCTGCCTGTCTGGCTGTTAATGAGATACTGGGTACATCATGATTATGCCTTTAGAGTGCTGATCACACATACATGTTACATGTACTGCTTTAGTGTACAACATACCTGCTGTCCTGTCTGCAATGTTGCGTGTGCTGGGGCTGCTGCTTGTCCACATGTTTCTTGTGATGTTCAGGAAATGTTTGCGTGAATAATAGCCGTCACTGGTACACTGGTACACAGTCACTGGTACACTGGTACATGTTCTCTACCTCATCACACCACGCCACACGCCACGCGGCCGTGTTTTGAGGTTCGTGTCACCACGTATTACACGGCTATGGAACAGCGCCACAGGTCGAAAACTCGCCGTGTGCGGCTTGTTCATGGGAAGCGTGTGTTGTGACAAGTCGTCCGTACGCAGTGTACGCAGTGTACGCAGTGTACGCAGTGTACGCAGTGTACGCAGTGTACTGTACCACAAAAAAAAAAAAAAAAAAAAAAAAAAACGCAGTGTACGCAGTGTACGCAGTGTACGCAGTGTACGCAGTGTACACTGTACTTGCTAAGTAGTGTATACCTGATTGTGCAATATGTAGTTCATTACGGGGTAGTCACGGTGATCTAGTTACCCGTACTACCCAAGTACTGGCATCCATAGCTGGCCATGGATGTAGTGCTTGCTGCCGTTGACTATTAAAATTAATGTTCGTATAGCTTTCGGCCAGGATATACAGACGCTGAGCCTAGTAATATGCTAGGCCGGTCTTGATGAGCTTCTTGTGCAGCAGTATCTGGTTTCTTACTGCATGCCATCATCCTGACACTCAGGGCCTTTTCTGCTTCTTGTGCCAGTGTACCTTGTTGGCTTGCTCTCCCTTGTTGCCCCACTGGCTGCCTGCCTGCCTTGCCGCTTGCCTTGCCCTCCTTGGGCACGGTCCATACCAGTCCCTCTTGATGGTTGGCCTGACAGGGCTGCCAACTTACTTGGGGTATCAAAAGTGGAGTTTGTCAATTTCTCTTGAGAGTCAAGATAATGGCAACTGTTCTGTTCAACAAGACTGGGCCAGCACTCCCTTTCCAGGCTTTTGTTTAGCCAGGTATAGCCTGGTGGTGCACTGATGCGGTGGTGGGGTGTGCACTCTCACTGTGTGCACTGTAGTGTATAGCTGTATACACTGTTTCCAAGTACATGCTGCCACTCTGCCAATGACTATGTGCATGTGTGCCACTATAGATGTGGCCATTACTTCATATCATGTGCATTGTGCTCTTCTTCAAGAGATAAGTACCTTGTGCCGAAACTGAATGGTATATTGACTGCCACAATCTACTCAGTACTCCCTACAACCCTCTCCCCCCCCCCCCCCCCTCCCTCCATCCAGTCTTCTGTTTGACCTTGTGACCATGGTGACTCAGCACTGTACATTGTACCATGTGTACTGTAATAGTCTGTATACATGTACAGCCAGTTATGCCAGTGTGCTGTCATGCTGTTAGCATGCTGTTAGCATGATGCCCTGAGTACGAGTGTGGTGTCATGATGCATAGACTGCCGCATAGTGGTGTCAATGTTTTCCCTCTTTTCCGCTGTCGCCTCTACTGACCTCTGTGCACTGTTGGGGTAGTGCTGTGAGGTACAGCAACAATATTAGTATGTGCTCAGATATTACGAAGATCCTCGCTTATTTGCATGCTTCTGATCTGGATATCACTTTGGCTGCTTACTCTGGTCCGGAACTCTAAGGTTGAAGGTCATCGAACTTCTGGAGCTGCATTGTATGCAGGCACACAGTACATCATTGGAGATGCAGGGAGCCCAGGGAGTCTGAGTGTAATCCAGCCACTTCTCCCTGCCTGCAGTGCCTGGACTACTACTGGCTGGTACTTGTAGTTGATGGCCAGTGACAGTATGTGTAACAGTGTGTACAGTGCCAGCCTAGTGCCTGAGCATGAGTGTGTACTGTGTGCACTTTGGCTGGTTGCTAGGTAATAGATACCCCGGTGTCTGCTAGCTTGCTGCAAGAAACAATACATGGACTAGGGCAATGGACATGCAGCCCTTTGAATGATACGTACTGAGCAAGGATAACTGAATGCTGGCGACTTTTAGATGAACACTTGCTTTTGTTCTGCTTTCTGTGTTTGTTCTCTAGACATGCGGATGGCTGTCAACTTGTGTGTACGCACAGCTGGAAAACAGAGTTTTCTAGTGACCAAGGAGCTGCTCCACTTGACCTGTATATACATCAGTCGGCTTAGGCACAAGGATGTCTCCTTGAAAACCACTTACCCCGAGTGATGAAGGGTATATGTCGCCACAGGACAGGACAGAAATGGTCAGCACCTTGCCACGCCTTCAACAAGTGTCCATGAGTGACAATACCGTCATTGTTAGTATTTGTTACCCTCCCAGAACTGGCACTGAGTAGATCCCTGACCCTTGGTATTGTCTGATAGTGTATACCCCCCCCCCCCCCCCCCATGATGCAACAACCACTGCAATGACCACAGTAGTAGTCAGCACAGCACCATGTAGTAGCTCAGGGCAACAGACCAACAGTATCAAGTATGATCCATGGCATGCGCTGTGCATGTGCTGCTGACACTACTTTTAGCACAACATTTTTTAAGTATGGGAGTGTGCCTCGTGTAGAATGACACTTTGGAAATAGTCTAGGTACGGCATCTCAGAAACCCTTCCACCGCGTACTGGTGTACCGTGTAGGGTGTGAGTTCTACGACCAAGAAACCCTAAGCGGGTAGGCTGTACTGCTGTAGCCAGTGAGTTCTAGGAGCTCTAGCAGAGACACGAGGAACAGTGATTCACCTAGAGATGGTACTTCTGAGCACTCTGTCTCTCATTTCACATAACAGTGTTAACAGCCACAATGGCGGTAGCGAGTCGCCATGCATTTAGCGGGGCAGAAAGAACATGTTCTTTGCGGCTTTGATCAACCGCGATACTGAAATTTCACACCGGAGACTGCTAATCCGCCTCAGTCCGTCGTCACTGGCTGTCTTCAGGTTTTTGTGTCCCACGGTGAGTATTGCCTCTTATGATGTACAGCAATCTCCCCTACCTTGGTTTGTATATGCACGCATGCATGTACGCACGGACACACACACACACACATTTCCTGTTTGAAATTGACTTTAAAAGAATCATGTATACTCTTACTACATGCAGTCCAACCAGTTAGTCAAACAGTTACTTGAGTTAGTTGCTCCAACGACAGCTGTGGCCAATGCAATCCAATCTGTAAGTCGAAAGCAGCGTGAAGGCTCAGGCGGCTCCTGCGGCCCTCGGATGGGTTGTCGGATCGTGCACGATGTACACGTAATTGAAATTGAAACGCGGTGCTGCTTTAGACTCGCAGGTTGGATTTCCGTGGCCACGACTGCAGAAGAACTGGATCCACACGTGCAGTCTCCCTACACCCAGCTCTGCATAGCGGCTTCACCTTGATAGACGGGTTCCACCACTCGTACCCGGGCTGCATGGTCAGAAGCACTGCAGGGAGTCACGGCTAAAACTACCCGGTCAGAAGCACTGCAGGGAGTGCTAAAACTCCCTGGTTGGAAGCCAAACACGGTTTTAATTAGAAAAGACACCACCAGGGCAGTGCAGTTCATAGCAGTTCTATATTAAGTTTTTATAGACGAATTGACGATATAACCACAAGTCAAACTGACGACCAATGAAAACAAACAGAACAGTAATGACAGTGACTGGTTGATACAGTTTGAAGCAAAACTACTTCCATGGAAACATGTGAGAAATGAAGCTGGTTGTCAAGCACAGGCTGGTACAAGCAACTACCCAGAATGAAGAGAACAACTTACACATGCAAAATAGGACAACAAAATACCACTATAACTTAATACAAGAACGTGGACATTGTATGTTAAGGTTAATACTAAAATAACGTTTGAATTCACAGTATGCCATTAGTATTCTCACCTGTAGTATGCATGTATGTCAGTGGTATGTTCAACATAGCCCTGTAGTATCATGGTTATTATTCAAAGCCGAGCGCCGGCGGCTCTCTTCCTTCTCATATTCCGAGCCGCCTTGCTGCATCTAGCAAGCAGTGGGTGCCTGAAGAATGGGTACACTGTATCATGTCCCTTGAGCATTGTTAGAACTGCGTGTGCAACGCATTCTTTTCCTGCCCTCGCTTGTCTCGTTCTTGGCAGCTTCTGGATCCGGAGATGCGGTGCATCGCCGATGCCGCTTGCCTTGTTTTCGTCACCCAATGCCGGAGAGCAGGCGAGATGCCAGCTGTCCGATTTTCAGTGCGGGTCCCACCTTCAAGCCAAGTGCAACGAGATGCTCCGATCTGAGCATTGCCAACGCCTCGCCGTCCAGCTCGTGTTCACGCAGCACCCTGGCCTCGCCGTCCAGTCCGTGGTGTTGAAAGAACGACATCACGTCCTGCGCATTCCAGCTGTTGGGATCTGTGCTCTGCAGTGAGCTGGGAACGTCGACGGGTGGTACTGTTTCTCTGAGGAAACCATCAACTGCATAGGAACACGTGGCCACAGAACAAAGCAGTGTACCTTGGTGTACAAACCACAATGTGAAATACATAAAATGGCACATGCATGTCCACCATACTAGTAAATAAAACCATTTTCAACAGCAATGACGCCGCCACTAACAACAACAACAACATCAACAACACTTGCTCGCGCACATGCACGCATGTATTCACATGTCCTACAGTCCATTCATAAAAAGATGGGCCCTGGCTCTGGCGAGCTCCCGTATTTGGTGAATTTTGAAATTTGAAAAAGGGTCCAAAAAGGTACCTCAACTGGGGTTCGAACCGCACAGTGTACGGTTGCAGGCAGAGTGAAACGGCCTGGATTTTCATGGTCTTTCCCAATTCAGTGCTTTTGGGGCAAAACCTGGCCAAAATCCTAACTTATTCTTGCTATGGCTTGCTTTTTGGAGAAATAGACTTCAGATACATAATTGGAAGAGGATTCCATAGGGGATCGCAGAAAAAATTCTAAAACAACTCAACGTTTGACCCATTTACGGCCGAAAGCTAGAAGTCAATCTTTTTATGAATGGACTGTAGTTAACATACAATCATCTGCCTGCTGAAGAAGTAGCAAAGTACATGCAAGGTCCCGCCGTTTACCCACACCAGCACATTGTCTAGACATGTCTTCTTGGAAATGCGCCTGATAACATGACACTTTGCTAACAGTAACATGGAAAAGGTTCCTGGTTCACTGGGTTCTACTGTAGTTCACGATTGCTACAGTGCTGGCAACTGAAATCCGCCAAGGGGGTCGGATTTCAGTTGCCAGCACTGTACATTGAACTTCCTCTACAGAGTACAGTGACTGCGCATACTTTCAATTACTGTGCAGACCACCAGACAGATATGCACCTGTGTGATGTACAGGGAGGTGTCTTGATCACAGAATGCACCGTGAATGTGGACTGGGTAATTTGGCCTGGAGAAGTCTTACTGTAATGTGGCGGCTCAACTGACCCAGAGACTGCTCTGAACAAGAGTTGCCACAGGGGATGCAGAACCAACACGTAGCACACTGAGATTGTCAGCCAGCCAGTGCACTAACTTGACACACTTTGAAGCTGTGACTATTTGACAGACTTAGAAACTGAATAGATGGTAACTTTCAATTAATGGTAGGGAAACATACAGTGAAACAGCTGTCTAAGGTGACCGCTCAAGGGACATTCAAAACGTGGTCTCTGTTACCAGGTGGTCTCCCTATCCAATGTCATTTGACTGAAAATAGCATCTCTTGGTCTGATTGCAGTAGTCTTCTGGGACACCTTTTCCGAGCGGTCGCCTTGACAGGTTTTACTGTAATTGTATTTGTTGTGTGCTCAGAAGCACTTAGTTATACTGCTCTCCCAACCAGCACGTAACAATTTTGACGGTTACAGACCCAAAACTACTTACAGAAGTCCTCGTCACTTCCATCGTCACCGTACTCCTCATCATCATTTACATCCGCTGGATACATATTACCGGCCTGCATGTTGGCAGTTTAGGCAGATCAGCAGCATGCCACATGCACCATACGTCCATGCATGCATCAAGAAAATCAGAGAGCAGAGCAATACGTGCAGTTATTTGTTAGAGAATACAACTGAGTGACGCATCTTGACACCCTGAGCTAGCAAGCTTGGCTCAGACAACACCCTTTGGTGATGTAAAGATTGGAAAAAGCAGCTGGTGATGCAGTACAGCCAGCGACACATGCACACTGGACATTTCTCCACTCATGTGTCAAGTAGGGCGATAGGTGTTCACACTCCTCCATCCCCCATGCCCTGTTCTATTGTGTAATGTGTAACTCTACGCGAGCATAGGAACTGCTCTTCTTTTACACAATGGCCATGAGCATAGGAACTGCTCTTCTTTTACACAATGGCCATGAGCATAGGAGGAACTGCTCTTCTTTTACACAATGGCCATGAGCATAGGAGGAACTGCTCTTCTTTTACACAATGGCCATGAGCATAGGAACTGCTCTTCTTTTACACAATGGCCATGAGCATAGGAACTGCTCTTCTTTTACACAATGGCCATGAGCATAGGAACTGCTCTTCTTTTACACAATGGCCATGAGCATAGGAACTGCTCTTCTTTTACACAATGGCCATGAGCATAGGAACTGCTCTTCTTTTACACAATGGCCATGAGCATAGGAACTGCTCTTCTTTTACACAATGGCCATGAGCATAGGAACTGCTCTTCTTTTACACAATGGCCATGAGCATAGGAACTGCTCTTCTTTTACACAATGGCCATGAGCATAGGAACTGCTCTTCTTTTACACAATGGCCATGAGCATAGGAACTGCTCTTCTTTTACACAATGGCCATGAGCATAGGAACTGCTCTTCTTTTACACAATGGCCATGAGCATAGGAACTGCTCTTCTTTTACACAATGGCCATGAGCATAGGAACTGCTCTTCTTTTACACAATGGCCATGAGCATAGGAACTGCTCTTCTTTTACACAATGGCCATGAGCATAGGGACTGCTCTTCTTTTACACAATGGCCATGAGCATAGGGACTGCTCTTCTTTTACACAATGGCCATGAGCATAGGCACTGCTCTTCTTTTACACAATGGCCATGAGCATAGGAACTGCTCTTCTTTTACACAATGGCCATGAGCATAGGAACTGCTCTTCTTTTACACAATGGCCATGAGCATAGGGACTGCTCTTCTTTTACACAATGGCCATGAGCATAGGAACTGCTCTTCTTTTACACAATGGCCATGAGCATAGGAACTGCTCTTCTTTTACACAATGGCCATGAGCATAGGAACTGCTCTTCTTTTACACAATGGCCATGAGCATAGGAACTGCTCTTCTTTTACACAATGGCCATGAGCATAGGAACTGCTCTTCTTTTACACAATGGCCATGAGCATAGGAACTGCTCTTCTTTTACACAATGGCCATGAGCATAGGAACTGCTCTTCTTTTACACAATGGCCATGAGCATAGGAACTGCTCTTCTTTTACACAATGGCCATGAGCATAGGAACTGCTCTTCTTTTACACAATGGCCATGAGCATAGGAACTGCTCTTCTTTTACACAATGGCCATGAGCATAGGAACTGCTCTTCTTTTACACAATGGCCATGAGCATAGGAACTGCTCTTCTTTTACACAATGGCCATGAGCATAGGAACTGCTCTTCTTTTACACAATGGCCATGAGCATAGGAACTGCTCTTCTTTTACACAATGGCCATGAGCATAGGAACTGCTCTTCTTTTACACAATGGCCATGAGCATAGGAACTGCTCTTCTTTTACACAATGGCCATGAGCATAGGAACTGCTCTTCTTTTACACAATGGCCATGAGCATAGGAACTGCTCTTCTTTTACACAATGGCCATGAGCATAGGAACTGCTCTTCTTTTACACAATGGCCATGAGCATAGGAACTGCTCTTCTTTTACACAATGGCCATGAGCATAGGAACTGCTCTTCTTTTACACAATGGCCATGAGCATAGGAACTGCTCTTCTTTTACACAATGGCCATGAGCATAGGAACTGCTCTTCTTTTACACAATGGCCATGAGCATAGGAACTGCTCTTCTTTTACACAATGGCCATGAGCATAGGAACTGCTCTTCTTTTACACAATGGCCATGAGCATAGGAACTGCTCTTCTTTTACACAATGGCCATGAGCATAGGAACTGCTCTTCTTTTACACAATGGCCATGAGCATAGGAACTGCTCTTCTTTTACACAATGGCCATGAGCATAGGAGGAACTGCTCTTCTTTTACACAATGGCCATGAGCATAGGAGGAACTGCTCTTCTTTTACACAATGGCCATGAGCATAGGAACTGCTCTTCTTTTACACAATGGCCATGAGCATAGGAACTGCTCTTCTTTTACACAATGGCCATGAGCATAGGAACTGCTCTTCTTTTACACAATGGCCATGAGCATAGGAACTGCTCTTCTTTTACACAATGGCCATGAGCATAGGAACTGCTCTTCTTTTACACAATGGCCATGAGCATAGGAACTGCTCTTCTTTTACACAATGGCCATGAGCATAGGAACTGCTCTTCTTTTACACAATGGCCATGAGCATAGGAACTGCTCTTCTTTTACACAATGGCCATGAGCATAGGAACTGCTCTTCTTTTACACAATGGCCATACGCGACAAAACCATTCAACTAACGTGTGTTACTTCCACAGGTTAAGAGCATGGTCACCACTACATTTCAAACTGCGCCGCGAGTGCGCGCATTACCTATATACTTAAGTTTTCGCTGAATCAGCCGCGATCATTACCTGCTTCAAGTTTCACTGATGAAATCACTTTATTCTCGCCTTGGTGTGAGTGCAGCTACTAAGTTCCACATGATGTGTGGAGTTTGCACGCTTTTTGCGCCAAAATGTGGAGTATATTGATCACACGGGTGTCAGTAGCTGTTCATTGCTATCTTTACTTGCCGGTGAGCAGCTGCAGTGTCTTGGTCTGAGTCAGTGAAACAGAGTGCAGTCAAGAAAGATGTTCCAAATAGCTGCTGCTGCTGCTGCTGCTGCTGCTGGTGGTGGTGGTTCTGCTTGAATGGGTTGTTGCTCTGGGATTGTTCATACGTGTACGTGGTTTACACATGTCACTGCCAACACCTCCTTCGATTAGACTTCAAAAGTCGGTAAGCTGTGCTGGTTATATCATACATATGTGTTGGTCTTCTTTCTCAGAATGGGAGGGAAGGAGGAGGGGGGATAAGTTGGGATAGCACGCCACAGGTAATTATTCTCATTTTATCAGGTGAAATAAACCTCTGAATTTGGCGAATTGCCCGGAGAAAGCTCAAGCAACGGCATGCTTGTCAGTACAACTGGAAAACCGGAAAGTTTAACGTTTTTGTAATTTCGGCATGATAACGTGTAGAAAGTTTAATGATGGCTACCTGGCCACCCAGAACATGCATCGATGTATGCGCATCTTTACACAGACACCTCGAACCGGGTCCGGGATTACGTTTCTTCAAATAACGAAAAAAATTGGTCGTTAAAACGTTAGACTTTGTGACTCGTTAGACTTTCCGGTTTTACAGTAGTGCCTACAACTTGTAGTGGACCGTATGCGTGTTAAAACAAAATGGTGTCACGATTTATTGAAAGTGGTATAGTTGGTGGCACGAGTGTTCAAAACCATTTGAACTTCATAGTGTTCGTCTTCTTTTTGACATGCTCTCTTTCCATCGTCCTTAGCTTTCGTTTGTTTTGAGCTGTTGTGGCTTTCTCCTATACCTCTGGGGGATGCCAAGTGATGGTTTTGAGAGGCTGGTGATGTCTGTGAGCGAGAGTTTGCCCATCGGCGTCGCCCTCGCTATAGCGATAAAAATACTAGTTGCTGCGTACTGGGCAGATATCACAACACGTTGGAGCGTCCAGGAGCAAAGGAATCTTGGGTTTCCACTGGAATCTAGTTCCTCCGGCATCGTGTAGCCCACCGTCGGTGAATGGCCGTCCAGAAAGGTTGAACCTGGCCTTCTGCAGCATCTCGCAGTCCTGCGAGGCACACTGTGTACGCCTGTCACGTATTGTACAAATAAAACTCATGAAGTAGTGCACTCTATACAGTGCGGAGTCTATCCTGTATGCTGCAAAAAGATGCAGGAAATGTGACTGGTGTCTGTACACTGGACGCCAACATCCAAGTCTTCTCCTGCAGGATCTGTTTGACATTGACATATGCAGTGTGTCGACATTGGCCTGGTTTGGCAGCTATCTGCCTGGGTGGATGTAGCACGCTTGCATTGGCTCGTTGACCAGTCCGGAATATTTTTGTAAGTGTGGAGTACCAGCAGGGTTTGTGATCATCCTTGTTCACTTCAATACTATACACACACAACGTTCCCTTGGTCACTCATCTTATCCCGAGCACTGACTTTGCTGACGATATTGCGCCACACTTGTCACAGCCTACCGCCGCTGCTGTGGTGACTGGTTTGTCAATGGCGGTGACCAGGCTGACTGACTAGCTTCAAGACAGCGGCCTCGTTCTCAACCGAAGATGTGCTAGTCACAGGTTTGCACTGATCCTCTACTTTAAGTACAGCTGTGCTAGTTCCTGTTTTGCACTGGGCCTCTACTTCAAGTACAGTCGTGGCCAGAGAATTCTGACCTGCGACTCTAAAGTAGCTCTGTGTTTCCATTTCAACTACATCATCATTCATGGTCCAAAACCCATCCGAGGGCCGTGGGGCCGCATGCGTCTTGGCACTGCTTTCGGCTAACGGGTCGGATTTCTTTGGCCACAACTGTATCGGTATGTTCTACTTTGAAGTAAGACTCTACAGAAAACACAGGAGAAGAAGCACCTGTATGCGACTGATCATGTCTCCATGACTTTTAAAATGTCTTTGCCCATGGGCTACTTTACACTCATCCAACTGTACGAAAGAAATGAAAACGAACAATAGGGTGTGGTCAGAGTGCACTTTCTGTCGCTGGCAATGGTCCTAGAAGAAGAAATAGACAGAGCAGAGGTGAAACTACTTACAGCAGGATATTGCCGTGAAGTGGCACCGCCGTACGTCACTGAAGGCTGGCCAGCATACGGTACCTATAGGAAAACACAGTAATGACAGTACATGTACAAAAGGCAAGCAGGTGATGATAAGGACCTAGCGATGGAACCATCACATACATATACATGCACATGCTCCATGCCCTGTACGCAGACATGCACAGTGGATTGGTCTAAGACCATGCTTGAGAAACGAGAGGTACCGGGATCAAGTCTTGCTCGGAACCAGGTGGATTTTCCAACCGTGCTGCGACCCACAGTGAATTGGGAACTTGTGGCCTGACACACAAGGGTAACATGGATGCGGCAAAAAAGAGATTTTGGCCTCTGGACCAGTTTAGCCACTTGGCAGAGCTCATCTATGTGAAACGTAGAGAAATCGGGTAGAGAGCAGGTGGCTAGGTTAGAATCTACGGCTTTGCGTGTTTTGGGTCCAGATTTCTGTGCGGAGATGAGAATCTCTACGCTGTGGCGCACACAAAGAAAATGCGCACCAATCTGCTGGGCACTAGTATCATTCAAATCAGGGAGAAACTGCCATATTTGAAACGGGAAATTCTCAGTATAAATTCCACGTGGTCACATCGCTGCCCTGCTCATACGACAACTCTTGGTCACACACGTCAAGCAGCATAATCTGTACATGCATGGAGGACATAGTGCATGGCGATGCATTTGAAAGATGTAGGATGGATGGGTGTGTGATGGCTTGCACTGCCTCGTACGCATATATTGTACTTGCAGACAGTGTCGGTAGGTATGGAGGTGTGAGCTGCTAGTTGCGAGTCGAGAAGCTTACAGAAAGCTGAGCAAGCTTTCTACTCTAAACAGTTTGTTGGGCTGATCTGAGGAGTTGAGAGCCCTCTGAAGTATGCTGCTATGATGGAGAAGTATTCAACAGAGAACACTGTTATTACCAAGCTCCCCCCCCCCCCCCCTTGTCTCTCTTCGTCGTGTATTTTCACAATAATATTGCGAAAATATTGTGTTGCATTGTATTACAAGAAAATCTTTCTTATCAACGAAAAAACAACAACAAAAAACACAGAACACTGGTGACCGATCAAAGACTGCTGTCAGCGCTTGGATAACATCTAACTGCTCTTCACACACTTCCGGGAGTGGCTTCCCAACCTCTACCATGTGATTGAGCTGCTGCTGCTGGAGTTTCCAGTCAGCAATGCAAAAGCGAGCCCAGTTACTTATCTGATCGTAACCGTTTGGTGTCCTTTAGCCGATTTTGGTGACATTGGGCTTTCTGGAAGCTCTTGGCCAGAGGAACACAGCAATAGCCAACACCTCATCAGTGGATTCGCAGCACCAGCGCAGCAGTGCAATTTGACGCTCCAAAGCCAGCACTGCGAGCGCCAACTCAAATTATCCACCATTTCAACTAGGGCTGAAACGAATATCCTGAATATTCATTTAGCTTCGCAGAACGAACATTCGTGAGGTGACGAATGTTCGAGCTGAAATTTTATAGTGAAAAGTTTGCTGAACTTTGCTTTCCCTGTTGTGGCTGCCAACATTTTCCGTCATATCCAAGCCGGTCTTTGGTCGAACAGCGTGCTCCCAGGTTTGGGACCATTAGTGATAGCTCGTACACCGTCCTCCTACCGGTAGGACCCAAGAAATCGGGCTGCAAAAGTGCTTTTGGTTGAGAATTTTTTTGAAACAATTGTTGAGATGAGGTCTTTGTCAGGCAAAGTAATGGCGCAAAATGCAAGGCTATGTCCAGTGCATTGCGTATGCACAATTTTATCGATTGTCAAAATGGCCGCACATAATCCTGTCGGCGCGCTAGCAACTCTGTCCAAAGTGAATTTTGACCATGGCACATCAATTGTGGTGACGTCCTAATGTTTTTATTAGCTTGCCAAGGCAGTGGAATGCATAATTCCATACTCCGTTTCCATGGTTACCATGGGTTGTTACCATGGAATTTTGTAGTATGCTTTGTGCGATCATGTCTAAAATGTGTGGACTCCTTCATTAGCCCCTGAGCAACAGTTTAGGGTCAAGTTTTAGGTCAATGTCAGAACAGAGGCCATGCAGCATGTCTGTGTATGATGGTCCTACCGGTAGGATCGAGGTCTATGCAAGCTATCATTAGTTTTCGTGAAAGGGAAAGGTGAGAAGACGGCGCTGTGCAAATTGTGTGACAAGGAATTGGAGTACCATGGCCAAACGAGGAGTAATCCACATACTCACCTGAAAAACGAATATTTGTTCGTTCGTTCGTTAGCGTCCAGAACGTTCGATTACTGAGAAATTGTGTTCGTTTCAGCCCTAATTTCAACAAAATTTATTTTATCATAAATTACTCAAATATTTTAACATGAGAGCTGAGAAACCTGCCTACTGTAAGTCAACAAATATTCGGTGCATACCGATTTCGGCTATTTTCGGCCTGGGCATTTTTCGCCGAAATTTTTTTTGCAAGGTGCAGGGACACAGTGTATACAGGCAGCAGCAGTACCGGTACAGGGCGAAAATTTAATGCGGCCAAAATGGGTTTTAACCCTGGGAGGCCGAAAATTGAACGCGCCGAACATTTGTAGACTTACAGTATGCGATGAAGTGGTCTATCTGTGGCTGCATGGGTCACAAGTCGGAGAAAACCCTCGACAAATGAGTTCAAAATGCACGTTCCTGACTTATTATTATTATTAGACACAATCTCATCGCATGTGACAAGCATAGCTAATGCAGGGACAGAATCCCCCTGAGACAAGGGCGTGGAGCCAGCCACGGCAATAGTAAGCTAGACTTGACTCCGCCGAGCGAATTTAGTTCGAGACTCATAACTCCGCACTCTGATCTTGGATTGCCTTCAGGCTTTTTAGCCGATAGCTGAGAAAAATCTAATGCCGATAGACCTTTCGATCGTCTGATTCGGTCAAGGGACAGCCGAGTTATGCCAGGTTGCGCTCTGTAAAGTATGCACCGTACTCTGGTACGGATAAATCCATACTATGGAAGATGGAATGCCAATCAATATGACTGCTTTGGGGCCGTTTTTCGTTGAATAGCCATTTTTGTGACTCTAGATGGGTCAGAAAGATGCCCGGTAGACGGATGGGCCCGGATTAGGGACGTCCGGATCTGGGGAGTTCTACTGTATTTAGGGCGTGTGACGCCTTTGAGTACTGGTACTAATTTTTTTGATCCCGCCAGTAAAAGTGACTGGCATGTACGCCGGTACGCGCCTGATACACACGGAAAAAAACCGTGTTGGAATTTCCATTTCGGCGCGTTTCCATATGCATGACGCCCCAAAAGCCAGCAAAAATACGCACAACCGTGTGATTCCACTTGTACACGCGCCAGCTGTGAACACAGCTTTAGGCTCGCGCACACTTGATTCTTCACTGCGAGACAATGTACAGCATGTACAGTGTACGGGTATATCGTGCACTCGATTAGCTTGCCGAGTCCTAAATTTATGACTTACGACACAGCTAGACCTTACTCAGCCTGGAGTCAGCCACCCACATCTACATGTAGACTCGACATCCTAATTCATATACAGTAAAACCTGCAACTTAAGACCACCGTGACTAGCGACCAGCCTGGTACTAACGGCCACTTTTCTACAGGCACGGACACTCTCACATTCATGATGCAATGTGACTAGCGATTACCTGCTCAATGTGACCAGCGACCGCCTTTTCTTGTCCCAAGATTTTTGGCCCGTAACTAGCGACCTGCGATGCAGGAAATCAACGGTTGTTCGAAGCTCCTTCCTTGAAATGTTGAATAGTTTCCATGGTCTTGAACGGACTCTTTATACTGTGCTGAACAAAGGGACGAATGTTCATTTGGCTGACAACTGCATTGCACCCGTCACGGTTTCAAGTGCTTTCACGAACGAAAATGATAGGAAACGTCTTTGAGTGCTGTGAAAGCGCTGTCTGGTCCATGCTACTGCTCCAAGGAAAAACGAAGACTGAGCTGCTCTGTCGAAGTGCAATTGCATACCCCAGTCGCACAGATGAACACTGCAGTGCTAGAATGCTACGGGACATAGCAGCATGGCTTGGCTACTGTGGCAATGGATGTTGATAAACTTAGTGATTTCATCAACAAATTTGAAGCCCAGCACCAAGCAAAACTTGCACAGGGCTTAGGGAGCACTTAGTTCCTGGCTTCAGAAGTAGCAGCTGAATTTGATATCAGTAATCAAACATAACGTTCTCTCTCTAGCTGCTATGTGATCTGTAATAAGCAAGTGGTAGGGAATTGTATAAGCTGCATTTCGCATACATACCATATGCTAGTAATGGAATCCATATATGGCAAAGCGGTGCAAACCTCCAACGAAAGACTATCGGCCACTAAAGACCAGTTTTTCAGGAACCAAGGGGTGGCCGTTAATTACCGGTTTCACTGTATGGGGATCGTTGAGAATACTATTTCAGAATGTGTAGTTTTCTGGGCACTGAGTCGATTGGCCTTGGACCAAGGAGACCATGACTCATCATGATACTGTGCTATCATTCACCGGTTATTCCGAATGGAACTTGACGCCCCATGCGGGCATTCCAGGTGATGATGTAGAAGCAGGCCGCTAGCTAGGAAGCACCTAATGCATTTTCAGTGCAACAAAGCCAACCTTGGGGAGCGTTTGATAGGGCAACATTGCCGCGTCGCAGCTTCTTCAGATCTCAACTACCATATTTCCCCCGAGTATAAGTCACACCTTTTTTACACTAAAACTCAAGGGTAAAAAAGGGGTGTGACTTACAATCGAGCAAGACTTACAACTAAAGTGAATTATATCAAAACATTATCGCTCAAACCTGAAAATGGAGGGGCAACTTATAACCGAGTGCGACTTATAATGGGGGAAATACGGTATTCTACTCGGCATCAACTGGACTGCAAATTCTTAGACCGTTTCATTGACGCAAAGCTTTCCATTTTCTTCCACACAATCTGTATACGTGCATAGCATCCCTTGGAGCGCCCACAGATTCACTGGGTCAAAGTCTAAATACGGAATCCGTTCAATTGAGGATAACTTGAAAATACTGTTCGTAGCTACTTCGGACGGAGACTATTTTATTCAGTGACTAGAAGGCTGCAGGTTCTTAATGATAGCTTGCATAGCCTCGGTCCTACCGGCAGGACCGGCATACACAGACATGCTGCGCGGCCTCTGTTCTAACATAGTCATTGACCTAGAACTTGACCCTAAACTGTTGCTAAGGGGCTAATGAAGGAGTCCACAAAATTTAGAAGTGATCGTACAAGGCATATTACGAAATTCTATGGCACGAGCCCATGGTAACTATGGAAACGGAGTGCAGAATTTTGCATCCCACTGCCATGGCAAGCTAAGACATTAGGTCCTCACCACGACCGATGTGCCACGGTCAAATTTCACTTCGGACAGAATTGCTACTTTTCCGACAGAGCATATGCGGCCATTTTGACAATTGATAAAATTGCACATCTGCTATACACTGGACGTAGTCTTGCATTTTGCGCCATTACTTTGCCTTACAAAGACCTAATCTCAACAATTGCTTCAAGAAAATTCTCAACCAAAAGCACTTTTACAGTAGGGATCTCGGCGCGTGCAGTGCGCAGGGTGTTTGCGCATACATTGCGTCATCGAGTTTTGAGTGCAGCTCGCGGACACAGCAGAAAAATGGCGACGGTCGATTTTCGACACTAGGGGACGCGGTGGACACTAGCGGAATCGTCATCTTCATCGTCGTTCGAACATACTTTGTAATTCCCGCCGAAGGACAGCGTGGCCAAGGCGATATTGCCCCGGTCGATTTTCCTATAATTTTCCATGCGGCAAGAACCCACTTCAGAGAGGATTCAGTCAAAAATTCAGACGTTTTCTCCGGTTAGATTGTCCTAACTTCGATTTTCAGTGCATCAGCCATCGCGAACATCGCCGCCATTATCACTCGGAGAGAAGACATCGCGCTCAGTAGAAGAGGTGTTCACGCTGCGTCCAAGAGTGAAAGATTGTGCTCTTTGACCCTCCATAGTTCCTCTGAGAGAGTGTCTGGGAGATAGGTAGCTTGGAGATGGCCGTAGAACGTGCTTTCCTGGACGCAATATTCAGCCATTTCTACTGTCTTCTTCAACTTGATTTATTTCGAAAAAAATGTTCTTTTCCACGATTTCTGCACTGGACGCGTTTGGGATCGAAAATCTCACCTGCGCAGACTGGCTGCGCAGTTCACGCGCTGAGATCCCTATTTACAGAGCGATTTCTTGGCCCGGGTCTTCTTGGGTAGGACCCGTGGTCCTACCGGTAGGACCCGTGGTCCTACCGGTAGGACGGCATGGAAGCTATCATTAACCTCTTTAGCGCGCGCACGTGCGCGTCGTACTAGTACGACGCACATGAGTTGCGTGTCCCACGCCCGTCGTACTAGTACGACGCGCGCTGTACACTGTACAGTGAACCTGCATCTCATAGTCGTGGGGTCCGAGTCCATAGTGACTTGTTCAAACTATCGTAACTCACTCAATACTAGGTCGATTCTCACAATCGAAACATGTATCTGCAAGAGAAAACTCTCAGCTGGCGATAGAAACAATCACCGAAGCGATACGACTACTGGTTGTTAAGATATGCGACTCGACATGGCAAATTTCAACTCGATTTTTGCGCAGTCTGAAGAACGCGTATTTTCCATTTTGGATCATTTTGCGCTACCTGCTGCCATGGAAACAAGATTCAAATGATGGTGGTGGATCTCGTGAGTCCTCACAAAAAAATTGAGCTCGATACGAGCAAGGAGACCGAAATGGCAGCTGAATATTAGAGCTCGTTTAGTCTTGGCCGTGCTCAAGTCTGTCGAGCGTGTGGATGAAGTTTGCCAGACTGTAGCACGGGGTTTTGGTTTCGCTCCGAGCTGGGTTTGACACCAGTTTGTCCCTCGTCTCAAGACCTTTCCAGGAAGCTCAAGACCGTAGGATTCGTCCAAGGGAAGGTAAAGTTATCGATCCTTGAACAGCTAGTACTTTCATGGGAAAATGGGACTTTTACAGGTGTTGACGTGGGGCGCGTTCAGGTAGCGTCGTGTTAAGGGCGCGTTCAGACTACCGTGAATCCCGTCAAACCGTGAATGCCGATAAACCGTGAAGGACATTCACACTACTGATAACAAAATAACGTTACCGTGAAGTTTTCAGCTCTCACCGCGGGACTGACAAGGGATTTTCCCTTTTTCCCAGCGCGCATGCAGCCTGAGCACTTTTTTACTGCCGGAAAAGTTTTACCGCCGCAGCAGCCGCGGCAGTAAACCTTTTCCACCGTTAACGTGCCAGTAACGTCACGTGATCAAATCACCTTGGCGACTTTCCCATTCCGTCACTTTTTATCGGTAGTCTGAACGCGCCCTTAAGAGGTTAAAGGTACGAGCTATCCCTGAATTTCTACGTGAGATCATGTGACTAAGTTACAAGCTATCCCCGAATTTCTGAGTAAGATCATGTGACCAAAGTGACCTTACCTGTCCGACTGGCACTGGCGATGCTGTGGCTGCTGCTGCCATACGCTGCTGTTGCATGTATTTGTGTATGTTGGCTGCAAGTGGCGGCCTGCCACGCCCGCGTTTGTGAACCACTCCGTTGCTTGCCGCAGCTGCAGCAGCTCCCGCAGCTTGGTGGTGGCTATAACTGGCTACTGTGCGACTGTCTGTTGGCTGTCCCGCGCTGCGTACTCCGCCACCACGCCCATGCAGCACCCGGTTTGGCCCGCGGAACTGATTGCTATAGGCACGCATGCAATGCACGGAACAGAAGCGGCCAGAGCGGCTGAACTGCGACAGGTGATCGCTAACTCCGCACATCTCACACCGCCGGTAGCCATGCTGCTGTTGGTGTTGGCGAGGTGCGCCCGCTACCGCCTGCTCTTGCGCTGGTCGGGTATGGTAGCTATAGCCAGCATAGTCATTCTTCGGTGCTAGTCCACGTGACGTTTGCTGCTGCTGTCGATGCTGCTGCTTTTGTTGCTTGTTGAGCTGATACTGCTGTGCCTTCGCCTCTTTCCTACGGGCTATAAAGCACACATCGGCAGACACAGTACAGGAAGAGAAAAACAACAATGTCACGATAACTAGTATAAGCATAGGAAGGAGGGAAGCTTGGAAGTAGTTGCTTCTACTTCTAGATAACACATGCGTAGACCAAACTTAGGTCGGGCTGAAAGTTAGAAACCAATACTTGAAACACTTAGTTTCAGGCTTCGTCTTGACTTTATTAGCTGCTAACTTGACCGGAAGTTTCCATCCCTCACCACAAACGTGTCAAGGCAGGTACATGTACCGGAAAGAGAACTGAAAGCGCGACTCAAACATCAACGCTTCGAGGCAATAGCCAGTGTCGCCAGCTAGTTGACAGCTGGAAAACCGCATTCCTGCTCGATCGCAATCTTCCCGTGTGTCATGCTGCTGGCCAGAGCACGGAGGAGAGTGGAATTCAAAACGATGTCGCGCGGTCAAGAATATTTCCTCGAAAATCATCGCCTTTGAACTCCATGATTCATGCCCGATACTGAACAGATGGCGGTTATGAGCTTCTTCGAGGCTTTCGTTTGTTCCCGATGAAGATAGTTGCTGACCGACTACAGTTATCGCAGAGCTTTCTTCGAAAAGGGCCTCTCGATCGAAATAGCGCGCAGGAAAGCCTGTCCTTGCTTGGCCAAGAATCAAGAAAAGCGACGCAACCTACCTTCAACTCCAGCCGCCTCGAGCCTTTCCTCTTTGGCTTTTCGGATAACGAACTCCGGTACCTGAAATGTATCCTGTAGGACAAGAAATAAAGACGACAGTTCGCATGTCAGTGCCACAACATGAGAAATTTCTCCAAGCGCTGCAACTGACAGGAAAAGGTTCGGCGCTCTCTTCGATAACGCAACCGTCAATGTAATGAATCAACAACGATGCCGAGCTGCAGGACGTTGCAGATGCCTGGGAACTGATAGCCACCTTGGCAGCCATCGAAGTGACTGGGCTCCAACAAACTCTGTAGACTGCTAACCATTCATAGTGTAGATCAAGACAACGACTACGACCAACAAAATTATTTCAGCGAAGTCGAGAGAGAGGTCGAGAACGCCAAAGCAAGCAAACGGCTACATCGAATCACGCAGCCATTTTTTCGCGCTGTGTTATCGTGCTTGGCAGGATTTCGTTTCCATGACAAACATGGCGCGTCAGGGAGCTTGGAGTTGGGAAGCGCAGAAACTGGAAAAGTCCAAGAAATAAAAGAAAAGACGAAATTCGAAAGCACTCTCTTTCGTCCAGGTCTCTCGTAGATCTACTCACGCAGATGTACATGTGAGAATGTATTGAGATGTATAAAATTGTATGCATTGCACCAGACCATAACCACAGCACGAAAGGCTACCACCAAACAGATCTTCGTTAGGCTAGTACAATGATCTGGTGGTAGCACTGTTCGCCCATCGTTTGGAAAGTAAAAATCCTCTTCGGGGCAAGCCGAGCAACGCTTTTGCTGGTCCATCGGAGCAGAGAGGAAGTTTTCGAACTTGAAGTTGAAATTTGAATGGGTACAATTTCATTCCAAATTGTTTGAATTCATGTGAGGGAAAATAAAATATTTGAAGCAAGCAGCCTTGTACATGTGCGATAACTCGAAACTGAGTGATAGAAGTAATTCGGAAAGCTATGGCATCGACGATCTCTGAGGCAGTTCGTGTGCTGCCGTTCAATGGAGTTCGTGCCGTGTTTGCGTATGGATCTGGCGTCTTTCGACAAAGCGCTACAGTGGATGTGCGGAAGAACATGCTGGACTTAGTACTAGTTGTAAATGACTCCCAGACATGGCACCAAGCCAATCTGGAGAAGAACCCTCACCACTACTCCTTCATCAAATATGCTGGGGCGGGAAACATTTACACATTGCAGCGGAAGTTCTCTGCTGGCTGCTACTGCAATACCATGTTGGAGCTTGCAGGACGCTCGGCTAAATATACTGTGGTGGAGATGGATGACCTGTGTGAGGACCTGGAGACCTGGAAATACCTATACATTAGCGGCCGGCTTCACAAGCCAGTCAAGTTTGTGCTTCATCCGCACCACAGTCACACACGGCTATGTGCAGCGCTGTCAAAGAATCTGCACTCGGCTGTTGCCGCAGCCATTGTGCAACTGCCAGAGACGTTCTCGGCGCGCGACTTATACCTGAAGATAGCTGGCTTATCATATCAGGGTGATGTTCGTATGTCGGTGGGAGGTGAGGATCGAAATAAGATCGCCAATGTCGTGGACAATAATATAGAGCGGTTTGAACACCTTTACCGACCCGTGCTGGTCGATTGGTTTGGCACAAATGACAATGTACAATTTGACACGTTCACACAGGACATCAGCCGGCATATGAGACACAAGCTGCTGAAGAGTCTGCCGCCAAGTGTCATGGCCGCGATGCTGCGTAGCAAGGGCAGAACAATGGATGAAACACTACTGCTGGCGGAGTTGTCCGATGACCGGCTTAGATGTGCTAATGGTGTGCGCGATGGGCTTGCCAGCATTGTGGACAGATCCAGCCGTAAGCAGATGACCAAGAATATAGTCAGTGCTGGCATCACCAAATCCGTACTCTATGCATCACAGAAAGTCAAGAAATACTGGGCTAGTAGTAGCAACAGCAGCAGCAGCAGCAATGGTGGTGGTGGTAGTGGTAGTAGTGACAAGAAGGCCAGTTGAAGTCCTGCAGAGCGCTACCATTCACCTGCAGCACCGGCAGGTCATGTGACTGAGCTCAGGTGCTACTGCGATGCATGCGGGGCACATGCAACCGGGCCCGCGTGGTGCTGACGTGTCTCCCAGAGAGCGCATGATTGGCCTTTTGGTGGGTTTGACTGGTGTGAGTATGTGCAGTTTATAGATCTGATGGGAGATCAGCCAGGTCGTACAGCCTTGAAACACTTCCAACACTTGATCACTTTGTTAGTGCAGTGCGCTTGTACTGTATACATGTAATCCACAATCCCACAGTCCGCTATACTGAAACAAATGGGTGCTTTTACGTACAGCGCCTAATTTTGGAGGTGCTGGCACCTCTTAGCTGAAGATTTTATTTGTGTTATGTTTGAGACTAGTTTTTAGAATTTCAATTCTCCACTGCAGAGAGTATTGCTTCCTCACAGTACAAGTACAATTTGAAGTACACGACTGCTAAACGGCAGAACAAAGCTCTCTAGTGAAACACTTTTACTGGTTAAAACCATTGAGAATCCGCGCGCACACTTGGTACACACGCCGGAGCAAACCTGTCAACTGTGCGTATATTCAGTTCTTCAGTTCCTAACTTACTCAAATCATTGCATAGTGGTCGGTGCTGAGGAGTTTGGTTTGAACTCTTGGAGCAAACACGTTCTAGCCAGTGGCATCACACCACTGCTTGGAGTGTGGACGCGTGTTCTGCTGAGATGCTTCGTGCAGTGTTTTGCATGCACTTCTTGTGGCATGATGAGTTTGAAATCTGTACTATTGGTTTGTTTCAGGCCCTCGTCTCAAATACAAGCACGAGTTGCAGTTCATTCACAGCAATAATCTGAATTGTCAATGTTGATCCATGACTTGCAAACAGTCTATCGTGTGCATCTTGACTTTGTTTCCCCTTGCAGTGGAATGGGAACTCGTCACTTAGGCAATGGTGTGTGTGTGTGTGTGTGTGTGTGTGTGTGTGTGTGTGTGTGTGTGTGTGTGTGTGTGTGTGTGTGTGTGCGTATGTGTGTATTCTGATGGTGATGGTGGCGGTGGCGGTGGTGGTTCTGGCGGTGATGGCGGCGGCAGCAGTGGTGACAGTGCTGGTGTGTGTGTGTGTGGCCAATTCTTCAGCCTTGCAAGCTGTTGAATGGTGCAATCCTAGCACAAGTTGCTGTAGCTTCTGCTGTAGCATCGCTTCCGGCGATGGGCGTCCAATGGTCCGATGGTGTGTGTGTGTGTGTGTGTGTGTGTGTGTGTGTGTGTGTGTGTGTGTGTGTGTGTGTGTACGTTGGTGTACTTGTTTGCATGCATTGTAGGTAGCCATGCTGTGCTGACTGCCATCATCAAGTGTGACGCATTGTTGTGCATTCAATGATTCAACCCAGCTGTCCTATCCGTTCTTGATTTACTGTACCCAGAATGGATTCACGACAAGCAGTATTTAAGCGCTCTGTTCGTCTCGTAACACATCAAGAGTCGAGATCATCCATGACTAGTAAGACCACCTGTGTGTAATCCCAGAGCTGTTCCAATACTATAGAAGTGCGAGTACAGTCAGACCTCGCTTATCCGGTCCTCTTTTATCCGGATCCCTCGCCATCCAGAAGAAAATAGCTGGTTACAGATTTACAGCATACGTAATGTGTCCAACATAACCGGTGTTCGGTTATCCGGTTCCCTCGCCTATCCAGATATTTTTGTGGAAGACGGATGTGTACGGTGTGTACGGTTTTAAAGTGATGTCTGACTGTACATGTACTGAGTACATGATTGCACTGTAAAGTTCAAGTCAATCTGTCATACGTGCACGCCAAGTTTTGAATGTTGATAAATCCACAGGCATAATGTCAGTAAAGACTAAGGAGTCACACTCGGGCCATCGTGCCTGGATGCATGCACCAGTTATAGGAATAGCCTTATGTCTGCGTCAGCACCAGGGTGGGGGCTTTGCTATATGCGCGACAGCGTTTTGGACAGGCAAGGCATGAACTTTTCAACTAGAACTTCCATACTGAAGCATGGTGCACATGCTTCTAACACAAAAGGCCAAGTAAATTAGCCAGTGGTGCATGGTGAAATACACCCCCAGGATCTCAGCTGTGGTCATGCATACAACGTGTAAGTTTAATAGTTGCACACAGTGCAAGTTGCATGGCACAAAGGGCATGCATGGGAAAATACGGACTGGGTTCAAAGGTCATACAATGTAGGTTCATAACTAATTCATTAGCGACTGAGGGCCCGCTTACCTGGGAAAAGAAGAAGCCCGGGCTTAGTTTTCCACCCATATACACGACGGAGGTGGGGGCAAACAGGCGCTGACTTCATGGGGGGGGGGTCTGCGAATTCTGTATGCATTTTATCATTTTCAAATTGCACATGAACACGGGGGTACATCTTCTTGAATGATAAATTGATAACATTCGGATCCAGAAGTGCTTGTTCACGTTCCTGCTGGCTTTCCGGTTGTCACTTGTTTTCTGAGAAGGTGAAGCCTTCACTGAAGGAAAAGTGAGAAGAACAAATGCCAGAAATTCACATCACATGACAAATCCGTACACACACTTCTGTACCCTGTGGTACAGGGTTGTACGCCACCCTGCGTCGCGTACAACTCTCTGGTGAGCAATTGGCACAGTTTACCAGCGTAGCCACACCTCACCGCACACCATGTCACGTGATGTGAAAGGTGCAGCACTGGATAGAAAAAAGTGCAGGCAGCTGCGCACTCCTGTCATATCAGTCTTGGGGGTTCGTACTAGGAGTTCGTACTCTGTCAGTCTTGGGGGTTCGTAGTAGTAGTAGTAGGAGTTCGTAGGTCTACTCTTGCTGCCAGTAGTACCGGTCCATGTACTGTTCACGAGGTCAGTGTAGTACGACATGATACAAGTGTGTGCTGGGTTCCAGCGGTTTGATGTCACCTACCACTGTACAGTCATGCAGATTGAAAGTGTAGATCTACTGGAGACGGGTATGAATGTTGAGAAGCAGAGCAGCTGTGTGCTGTGGGAATCTAGTGGAGTTGGTTTGCCAGTGGTCACCACTGGTCTGTGGCTACTGGTGAAACCATGCTTGGGAGTCTTTGGTGTGCATCATGAGGCCAAATGATGTCATGGAGCACACACTCATGCCCACGCACCGCTGGTCACAACACACACACACGCGCACACACACACATACACACACACACGCGCACACACACACATACACACACACACACACACGCGCACACACAAACACACTCGCACACACACACACACTCGCACACACAAACACACACACACACACACACACAGCACCAAGCCAGCAAAGCAGGTGGAGTGACATACTAAGTCAATAAATGCCATAAGAGTGTTGAAACAACTGTCATGAAGTGGTCCATATAAAATTCAGTGCCCTGGGCTGGATCAGATGACCGCCGGCACAAAATCACTACTACATAAGAAAACAAGGAGAATAACTAGTGACATCACAGCAGTGACTGGCTTCCATGGTTTCGCTTCTTGCACGGAGAGCAAGAAAACACAGCACGGAAGCGTCGGCTACGGTCTCTGATTAAGCAATCTTGAGACCGGCAATGGAAGACTCCAGGGACTGCAAAGCAGGGCAAAAGAATGGACAGACAACTTAGGAAAAGCTCGAATATCCAATCGGTTACGTATTGGCAAAGGTCTAGTAGCTAGATGATTCATTCATAAATACAGCGTAGTAGATAGTCGAACCATACAGCGGGAGCAATATACTCAATGCAAGTATTGAGTCACCTCGCTCCTGTCGTGTGGTTCAGCTACCAGAACCTACTGCAAATTTAGACACACGTGGGCACAGGCGCGCGCGCACACACACACACACACGCGCGCGCGCGCACACACACACACACACACACACACGCACACACATGCACACACACACACACACACACACACACACACACACACACACACACTTGCGCAGAAAGTGAGTCAAGCGGGTCTTTCATCTGACAAATATCACCATCGTGAAAGTCGAAAACTCCCAATGCCAAAGATGTATACATAATTATATAATATATTAAAACTCTGGTAGTGTTCCTTCTCTTTGCTGCACTGTGTGTGTGTGCGTGTGCGTGTGTGTGTGCGTGTGTGTGTATGTGCATGTGTGTGCATGTGCAGTGTGTACACACACGTACACACAAGCACGCATGGGTACATGAGCACAGTCCTGCATATTCCTATGTGTTCCATTTGTGTTTGTGACTGTACCTTGAAGTTCCAGACGACCACCAGTCCATCGACACCGGCTGTGCTAATGCCCTTGCCAGCACCCTTGGGACCCACCATTCGAGCATCACTGCCAGTACCACTGCCAGTACATCAGTGGAACACACATGCAGAACACGCGTACGCACGCACGCACACACACACGCACACGCACACATACACACACACACGCACGTGCACACACACACACACACACACGCACACACACACACACGCACACACATGCAAGTACAGTTTTCAAGTACATGCAGCACTGCAGTATGTCAATCCCATTGCAATCTGTTTGTGCTGCACCTGCACAACCACCGTAGCTAGCAAGATTCGATTTGAATGTTTGCTGTGCTGTATATTCTGAAACACATTTTAATAATATTAGATGTGATGAGTACTCCCAGCTATGCGTTAGCCTTTCCTGCACCCTTCCCTACCAGGCCATCAAGTCCTGTCCAGAGCACAGTGCATGTGTGTGCGTGTGTGCGTGTGTGTATGCATGTGCATGTACACGTAGTTCTGTCATACCATGACTATGGGGGGAGTATGCCTATGCCTAAGGCTGTGACTATCAGTACTTACACAATGCTGTTCTGATGGGTGGATGCACTGCGACCGGAGTCTGTGCTCTCTGTGGAGCCCTTCTTATCCAAGGAACGGAACTTGTCCATGGCAGAGCTGTTGGACACAAAGAGGACAGTCATGATAGTGTTGCTCTCTGCTCTCTCTCTCTCTCTCTCTCTCTCTCTCTCTCTCTCTCTCTCTCTCTCTCTCTCTCTCTCTCTCTCTCTCTCTCTCTCTCTCTCTCTCTCTCTCTCTCTCTCTCTCTCTCTCTCTCTCTCTCTCTCTCTCTCTCTCTCTCTCTCTCTCTCTCTCTCTCTCTCTCTCTCTCTCTCTCTCTCTCTCTCTCTCTCTCACACACACACACACACACACACACACACACACACACACACACACACACACACACACTCTCTCTCTCTCTCTCTCACACACACACACACATACACACACACTCTCTCTCTCTCTCTCTCTCTCTCTCTCTCTCTCTCTCCGGCTCTTACTCTCACCCACACACAGGTGTATGTGTGCACGTGTCTTTAGCTCTCTGCAAAGGGTTGAAGACCACGTGCATAAGCACAGAACCACGTATTCTCCTTTTTTTTCTCACCTCGTTCCTGCAGACTTGGCCTTGACGACATCAAGTTTCTGCAGAGCAGTCAGCTCGGCGTTGTCATCGTGGCGGAACAGGTATGGCGAGCAGTCGTGGCCCTGGAAAGTGTACACACGTGTTAGGAAAAGCACAGTAAGTGTACACACGTGTTTGGAAAAGCACAGTAAGTGTCACTAACCGGCACAAACCCGCAAGTGCACAGTTAGGAGATGAGTTGATAAATGATTTATTTGCTCGGACTGAAAGAGAATTTATACGATAAGTGAATACAACAGTGCGTGGCAGTGCAACATCGTACGGAGCACGCGCACTTCATGATTTTGGGAGAGCAGTGTACAGCAGTTGGGAAAAATGTGAGCTCCGGCTGTGTAAACCTAGAGGCTACAAACTGTGGCAGAACTTGCCGTACAGAGTTCACAGTACAATATTTACCGTGTAGACTAAGAGAAAGCTACAAATTAACAAATAATTAATTGCTGCAGTGCCGAAACATGATAAAGTCTTTACAGCTAAAACACGTAAAATAGCAAAATTAAACTAACTCGCTTTGCGACAGTAAGTGCATATAATACAATAGGTCCGCACCTGGTTGCATTGAGCACTACCACAAGTTGCCACAACTCTCGTTGAGTGTGATAACATCGAGAGAAGCATATGTATGTAATGGACATGGGCACGTAGATCATGGATTCAACTGCCCCCCCCCCCCCCCCCCCCCACCCCCACCTATACCGTACTATCTGGAATTGGGGCCGGTCTTTTATTTCCGCCTGTCTGAAATAAGCACCGCACCATTTCAGGGCTTTTTGTGTAGATTTTTCAAACTGGGTGAAATTTTAGGCCTCGCAAACTACTAAGCGCCTCGGCCAGTATTGCTGAAAATACTGTATAGAAAATGGTGGTGGTTTACGACATGGGTGTTTGTAAGTGGACTTACACCAGCGATGATGCTGTTCTCACTGACGAAGACACAGGTCAACATGGGCAAGTGAGTCTGCTTGATGGTGGTTACCCTGTGGATAAGAAACAAACACGCACGCACACACAGACAGACAGACAGACACACATGCGTGCACACACACACATGCATACACACACACACACACACATGCGCACATGCACACACGCGCACACACGCACACACACACACACACACACACCTCACAAACGCACACACACGCACACACACACGCACAGGGATTGCCACATGCATCAATCTAACACAAACCCTCCACCATCCATTCATGTGTGGAGTCCGACAGAAATACGAGCGGTTTTGGTGCCCAGCCCAGTACTCCCCCGCCTGCTCCGATATTGAGTTTTCCTGCACATCACACCATGGACTGACCAGTTTCTTGGAAGTAACGTTTCGGTCACAATTGCAAAGGGTGAGCACGAAGTAGTTTTTCTCTTTTAACGTGCCATGTGTGTGTGTGGACTGGCCTCCCTTACACTTGATCACCGCCTGCAACGGCCACAGAGATGCTGGAGTCGTGTCCGACCCACACCAGCTTGTTGCCAGATGGAGAGAAGCTGACGGAATGCACCCAGCCACCTGCACACGGACACGAAGAATGCACACATGCATGCGTTGGACATAATATTTGCTCGCATCCCCCACAAAGAAAATAACCAGACCCATGGAAGTACAGTGGAGGTGGTGGTAGAGTTGTTCAGTTGCGGTTTGCTTTCTCCGACACCTGACTGGTTTTGGGTTTTTGGTACGGAGTGTGCTATCCAATCCTTCCTCTCCTGGCTGCTAAAGGGCGACTGGAATGACGGAGTGTGCTATCCAATCCTTCCTCTCCTGGCTGCTAAAGGGCGACTGGAATGACGGAGTGTGCTATCCAATCCTTCCTCTCCTGGCTGCTAAAGGGCGACTGGAATGACGGAGTGTGCTATCCAATCCTTCCTCTCCTGGCTGCTAAAGGGCGACTGGAATGACGGAGTGTGCTATCCAATCCTTCCTCTCCTGGCTGCTAAAGGGCGACTGGAATGACGGAGTGTGCTATCCAATCCTTCCTCTCCTGGCTGCTAAAGGGCGACTGGAATGACGGAGTGTGCTATCCAATCCTTCCTCTCCTGGCTGCTAAAGGGCGACTGGAATGACGGAGTGTGCTATCCAATCCTTCCTCTCCTGGCTGCTAAAGGGCGACTGGAATGATGAGCTACATGTACCAGCAGGCCACGCCATCAATTGGAAAGAGTAGTTCCATGGATTGCCTGAGCTCAGCAACATTGCTGTTCAATGCTGCTTCAAAGATCCATGCCGTCAGCTGCAGCTAACCTGTCTGTTCACTACTTGACAGACGTGTCTGACAGAGCAATCGCAGCAGCAGTATGTGCATGCAGAATTTCCAGACTGCACAACGAACGTCACACTGACGATGTCGAAGGCCAAGCCAGCTCCTGTGAAGCGGCAGACTATTCCACAGCTTGAGTTACGAGCAGCGGTCCTTGGCGTGCGTGTCACCCTCCTTGTAGCAGAGACCATTGGCATGCCAATTTCCAAACACACCTTCTGGACAGACTCTATGAATGTTCTAGGGTGGATCCGTTCACACAGCCATCAGTTCAAGGTGGACATTAGCAGACCTGTACTGGATCTGAGCTGCAAGGTCCCAGTGGTGGCATGTCCCAGGAAAGCAGAATCCTGCCGACAAGGGCACCACGCGTGCATGGACCAACAGCGGAGGCACCAGTGCCCCCTCCACTTGTAATGGAGAGCGAGATCTCAATCAATCCAAGTTGCATTCTGTTTTCTTTCTGCCTTTATTCCTGAGCCGGCAGCGCAGCCTTGTGATTGTTTCTACATTTCGGAATGTCATGCAAATATGAACAAGTGCTAGTAAACCGCCACAGGGGTGTCGCGCTGGCTGCGCCGCACACATTTTTGAAGCTTCGGTGCATAAACACTCTTTGCCCCGAAAAAATGTTCGTTATGCATCACTTAAAAATCACCCTCTCGAGCACAAGCTATACGTCATGTCCAATAGTTGCTATAGTTAGTAGCAAGAGTACATAACCAAGTGTGTGCAACTCCCATCTCGAATTGTGCTGGGTTCACCCACGGTGGAATTTTTATTGCGGCATTCTTTGGCAGAAGTATAAGATCATGAATCTAGACCTTGACCCTTGAGTCCCTTGGGGACTCGAACATGTAGTGGCCTCCAGCGGGCCTGGCTGACTCACCTCCACCATTGGAGAACTCCGCCATCAGGTTACCAAAGGTACCCTTCTTTCCCCAGGGAGTTGGTGCCGGCTTCTCTTCAATCTCCTTCACGTAAGCCGAGAACACTCTGCAGCAAACATGTGTACATGCCCAAAGATGTAAGTTATACACTCACATGCATCAGGATGGTAAAACACGCAGCCAATTCCCAGCATTGATGATTACAAAACAAAAACAAAAACAGTACACATGCTGCACGTTCAAGTACTGATGCAGCACATATGCACACGCGCGCGCGCACGCACACACACACACACACACACACACACACACATGAGCCCCGGCCAGCGAAAACCAGCACTTGTGTACTTGATATCAATCATCAAAATGTGACGTCAAAGTTTGGGACGCGCAGTGAGCTGGCTTTTGAAGATTCCTTTTCGATCGAGTGGGTGTCTTTGTTGTCAAAGGAGTTTCAAATGTCTTCAAATGAGTCTGGTCAATTGATTTTAGCCCTAGGTGAGAGCTCGTCAAACGGAGGTTGAGTTTAGACACAGCGATGGCGACAGGTGTCGCGACAAGGACTTAGGTCCAGAGTTGTCAGCGTGAGACTCTCTGTACGAAGCGACGCTGAAAGTTAGTTCGCGATCGGAATTATTTCTTTGGTGGCGATCTCGCTGAGTTTGCCCAGCAGTGGTGAGTCTCATATTCATAGTAACGAAGAGCCCTCATAAAATCGACACTGGATACTGGTGGCGACGCTAGTCAGTGCTGGAGTAATAGCGACTGCGAGGAGAAGCTGAATGTCGACCCGCTGAGCGATCCGTATTTCTACATCGACAACAATGATGTTGGAGACACTCATGGAGGGCTTCTCACGGCGCAAAACAGAGCGTAGTATTATCAGTACTCTACCTTGCCAGACGACGCCAAGCTGGCTGCTGCCTGTGCTGAGAAAGGGGATTCCTAAAAGTCAAACTGGCTGAACGCTTTGGGGCAACATCTTCATGTGCTACAAAATGCGAGTATTCGCTCATATCATTGAAATACAATTATGCTGAAATCATGGTCTGAGTGAAAGTGTGCAAGGGAGTGGATGTCAGTGGTATTGGTCAGTACATCTATCAGTATGGCAAGCTTTGGGACAACGCTCAAACTGCCAGCACAGAGGTCCCTGAATACAATTTGGAAGGCCAGCCACCAATCATCGTTTTGCACTCTGGTGTTGTAAAGACGGTAGTGGTGTATACGGAATATCGTCACACTTCTGAACTACTCATGCCTGCAGCATCAAGAGGGCAAGCCTGACTTGCATTCTATTTACTAACATGTACCTGTTCCACATCACAATCAGAAACTGTAGCATCAACTTGCATGGAGTCACTGGGCATGGATGCTGCGCCAACTGTACCGAATCTTGACCTGTGTGACTTCAAACTCTATTTTCCATGCTTTCGCTTATCAGATTGTCACCAAACTTGATAACTTGAATGGTTAATAGTGTAGAATCGATTTCGAGCGAAAAAATAATTTTTGAAAAAATTACACATGTTCAGGTTTCTGCTGGCTGGGGCTCACATGCTAAACTGGGGGTCTGGCCACAGGTGTGCTTCAAGGTTGATTTCTTTTTTTCCCCACTATTTCTTCTATCACCACTGAACAATGCTTTGCCTTGCGACACGTCTGTCAGACCCCTCCGTGTCGACATAGTCAACATGGTCTCATGCTTCTTGGCACTAACACTAACACTAACACTCAGTAACACTAACACGTTCTCAATAAACTGATGAAAAGCTACTCCTCCGCGGCCTCTATCTGCAACGGATCTTATTGTGTCATGACTCATCACGGAATACATTAAATGCACCCTCACGGCCTCACCTGGCTTTGAAGTCACTGGATCCAGCAGCAACCAGATAGTTGTTCGGGTGCCAGTCAACGCTGCAGACAACAACAGGGGATCAGTGTGCAACAGTGATCAAAACAGAGAAGGCAGGCAACACGAAAATTCTTCGGGAGGTGCCCACAACCGAGGCTGGATTCTAGAGCATCTTCTTGCAACACAGGATTACCAGAGTACAGCAGAGAAACGTCTGAAGCACAACTCACTGTCACAATCAAATCAATCAATGCACCCAGTGTGTTATTGCTCGCATTGGGCATTGGTATCAGCAAGAGTAGATAAACAAGAGTGTGCAACTCCGGATCTCTCCTGCACAATCTGCAGATACCCCCGCCCACGGCGGAATTTTTGTTGGCGTCGCCTTTTTTCAGAGAAACGCGAATCTTGCCGCAGAGCAGTGTGAGACCACGTGCTGGGCACCGACCTTGTAATGTAAAGCCCGGCCAAGTGCACGAGGCAAACCTTTCCAAAAGACACGCAGCGCGTGGCCACGTGGGTCGTAGAAAAGATTACATCAACAAAAAATTCCGCCGTGGGCCAACCCATCCGGGAGTTGCACACTCTTGGTTATCTACTCTTGGTATCAGCCAGCACAGACCGAGGCAATGGTTACTGCACAGACTACCAGCATCTCTACCAGTCGACGCTGCACACCGTACCAGCACAGATTGCCCGCAACTGCAAGTAGAGACGGACCATCGCTAAAAAACGTTAGAAATCAAGCTGCAAGGTTACACTGTATAAATAGCTATGATGACTTGCTCGACTCTACCAACCTTAGCACTGTGGAGCGGATGGGCTTCTTGATGTGCTTGCTCACCCACCTGGCAAGAACAATCATCACAAGACAAGAACACGACATGACAGGCTATAGCAGAGGCACAGATACCGTAGAACATGTAATGGATTTCCAGGTACCCCAATGCACTAGTAGCGTCTTTCGGACCTGCATACACTGCACCAGAGTAGAGGAGGTATTGGTGAAGTAAGTTTTATTTTATTTTATTTATTTTTTACTAAGTACACAACCTACTCGTCAGAAGGGGAGAAGACAACAGAGTATACAATGACAAAACAGCAGGGAGAGTAGGGGCTGCAAAGCAAGCCTGTGCTGGTGAGGCAAGCCCACAACACCGACCTATGGTCTCGGCGTTAACGTGAGCTTGCGCACCATAGCCTAAAAGAGGGGGGTGATTTAGTGCGATAAAGACAAGAGAAGGTGAGGTAGAATGGATGAGGAGAAAGAAAGAGAGAGAGAGAGAGGGGGGGGGGGGGGGTGGAGAAAGAGAGAGAGAGTCTTGTAGGTTTGTGCTGTTGGTGCAGTGGTTAATATCCACCAGAGTAGAGGAGGTCTTGGTGAAGTAACTAAAGTCTTGTAGGTTTGTGCTGTTGGTTCAGTGGTTAATATCCACCAGAGTAGAGGAGGTATTGGTGAAGTAAGTCTTGTACTGGTCTGTGCTGTTGGTGCAGTGGTTAATATCCACACAGTGCGCTCTCACTCACCAGTCTTGCTCCACTTCAAAGTAGCAGATGGAGATGAGGCGAGCACCGCAGCCGACGGCAAACTTCTCCTCTGCGCATATGGACGCACACAGACACACAGACAGACAGACACACACACACACACACACACACACACACACACACACACACACACACACACACGACAGCAGAGAGCAAGGTCTACTGACAGTGGCTCACAGCGAGTGCCCGAAACACTACAAGAAGTACAACATAGTGCGAAGATGGACGTGCCGCACAGATACGCATGAAGCGGGTGGACAGGAGCGCCGCCGATGCACCGATCCCTGATAGATGAGCATGTGTGATGAGTACTCACCATTCGGTGACCACCTGACACATGTAGCAGCGCGGTTGATACGGAGCAACACCAGCATAGGTCGCCACTCTCCACCCTCGCTCGTCCACACATAGGCGTTACGGTCCTGCGTATGTGTGTGTGTGTGTGTGTGTGTGTGTAAGTGTGCATGTACATGTACACACATACACGCACACGCAGCACACACGCACACAATCGTACAGACATTCACAGTTGACTAATCTATGCAACATGTAACACAATAGTTGTAAATACAATGCCACTGGGCCACCTGAACAACTTGTACGCGTACATGTACTAGTGGATTTCGCATAGTCTTATAGACGACCGCCGACGTAGCGGACACCAATGTGCACGAGAATTACTTCTTCATAACCTCTTCACAACAGAAACGCACCTGTGCCATACATTGATACAAGCTGCACATCATATTCCACAGTACAGTGAAGCCTGTCTAAGACGACCGCTCAAGGAACCTCCAAAGCGTGGCCTCCGAAACCAGGTGCTCTCCTTATCCAGGGTCATTTGACTGGAAATGGCAGGCCTTGGTCCTGCTTGCAATGGTATTCTAGGACAGATGGTCGCCTTTACGAACTTTACTGTATGTCGAACCATCCGTTGCACTGCTACATAGTGAGATTAAGCTCGCTATAAGTGTAGATTGGTCGTTATGGATCGTCGATTTATTCCGTGCATGTCCGACCACGGACAGGAAGATTCGCTATTTCATGAAACTTGCCACGTGTGAGGTACAAGTAAATTAGTGACCCGTGCTAGGATCAAGACTGGTGAGCAAGTGCAGTGACTGGACGGCTGTCCAAGACTAGGCTCTACAACGAACAAGACTGCGTACTAGTATAGGATAGAGTGAGATGCTTTTTGGTGGTCTGAGTCAAGACACAGTCTCATGGCAGTGTTTGGCCATGCCTCTCTCTCTCTCTCTCTCTCTCTCTCTCTCTCTCTCTCTCTCTCTCTCTCTCTCTCTCTCTCTCTCTCTCTCTCACTCACTCACTCACTCACTCACTCACACACACACACACACACACACACACACACACACACACACACACACACACACACACACACACACACACACACACTCTCTCTCTCTCTCTCTCTCTCTCACCTCTCCGCAGGTAACCAGGCGGTTTCTCTTGGCACCCCAGTCCATGTCCAGCACACGTTGGCCATGCTGTACATTAGCAGAAACACAAGACATTAGAGGCATTGCCGCTACTTCAAACTATAGTCATCATCCAGTCCAAGTTATCCCTAGCAGTGGTAACGTTATTTTTGCTACAGTCAGTGCAGCACAGAAATTAATTAATTCTTTTTTTTCCCGGCTGGGATTGATGAATGCAGCGAATGGGATTTTCAGTCTTTGACCACTTTGGTGGTGGATCTGATCTAGTTACCTCGCACCGCTTTAGGAGCTGCATCTGCGCCTTGATCCTTGACGATGGGGGCGTTCCTATGGATGCGGAAAACTCGGTTCAACCGAGTCTCAAGCGAACCGTGCAGTTTTTCAAGGACTCTTCATCGTTGTACAAACTGGGCCTGGTAGTCTACTTTCTGTGTGTGTGTGTGTGTGTGTGTGTGTGTGTGTGTGTGTGTGTGTGTGTGTGTGTGTGTGTGTGTGTGTGTGTGTGCGTGTGTGTGTGCATGCATGTCCATGCGTGTGTATACTGAGTTGCTGCTCAACAGGGCATACGGGGTGGATCACGGAACTTCTCAAACACATCATGAAAGGATATATTCTCAACCCTGCGGCAAACAGCGGATAGTCCTTGTCATCATTGCTGCATTGCCATGGTGGCACAGTGACTACATTGCCATAGTGACTACATTGCCATAGTGACTACATTGCCATAGTGACCACATTGCCATAGTGACCACAGTGGTGAACAATCCAAGCAGGTAAGTGTTCATGTACCGTCTTCGATGAATGGTCGGTTATGATACCACTGCGGTGCATGTGCACAGCCCGGCAAGTCGTTATGGGTCTAGCATATCCCATGCATCACTAGCTACAATAATAGCATAATACATGTACTAGAATTCTATACATACACTGCAAGTTTGCACACATACCTCGCTGAGAACGCATTCCTGCGACCAAGAGGATCCGCTCTTCCTGTAAATGTGGACCTCGTTCGAGTTTGGGCAAAGTGCCAACTCTGCAGAAACGGAATCATTGCAACGGATTACGAGTAGCTCACATGCAAATAATTACAAGAGACCAGCAATAGGACATGGCTGGACATCAACTGTAGGCACATATCCATCAGCCACTACCAATGTAGGGAGTCTGGGGACGTTAACCATGGCAACTATCCCGGAACTTCGGCGGAAGAAAGGCACATCTACCTGGTCCATTTGCAAATACATGAATCAAGAAACAAACAGCCATACGAAAGGAAAGGTATCAGAAGCTCTCTTGGCCTGTGCCTTCGCCCATGGGCATTCACAGAGGCGGGCTAGAAAACGGAACGAGAGTGTTGACATACGGCATCTGGGCGCGTACACGGGTAGCGGGCATTTATGGGGGCTTTTAGAGCGGTGCGTGTGTGTGTGTGTCTGTGCGATTGTGTGTGTGTGTGTGTGCACGTGCGTGTGTGGGTGCGTGTGTGGCATATGGCTGCATTATGCCCATCTGTCACGGTGTCAAGAAGGATCAAGGACCTGTGATACAAACAGGAAGTGGATTGGGCCTATCCTGTTGGCTCCGGACAACAGTACATAACCAAAAGTGCGCACACAGGGTATGATGGTGCTCGCCTACAACGAACCATTAATTTAAAAAAAAGTACATATACGACATCCATGGTCATAGACTCATGATGCGACTATGGACAGGCAAAGGTATACTTTGCCTTGCTCTAGGACCCCTCATGTCCTGGGATACAGTACTGCCGGGCGCTGAACAACGACCAGGCTAGAAGGTTATCAATTTTCAAGAACGGTCTAGGCTGGATTTTTTGCACATAAGAACGAAAACAGTAATATACACAATAATGTACACTCAGACGTATAACTCTGCATAAATATACATGTAAGACGTATAACTCTGCATAAATATACATGTAAGACTGTACCATCAAATGAGAACGGAACTCGGCTGTGTTCGCTAAAAATAGGAACGGGCTAGGCTAGAACCCTGATCCCCACGGTTCTTCGGCGCCCGGCAGTACTGTACTTGTGTGTGTGTGTGTGTGTGTGTGTGTGTGTGTGTGTGTGTGTGTGTGTGTGTGTGTGTGTGTGTGTGTTTAGTGTCTTCTCTACGTGAGACTCCAGTCTAGCGGGCCGGCCCACTCCGCCGCACTGGTGTCCTTGGCCGTTTTGTTGTTGTTTGAGTTTGCGAATTTTGCTGGGTTGATAGATTCTACTTTAACTCAAGCAAGCGTGGTTGTGACGAGTTGGGAATGCAATAAATTAAGAATGCTTTAGTTCAAACAATATTATGGTACCAACTTGATGGGGGAGGGGTGCGGGTTTGATGAATCTGTGGGGCTTGAATCTGTGGGACTTCTGATTATTTTCGAATTATCAGAAAGTTTTATGTGGGAATCGTATTGATAGAAATCGGTCCTGGAAAAACTTCTAATTAAGGGGGTTCGGGACAGTTAGGCACAAAAAATTAATTTCAACATCAGCGCAATCTGACATCAGGTTTGAATAGCTACAGCCTTATATTTTCGCTTAGTAACATCAGTTTTTCAATTGCCTGAATAGGTCTTGCCAAAAACACAATTTTCCATGATAACACAAAATATTGCAAAATCCGAAAATTGATGAGAAATCGTCCATAACACCAGATAGGACCAAAACTATGACATAAAATTATACAGACTGTTAGAGGTATTGACTAAGATGATATCAACACCAAAAAATGTACACTTTGGTTGACGATAGGATCCAGGTCGTCATTTCCTGGAGAAGAACAAAAAGACGCAAAAAATGAAACTTTGAATATTTTTTGCAGCTTATTTTTGAGTTTGCCCCATATGTGGATACTTCAAATACGTTCTATAAGTGGGTTGGAACAGGTTTACCGCGGCGAAAATAGGGGTCACCGTGCATATTCTGGAGAAAAATCCAAAAAACTGTCAAAATTTGCCTAAAATTGGTAAATTCACGTATCTATATTGCGTGTACTTCTCTGCTGCTGCTTTGGTCATAACTACTTACTTATTGGATTTTTGGCTGTTAGGTGTTGCATAAACTCGCTAGAGCCCTCGGCGTTCAGAACAATACAAGGATGGAATAGCTGAACTAGTGAATTTGCCGGGAAACCCTGGGTGCACGCATTATCGATACCGTATTTTTCGGAGTATAGTGCGCACCTTTGTATAACGCGCACCCCCAATCTTCATTGGGGGTGCGCACTTCAATCTTCATTGAAGTACATGCATTTCATATTCGGAGCATAGTGCGCACCTGCGATTTAGGGCCTAAATTAGCACATCTAAAGTGCGCACTATACTCCGGAAAATACGGTAGGTACTTTTCTCCATGATTACTCTCCTGTTGGTACTTGGTTTTGATACATGTACATGTAGCTGTGATAGCACTTAGCACAGCCCCATATCAAACTACAATGAAAGCTGGCATGTTGGAACGAATCAGACAACATTGAGTCCTCTTGTTCTTCAACTATGCGAGCTAGAACGTGTCCCCACGCTGGCAAAAATGATGGTATTTTACGGTGCGCACAAACAAGGGAAGCACTTTGCCACAGGGCGTTACTTACATTTGGGTTGATGCTGGTTCTTGGCTAGGTGTTCAGCCACCACTAATATAATCTTCCTTGAGGCTGTCACCCGCTTCTTACCTCCGACTTGCTCCTTCATCAGTCTGGAAATGGCTGGCTCACCATTTTGTTTGTAGGACAAGACAAAGTGCTTCATCACCAACCCACTAGCAGCTGCCCGCACTGCAACTGATTTAGAGAAGCACGTTGCTTGGACCAACGGTTGAAGGATGGCCAGCCGCTTTTGCTGATGTTCTGCAAACTCCATCGCCGAACATGCTGATGCAAAAGTGACAGAGTGTTACAGGATACTGGCATCAAGGCGAGCTTCGACAATTTCAGCTAGGGCTGCAACCGTGATCCGCAACAGCATCATGAGCAGCGAACTCATTCCCAACGATGAACTATAAATCAATCTGAGGCTGTAGCTTGGGAGCTCCGGTATCGCGGTTTAGGGATCAGAGTGTTCACCCAGCACAACAATGCACACCATCGACACACACATGCGTGCACACATACACATACACACACACACACACACACACACACACACACACCTGTCCTGTCCTGTAGAGCCACTGCCACAGGGGTCACGTGGGCCCCGGAGGGGCATCAGAGAGGAAGATAGAGCACGCAGCCTGATGACGCTGGAGATGGTGGAGCAAACAGAACCGGCGAGAACACACGCATACATGACTGAACGAATTACGCTGCTGGGCAGTCGGGCGCGGGCCAGTCCTCGAGCACCGGTGACGACCGCGGCCTTGCACAGTCCGAAAGCAGCGGGCATACACACACACACACACACACACACACACACACACACACACACACACTACTACTACTACTATGTACAGCTACCCTATCGGGCCACGCCGCTCCCAGAAGCGGGAGACAACGACAAGAAGAGAGAAGAGAAGAGAGAGAAATCGCAAAGTCAACAATATTTGGCATGGCGTTGCAAGTCCTGTGGCCTTGAGAACCGTCTTTCGCAATGCTCGCATTCATGACGGCAGTTGTTCCTGGCTGCACGTGATGATCGTGTCATCACTGTGACCGTGCGAAACACACACACACACACACACATGCTCTCACACGCAATAGAACACATGCGCGCGCGTACACACACATATATTCACGCACGTGTACGTACCCACCCACATGCATATGCAAACTCATGTGCATGAGTGGAGATGCCCGCATACACATGTCACACCAACATGCCCTGGGAGCGGTCATGCACGTGTGTATAGTATGTGTGCGAGGGCACGTCCACATGAGCGCATATGCATGTGCATGCTCCGCGCATGCAGTGTGCTCATACATTTCCATAGCCATCGGGTGCAATGACTCCCAAATATCATGAATAAATCTTATGAGATTGAAAAACACACTTACCCAAAGCAGCTTTGGTGTTGCTTGTGGAAGCATGGGGGCCAGGGTGTTGAGCAGTTACAGGGCTATCTGTATCTATAAAATCAAGTTCTCCATCCCACACTGCTGACACGGAATGACAAGTACGCTGCCCAGGCCGTACCTCTTCTCTTCAACGCAATCAATGAGCGCCAGAGGTTTGCCACATCCAGGATTCTGGCACGCAGACAATCCCACACTGAGCCAGATACCTGAGATGAACGATTCGTCGACCGTGAAGAGGGGCACTGAACGACCTCTTCGCGGGAGTCGAATCCAGTGGCGTTGGTGGTGGAGATCGCCCTTTCGGTTTTTCAGGAACTCGATCGATCGTTTGAGCTTGCGAAGCGTCCCCCTCCTCGGCTTCTTGAATCGTCCAGTACGCACTGAGAATGCGAGGCCGCGTCGTGGGTGACAGATTACTCTCCCGCGTCTTCATCTCCACGACACGTCGGCAGGATACCCAAGCTATCCAAAAACCGCCGATGTCAAAACAAATCCGCAAGTCCACTAGTGGCTGAGCTTGTTCCTCAAATCTTGTCTCCACTCGAGCACGCGCTGCGAAGTCATGGTCAAACTGCTTATTTTTTTACTCGATTGTGCATGATCGCGTCCCATTTTTCCACTCCGAAAAGCATTATTTTTCAGAAAAAAATTCGGAAATCCAACATGGCGCTAACCGTCGCGAACCTCCTTAAAGGGGAAGTCCGGTGAAAAATTTAAATTTCAGGGTCGGTAGAGTTTCGGCCGCTGAGTCGAATGGTGTTGGTCCCACATGTCTCCGACAAAGCGTTCTCGAGATATTTCCGTTTGAAAAACTGAGTTTCGGGGGCTGCGCCATGACGTCATGCGGCCGCGCCACACCCTCTGCAACGTCATAGCGTGCAGCTAGGTCAAAAGGAGTGCGTGAAAGCAATAGTGTCAGTGCTATTTCAAATGATTTGGCGACTGATATTAGGTGGTGCAAGCGACCCCGAAGACATGTAACTCCTTGTGAGAGTGAGGATGCAGCCATGGCTGACCTTCATGAGTTCGGTCTGGGGCTGAGAACCTCGGTAGTCAGCTGAAGGAATGGCCGCGCGGGCCGGTCAAGAGTGAGCGCTACTGAGTTTCCGACTGATGAAGAAGCAGCAGCTATTGCAGACGAGGCTGATGTAATTATCAGATCGCTGGAGAGCAGGGTCGCCAAAATGGAGAAGAGTGATGCGAGTGCTCTAAATGTTGTTCCATACCGATTAGATTCGCTTAGACTCCAGTAGCCTGCCACATGGTGATGTTTTGGTGCGAACTTGGAATATTTCGGACTACTCAATTGGAGAACAGTGCAGGCTCTTTGAACCACGGGCACGACTCTTCGCTCGCAACGCTATGGAATCTGAAAGTTCTAGGTCCGAGAGCTGTTCGCTGTTTTGTCACTTGTCACGGTTGTGCACTCATCGCTGTAGCATAAAATAATGAGGCGCCGCGGGTGCGGAAAACTAAAATAATAATTTTCTTTCTCAAAGCACAACCACCGGCACCGGCAAGGAGAAACGCACGTTCTCTGACTACATGACTGTACAATACGACTGATACGAGTGTAGTACATGACAAGTCCGTGTGTTGACTAGTTTTCTGAGTCTTGTGTCAGTTGTGACATGAGTTTGTTGACTGCACTACAGCTAGCTAGATAACACACTGCACGCACTGCATGCACGCAGCGCAGAGCGCATACTCGGCATAGGCCATAGACCATTGTAGACGGGCTAACGGAAAAGTCCAACTCGGAAACGGCTAAAATACGGTATAATCTCCCGGTTTACCGAGCTGAAAATCACAGGGTACGTAGTGTTTGTAACACTGAATCGAATGGTCTTGGTCCGAAGAAGCTGCGATAAACGGTTCCCCAATCGAACGCGCTCCGAATATGGCCATTTTTGTACACAACTAGATGGTGTGGCTACCTGGCTGCACGCTGTGACGTCATCACCTGGATCTGGGTGATGCGCGCTCAAATTCGCACATGTTCGATTGGGCGTATCTGACGAACCATAAGCCGCAGCCTCCTCGGACAAAGACCATTCGACTCAGCGCCCCGAACTCTACGGACTGTGAAATTTAAATTTTTCACCGGACTTCCCCTTTAAGCGGTATGTTCGAATTAAGCCATATTCAAATTATCAGGATTCCACCTGTACTACAAATATCAACAGTCATAATATATAGCCTTGTGCTTACCACTATTGTAGTACTGTATACAGTAAGCAGAAAATTTCGTCGGTGAATAATTTCGTCCGCAACTCCAAAGAAAGGGAGTTCGTCCGACTGTAAATTTCGTCCATGGATCATAAGAGTGTATTGAAAAGCTGGACAAATCGATATTAGTCCGGCATTTAATTGAGTCCAAAAGCACCTTGGGCGAAAAAGACGAAATTCCAGACGAATTTTTCTGCTTGTACAGTAGTCTTTGTAGGACTGGTGTAGATCTACCATGATTACTGCTCAACGAGTACCCATACCCGCCGCCGCCCCCCCCCCCCCCCCCCCCTACTATATGACTAGTACTAATGTAAGTAATACTGTAAGGCCAGACTTTGTTTTTTCTATGTTTCTCGTCACCGCCCGCGTAGGTTTTCAGAAATTTCGGAAAAAAAAAGAGTTCATACTTGTACATGTAGGTACGCTGCACATGCTGCAGCAGCTCAGTAGATGCGTCAATCAAAATCGTAAACGTTTGCACCACCAGCAGCCGCTGAAAGGGGCGCTCCCCGTCCGTTCTCTGCTATGAAGGCTGCCGTAACGAAGCTTTCAGTCGTTCACTGCCTGAGCCTCGCGGGTCCCAGGAATATCGCAAGTCGAACGAATTTCGCGGCAACTGGCGTCTGTGGAACGATGTCGTGGGTAGAAAATCCAAGCAATAGACGCATGGCGAGGAAAAGACGTGCAGCGTGGAGACAAGAGTTTGATAAGTGGACACAAGAACGTTGAAGTAACAAACCAAAAATGACGATTGGGAAAGCATTTGTTGATGCGATAGCAGATAAAATGTATGTTCTCTTCGCCATTTCGTTATCAAACTGTATACTATTAATGTTGCAGTTTGCCTGATATTCGGGGACTGGTGTGATAATGTAGTGCAATCATGTACTAATTCTATGGGACTACATGATTGTACAATGTAGTACTGTAAAAGCCATATAATATATATATATATAACGAAGTGCTAACTCTGAGTTAACGAGGGGAAATCTGTCGTTAAAATAGAAATCGTTATACAGAAATCGATACATATACAGTAAAGCCTGTGACTACCGACCACCCCTTGGTGCCAGCTGAAAAGCGGTCTTTAGTAGCAGGTGGTCTTTAGTTAGAGGTTTGCACCGCGCGACCATATATGGGTCCCATTATATGATATGTATGTCAAAATTCAGCTAGTACAATTCCCCATGACTTGCACAATGACATTCTTATTTCAGGTCAAACAACACTTGGAGAGATAGATGGACAGATGGAGAGAGACAGGGAGAAGATTATTTTTTTGCAGACATCAAATTCAGCTGCTACTTCTGAAGCCAGGAGTCGAACGTTCCCTGTGGAAGTTTCGTTTTGCGCTGGGCTTCAAATTATTTGTTCATGCGATCAGTCGTACCGACTGTCCTTGTTGTGACTTCTCGATTACTTGAACGCGATCCTTCAGCATCAGGACCTTGAGGTGCTGCTTTGTTTCTGAACTCCTTCATGCCATCGTCGATTCGTCTGTATGACTGGGGTGACAGAGCCGCTCAGTCTTCGTTTCTCCTCCGAGTAGTAACAGCAATCAGAGAGCGCTTTCGATGCGCTCTCCAAGACGTTTCCGATCATGTTTATTCTTGACAGTGCTTGAAATTTTGACAGGTGTAGTGCAGTCCACACCGACTCCACAGTCAAAATGACCTGCGCTCATTTGTTCAGCTGTTGTATCGAAAGATTCCTTTCAGGACCATCATGGAAAATCAGGAAAATTTCAAGAAGGAGCTTCAAGCAAGACATTTTGATTTCCTACATTGCGTTCGCTAGTTACGGGTCGAAAATCGTCTTTGGGACAAGAAAAGGCGGTCGCTGGTCGCGTTCAGCAGGTAGTCGCTAGTCACAGTGCATTTTGAATGTGGGACCGTCCGTGCCTGGCGAAGTGGTCGGTAGTACCAGGCTGGTCGCTAGTCACGGTGGTCTTTAGTTACAGGTTTTACCGTACTGTCCACGTTGAGAATCGTTACCATTGGTACAAGTAAACCAGTCAATTTTGGGAAATCGTTATATATGCGCCTCGTTACCTTGGTTACTTGTAGAATAATGGCTTTTACAGTACAAGTAATGACGTCTGTATACGCAGTGTCTTGTATGAATCACACATACAAAATGTATACAGTTTTCAGTAGCAATTGTTCTTGTTTTTTCTTTCTTGGCTTTTGTTTTTTTCGCCCGCGCGCATATCTTTTGTTAAAATTTGCCGACGAGAAACATAGAAAAAACAAAGTGTGGCCTAATACTATAGTAATACTAGCAACGTTCCGGCAGCGTGTGTGGTGTGACAACTGCACACCGAGCCTACAAGCTAGCACTCCAGTACCAGGCTACACCACCAGTGTCAGTCTGTCACCAGCACCACAGCCAGGAGGAGGGTATAAACATAATCGGGGAACTGCTTTCCTGCGCCCCCACTAAAGCCGGTCGCTCGCCTGATCTGGCTCTGTAGCGACAACAGGCAACACGGGTGCGTTGTCGTTTCTCTAGCGTCGCTGCTCAAGAAACTCGTCGCCGATTCTCATCTACAGTGCACAGGGCCTTGAGGGAATGGGTAAGACGACTTCGAGTGAATGCGGAGGAGCTGAAACAGTTCATTCTACATGATGTAGCACTTACTCGTCTGGTCTCCATTGAAGACGTGGCAAGTGACGGCCACGGAATCGACCAGGTTGATGGTTTCCTTGTCTCTGCCAGCCATTGCAACTGAAAAGCAAGCACTTTCCGCGGACTATGGTCAGTCTACACGGGAAGCTGAGCAAGAGATAGACTTGAGCACACAAACGAACAACCAACGACAGCCCTGTTACTGTTACTGAGTAGACCTGAGCAGATCTACTTGATTCTTGACTTCACTACATGTAGCAGAGTAGATCTACATGACTGTACTGATGTAGTGTAGCCTAGGCTTCAAAAGATAGTTCAAGGAGAATGCATTCGCCAAAAAAATGTGCGGAGCATGCACGTAGACCGACCGGGTCTGCATGGTCTACGCGGTTCATGCTAGGTGTGCAGTGCGCACACTCGATCGACTCGACCTTTACCGCTAGCGCTTGCGCCGCGCCGCCGCAAGCCGCAGCTAGCTAGCCGCGGCGCGGCCCTTGCGAAGCTAGCGCCCGGGCCTGGCCTTACACTACTTTTGTAGTCACTGCACTAGGCTACAGTACAGTATAGTACAGTCAGATCAGTAGTCTACGTAGACCCGGTAGTAGATTCTACGTAGTACTAGTACTAGATACTGCGGGTAATATTTCAGAAATTTTCGGTGCTCAATATTTTCGGTATGAGGGCAACAGGCTACAATTTTTGTAGTAGCTGGTTAGGTGAACAGAAATTTTCGGTACAGAGAAGCAGTTCCCTATTGGTTTATGTGTGTTAGTGTTTGTTCGGTGTATTGAAATTTTAGATATGAAACAGACGCACCGAAAGTACCGAAAATAAAAGTACACCGAAAATTTCTGAAATTACAGTTTTTTTTATTTTATTTTTTACTGAATACCACAGTACCATCAGATGCTGCACAGCGGGGCGGTGGCATATTGGATGGAAGTGGGGGCGGGGCAAAAGTAACTCCTCCGGCCAAAGGTCTCGGAATCATCGTTACTCCTGTGCGCCGATACATAGGAGAAAAGAAACATGTGCATCCAAGAGGGGAGCACCGGCTTTGCAATCGATAATTGGGAGAAATTGAGATTGGGATAGGACAAAACAATAGTAAAAGCAGTGCACCATAGGAAGATGGAGTGAACTGATAATCAGATTTTAAGGCTGAGCGAAGGGGATCAAAGAGGGGTAGAAGGGACCTGGAGTGCGGTCAGTATAATTAGGCTGGTGTGTTGGCAGAGATCATAGCCTGTCTGTGGCCCACTCCCACTTGCTGCGCCGCAAGTGGTCGTTGACGTTTTTCTTGAACGTGTGCATGCCTCTGCGAGAAGGGGGAGGCTGCAGAAGGGTAGGTGGGAGCTGATTCCACGTTGCGATGAGGGAGTGGGGAAATGAGCGGAGCGTGTTGTTTCGTGCCTGAGGAGGAAGGATACTGGTGAGCTGCGATGGATGATGTGTTGCAGATCTGGTTGTCTCACGAGTAGGCATGCGGTGTTGCGGTGCGGCTGCTGATGGTGGCAGAATGGCTTTCACCATTTCCGGACCCTCCACAAAGTGCAGCTTGTACAGAAAGCAGAGCCCTGCTACGGTACGGCGAATGTCGAGGCTCGGGAGGTATGAACCATCTCCAATTATGTGCAGGGCACGGCGCTGGATGGCAGTGAGGCGGGCCAAGGTGGTGGGGGCTGCGCTCATCCACACCAGCATGCCATACTCTAGCACAGGGCGGACAAAGCCACGGTACACGATTGCCCGGTGCTTTGGGTCTAGCACAGCCGATGCCTTACGGAGGAAGCCGAGCCGCTGGGCTCCGCGTACTGCAAGCTGTCGGATATGGCTGCGGAATGCCAGCTGCCTGTCGAAGGTGACGCCAAGAAGCTTGAGCTCCTCTACTTCTGCTGGCACGACTGCTCCTTGGAAGCGTATTGCGTTCGGGGGGGGGGGGGGGGGGGGGGTTGGCGAGCGGTGGTGGCTGATGGTCAATGCCTGCGACTTTGTGGGCTCGAACTTGATCCTCCACCTGCTTTCCCATGCTGCCAGTGAGTCTACTGCCTGCTGGAGGATTGCTGTCTCTTCTGGCAGTCTGAGTCGGTTGGTGATGCACTTGTAGAGAGTTGTGTCGTCGGCGTATACAGCCAGCTTCGCCCCATCAGGCAGGTGGTCTTCTGCGTCGTTGACGTACAGAAGGAAGAGGGTGGGGCCGAGGATGCTGCCCTGTGGCACGCCAGATTGGATTCGGTGGGTCGGTGAAGACAGTACTCGGATCGGAGACATAGCCTATCCATACTCATACTAGAGTCATAGAGTCATCATGCATGGTCATAGGGTAACACCAAGTTACTAGCTGAGTGCCGACTAAGGCCACACCGTTTTTTATCTACATGTACTAGTATGTTTCGCGTCCCCCGCGCGCATGGCGGCATGTATTTCACAGCCGGAGTTTAGGAAAAAAAAGGTTTCAGAGCAGACTCGCTCTCTCCCCGGGGCCCCATTCACTCTGCAAACTCGATCGAACTCATTTCTCAATCAATTTTTACAACGTTTCGGCAAAATGGCCCTCAGCAGGTATGCAAAAAAATTGATTGAGAAATGAGTTCGAGTTTGCAGAGTGAATGGGAAGAGAGCGAGTCTGCTCTGAAACCTTTTTTTCCTATGAATGAAGCTGCAGGAAGCCTCACCACTGCTACTAAATAGGGTAACACTAACAGGGTACCAAAACAGTAGAAACAGCCTCAAACCTACAAGAGTTCTATTCAGGGTTCGCCGAATCATAACCCCTTGACTCGAGCGCGGGGCTGTTTGTCAATGTCAGTGCACCACGTAAGAAAATGGTCATGTCAGTCGCATGTCAGACACTCTCAAGATTGCAATGCATGATGCACGATATGCGCATGCATGCAGTACTCCTAGTAGCCTGCACCTAAAGTAAAGTAATTTAATAGTTATTTTTGTAGGATCTACATAATCGGCATAGTGGTGGCCTGCGGAAGCGAAGGCTAGCTTGTGTGTTTCTGAACATTCAAGTGATGCTACGGCATGCAGTAACGCGGATCCCGCGAATATTATACATAATCATTGTAGCTACTACTTACTAGGACTGCGCGCGGTATACTAGGTAGTATAGTGGTAGATCTACATTGTACATGGCCCAACATGGGATATTATGGCATTATGGGAGCGCAAAGCGATGACGGCTTTGATTTTTCATTTTTACTTGAATTATTTCGACGTCGCGCGCGCGTATCTATTCTAGCTTGCCTGCTCAGCAGATCAGTGCCGCAGTGCCAGTGCCAGTGGCTAGCCGGCCGTGTACCATGTGTACCTGCTGTTGACACTGTCAGTGAAATAGTTTGTCGAGTGAAGAACGACTTGTCCTACTGATCTGAGCGAGTGTTCCTGCAGCCGTGTAAGCGTAACCAGCTTGTTTCTCTCTGTGGCCGTCAAGCGAGTGGAACCACTACCGTTCGGTGACCACTTGTGCTGCTGATGCTCCAGCCATATCTTTGCAAACTCGCGCTGCGTTGTAGTTAAAAAGTTAGGGTGTAGTGTTGATTGCGCTTATCTGAGTGTTATTCGGGCCAACTGTCTTCTTGGTCCGGACATTTCCAGCAATGTGCCTTGCCGCTGCTCCTGCTGCAGCCGTGCCCGTGCCGGCAGTGACACACGTCTTCCCCATAGTTCTACAGCGGTGAATAATTACAGGCTCGCCATTCCGGTCGTACCGCTGCTTGCTATACTGTGCAGTTGTGGAGTCGTGGAGCTCGGCAGCCTGGGCGGTCGCCCAGTGTTTTGTCTGTCTTCAACCACCCACAGCTAACTGGCCGAAGACTAAATAGGAAGGCGGCGCAGTTTGCAGGAGGTCGGTACGGAGGCGTTGCAATGGCTCAGCCCGTACAACACCCGTTGCATATGCCTGTGGCCCCTGTGTTAGTGCTGCTGGTGTTGGTGATGCACTGTGCTGTATGCCCCATTCCTGGCGTGCTTGGCCTGAAGACGCCCACATTGGCAGTGGCGAATGGCACACTCCGATATGTGGACCCATTGTGCACGACATTTCCAGCCACAGACGTTATTCAGAGGAACACGCGTCTGATCTACGACACATCCCTAAGGTCATTTCTTGTTTTCGTTGCCCCAATTTGGACTGTATTCAACTTGGGATCAACAGACACTGTGAGTACTGTACTGTCATTTTAAGACTGATGTTATGAGGGTGTAATCGGCTACCGTTATGTCTGTGGGTCGCTCATAGATGGCGGCGGTGTATGGCGTGACACACGTGCACACAATAACGCTTGCACTTAGACACCAGTCGCGAGAGCAGCACGCAAATCTGCGAATGCATTGGATGCACAGCCACTGATTTTTCTCTTTAATAATTATAGCTACGACGGCGGACAAGATACACACGCGCGCACGCACACACACACATCATGTACACACCATGTACACACGTACACACACACACACACACACACACACACACACACACACACACACACACACACACACACACACACACAGTGACGGGAATGGACTTACAGAACTTTTCTCACCTTCCCGTTGGGTTTCACATGACGTAACTTGTATATATCACGTGTGCCCCCAAATGTATTACCAGTATTCATGTATCATGAATAGCGAGTCTATGTACTGTACAAGCTATCCACCTATCTTAGAACACCCATCATTCGCCACACGGACGTGCGTACATACTCATACTCCTGCCCATCGCTGAAGCGATGATAGCGAACAAACTATGTTAGACATAGCAACTTGTGCTCGGATTACACCATTCAACAGCTTGCAAGGCTGATGAATTGACCGCCACCAATTTTAGCCTGATCTACACCCCACGGCTGGTTGAAGTGGCTTTTTCTGGCCAGTAAATCCTAATTTTTCATTTTTTTCACTTTTTTACGCACACCACACCACATATTCCGGCATGCACTGGCTGTTGGTAACCACCCAGGAGAATGAAAGAAGAGCTAGGAGAATGAGAAAGAAGAAAACGTGACCATAATCGTCGGGAATTGAACCCGTAGCCTGCTCGATTGGAAATCGATTGCACATACCACTGCACCATATGGGACACACGCACATATAGTGGACAAGCTTATTGCCGCAGCTAGCATTGCAACTCTGGGATGCAGCTTCACAGCCGCTGTCTGTTCTGTTTGTGTCCTGTGTGTTCTTTACCTCTTGCTGCCGTTTGTAGAAGCAAGCGTGGGGGCATACTGGCGTGGTGTGCGATCCTGGATTCATGGTATGCCATGAGAATGTGGTGGGCGTGCAGCGCATCATTGTGTCACCCTACATTGGCGATATGTCTGCGTTTGCCCCGACCGGCGGAGTGCGGGCACTGTCTGTGAGGCTGATTTATCGCATGAGCTGTTCTTTCTCTCCCCCGTGTTCACATAATGTGGTCAATGTGCTCGCGTGGCCGGTGGCGTCGAATCAGACCATCACTTCTGCAGCCTACGGCCGGTTCACCAAGTTTGCTGAATTGAATGCAACTGCCGCACAGTTCGGCTCACAGTTGATGAACAGCCCACCTATAATGGAGACACTGTACTACCCTGTGCCGTTGAAGACCGGCGGTGTATACCTGGCCTTCGAGACCATAGGGGCGTGCATCTCCATCGATCGGGTCGCGATTTCCTACCACATATGCGTTGAAACGTTGTTCAGTTCATCGAAGATCGAGATGCCGGAAACTGTTTCCCGCTCGGTATCGCAGCGTGTTGTCGGCAGGTGTGACCCGTCGCAGTTCTTGCAGGCGGATAGCAACGTTTCTGGTGGAGTGGTGTCTGCCGAGTGTACTCGCGAGGGCCACTGGATTCTGGGGTCTGTCGTCGGTCGCTGCGTGTGTTTACCCGGCTTTGGCCGCACTGACCGCGCCGCGCTCTGTTTACGTGAGCACAATGCCTTTGTGGAATTGTCTTGCTTTAACACATATTTGCCAGTGCTTCGCGTCTTCGGGCACTGTGTTTCGAGTATACTGTAGAACGGGTAATTTTAGCGACTATTAATTTTAGCGTTTTCCCATTGTCAACCGGTTGGCGACGTTTTATTTTAGCGATTTGCAGTGATTTTACTCACGGATCACCAGTGCACTACTTACTAATGTCTCAACGTATTAGCGACTTGTAACTTTAGCGAAAATGAGTCGATCGCTAAATTCGCTAGGGTTTTTACGTCGCTAAAATTACCCGTTCTACAGTAGTGCTATGTATGTTGCCCCCCCCCCCCCCCCCCCTTCCGCCTCTCTCACTCCTGCGCCATGGCAAAGTCTGTACAGGCCTAACATGTATTCAATTAATCGTTTCAAAGCTTTGTTTTGCACACGGGCAACACCACCCGGGGGGGGGGGCAAATATGTGTTTGAAGTGATAGCAGGCGCATGCAAGGGCAGGGGAGTCCTTGTAGAATGGTTAGAATGCACAGCTACATGTACATCCACACGGGGGCAGCTCTGAGCAAGGTTATTTGTCGTGTGTGTGTGTGTGTGTGTGTGTGTGTGTGTGTGTGTGTGTGTGTGTGTGTGTGTGTGTGTGTGTGTGTGTGTGTGTGTGTGGTGTGTGTGTGTGTGTATGTATGCATGCATGCATGTGTGTGTGTGTGTGTGTGTGTTTGAGTGGTGCAAGATTATGGATACATGTACAATCATCACCGCATGAAGTAATATCTCTGCATGTCGCCCGTCTGCAGCTTTCCTACACGGTCAAGTTGTGTGTAAAAACTTTAAAAAAAAGCCATGTCTGTTCATGTACACGTGTACTAGCTAGTGCAGGCCATTATGATGCCCAGCTTTCTATCCAAATCACTCTGATGCACAACCCAGGGTAGCTCCTTATCACCTGGAAATCAGGCTTACAATTTGTAGTTGCCGATGCTCCATGCTCTAGCTATGTCGATCAGGGGTTTACGAGTGAGTGTTAGAACGCGCTTCTATGGGATCTGGTGTATTGTCTTGTAGGCCGAGAGTGCGGTGTGCTGTGTGTGCGTGAAGGTGAGTCAGTATACTATGCTGAGTGCTTGCAGGTTACTTGCCGCATCCCTATCAACATGGCCAGCAGCAACCAGCAGTAGTTTTATTTATTTATGGCAAGAGCACTATTGACGTGTGCAATTAGTCACCATCTGCTAATCATGCGTAACCGCCAGTGACACCCTGCCAGTAACACCCTGCCAGCTGAGGCAGTGACACTCTGCCAGCTGAGGCAGTGACACTCTGCCAGCTGAGGCATGTTGAAAAGGAAATCCAGTAGTAATACTCCTCAGCTGATGCGGGGGCGGGGGCATTGCTGAGAATGTTTACATGTACATGTAGCCTGTCTCTAAATTGCTGCGTGTGTGTGCGTGTGCGTGTGTGTGTGTGTGTGTGCGTGCGTGTGTGTGTGTGTGTGTGTGTGTGTGTGTGTGTGTGTGTGTGTGTGTGTGTGTATGGTGTAGACCAGGCTGAATAGTGACGGTCAATTCTTCAGCCTTGCAAGCTGTTGAATGGTGTAATCCCAGCACAAGTTGCTATGGCTTCTGCCGTAGCATTGCTATCATCGCCTCCGGCGATGGGCGTCAAAGGTCAAGGTGTGTGTGTGTGCGTGTGTGTGTGTGCGTGTGTGCGCGTGTGTGTGTGTGCGTGTGTGTGTGTGTGTGTGCGTGTGTGTGCGTGTGTATGCGTGTGTGTGTGTGTGTGTATGTGTGTGCGCGTGTGTGTGTGTGTGTGCGCGCACGCGCGCGTGTGTGTCTGCATGTGTGTGCGTGCATGTGTGTGTGTGTGTGTGTGTGTGTGTGTGTGTGTGTGTGTGTGTGTGTGTGTGTGTGTGTGTGTTTGCTTTGCGATATTTGTTTTTGTTTTCAGCATGCACGACGGGAATGTACAAGGGCACACAGGGCGACGTGGCATGTAGAGCATGCCCGGCTAAGAGTGATAGCGGCAATCAAGCTCTAAGGTAGATCTACTAGCAACCAATACCAGTCCTGCTAAAACCTACTCTACAGATGTAGATAGCTTACAAGGCTGTTTACACGTGTTCGTTAGGGTGCCACATGACAATGAGGGGTGTTTCTCACTGATGTGTGTGTGTGTGTGTGTGTGTGTGTGTGTGTGTGTGTGTGTGTGTGTGTGTGTGTGTGTGTGTGTGTGTGTGTGTGTGTGTGTGTGTGTGTGTGTGCAAGGCCGGCGGCTGGGGCGGCCTCAGCTGCCCCGCTTTTTCGGCAGTTTTTTTTTGGAGCACATTACATGCAACAAAGCGCGATGATCGCAGCTTAGCGCAAACGTGACAAATCCTTGTCCCCGATCGTGGTTTGTTGCAGAAAAAAGTCTTTCATTGCAGTTACACTGAAATGGCACCAAATGCCTGGAAATGCTTGCAATTGGCTTCAATTTTTTAATTTTTTTTTCCCGGGGGAGGGCCCCCTGACCCCCCTTCCATGGCCGCCCCACCTCCAAAGTCGGTGTGACGGGCCTGGTGTGTATGTGTGTGTGTATATGTGTGTGTGCGTGTGTGCGTGCGTGTGTGCGTGTGTGTATGTGTGCGTGTGGGTGTATATATGTGGTGGTGACGGCGGCAGAGGTGGCGGTGGGGTGTTCATCGCATATGCTGTTGTGTCAGTTTGTTTCATAACGAGAATAGGTCGACTCTCTGTAAGTCATGTACTCTGTGTGTGTTTGTGTGTGTGTTTGTGTGTGTGTGCGCGGGCGCGTGCATGTGTGTGTGTGTGTGTGTGTGTGTGTGTGTGTGTGGACTGTCTTCTTGGGGGACAGTTTGAATTTTTCTAGCTCCGGAATTTTTCTATTTGCTGAGACTAGTTAGAGCCTCCGAAGCAGCGTAGGTACACTCAGGGCTCTCCTAGCTTGCTAGGAGAGCCCCTGGCGTGTCAAGTGTAGACCTTTTGAATTTAGGGCAGCGGATCCAACGACGTGACTTACAGGACAATTATTTGAATTTGATATTGTCACTGTCGCGTCGTCCGTAGTCCTCCATCCGCAGTGGGCTAGCTACCCCTCGGATGTGTAGAGTTTCAGCTTCAAAGCAGCCAGAGTTTGGAGGCACCCGTCGGAGGCGCCCAGCTGGTGCTCTTGTCAAATTTGCTTCGTGGAACGTCAGGACTTTAGTGAACATCGATGGCCCGGTTTCAACTGCTGCTCGTGGAAAGCGCGTCGTGGAAGACAAGAAAATCAACATCGTTGTCAGTGAACTTCGTCGGTACGAAATAGAAGTGGCTGGATTCCAGGAGTCGAAGTGGTTTGGTAAAGATATATTCCGTGTCGAGGATGCAATTGTTCTCACGTCAGGTCGCGCCATCCCAACGGACGATTTCAAACGAGGCGAAGGAGTTGGAGTCGTACTACGCGGACGCGCACAGCAAGCGTTCGTAGCAGGGGGAAATCAGTGGTCTGCTGTCTCATCGCGTGTCGCACGCTGCAAGCTAAAGTTCGGTGACATTTGGGTCCACGTCGTGGTGTGCTACGCACCGACTTTCCGGTCCAGTCGCGATGCAAAGAACGATTTCTTTGACTCTCTTCAGGAAGTTATTCTGTCCGTACCCACCCAGGACTCCTTGATAATCTTGGGAGACTTCAACGCTAGAGTTGGAGCTGAAATCTGTGACGATGGCTGGTATGGAACACGTGGCCCACATGGTGTTGGCACTGTCAATGAGGCTGGCGCTGAGCTTCTCCAGTTTTTAGCGTGCAACAGCCTTACTGTGTGCAACACCTGGTTCATGAAACGTAACATCCACAAGTGTACCTGGCAACATCCCCGCTCGAAGCGGTGGCACTGCATCGACTATGCAATGGTCCGGGAACAAGACCTGTCCAACTGCATGGATTGCCATGTCATCAGGGGAGCTGAGTGTAGTACAGATCACAACCTTGTGTGTCTCACATACCGCATCCGCTCATCTGCTTGCCACAAGCGTGCAAAAAGACCTGTCAAGTTTGATGTGCAACAACTTGTCAAACACTCCTGCATGACGGAAGCGCAGAGAGCTGCAACCTGTAAAACTCGTGAACAATATGCGACGTCTGTTGCGTCAGAGTTACGATCCTGGAATCATGATGGCTGCGTTGAGGACAAATGGTCTGCCGTCAAATCTGCTATCGTCACCAGCGCTGAGAAGCACCTTGGCCGTCCACGTCGTCGCCAGCCTGATTGGTTTGAAGCGTGTGCTGATGTTCTTGCACCTATGCTGGATAGCCGCAATGCCTTACATCGCAAATGGCTCGCCTCTGGTTCTGACGCTGACAGGCGTCGCTTTGTCGAGGCTCGTGGCAAGTGCAGAACTGCCGTGCGTAACGCAAAGAGTGAGTGGATTGGACGTAAAGCTAATGTGGTTGAGTCAAGTCGGTTTAGTGGCAAGCACGCATGGTCTGCAATCCGTGATATACAGAAGTGCTATTCGGGATTATCACCTATCTCCATCCCATCCATCCGTGGCAGTGACGGAGTTATCTGTAGCTCCCAGGAGGGGCAAGAGAAATGCTGGCTGCAGCATTTTGCCCGTCTATTGAACGTTCGCAGCACCTTCGATGCTACCATCTTTGACCACATTGAGCAGCGTGAAGTTGATGAGTCACTCGGCCAACTTCCCTCGCTAGAGGACCTCACTATGGCTATACGCCAGCTGGCTAATTGCAAGGCTCCTGGCTCATCTGGAATTGCACCTGAACTGCTTAAAGCTGGTGGTACACCATTGCTTGAGGCTCTGCTTGATGTTATTCACACTGCATGGACCAACGGAACGGTTCCCCAGGATTGGCGGGATGCCCAACTCGTCCCGATTCCCAAAAAGGGTGACTTGACCAACTGCAACAACTGGCGCGGCATTGCCCTCCTAGATGTCGCTGGCAAGGTTTGTGGCCGTCTCATTCAGGACCGTCTCCAACTTGTCGCGGAACAAGAACTTCCAGAATCCCAGTGTGGCTTTCGCCCTGGTCGCGGCTGCGCTGATGCCATCTTTTCCATTCGCCAGCTCATCGAGAAATCGTACGAGCACCGTCAGAAGCTGTTCTGTGTCTTCGTAGACCTGAAGAAAGCATATGATTCCGTACCACGCCAAGCACTCTGGCTAGCATTGGGGAGGCTAGGCATTCCTGAAGGGCTCCTCAATCTAATCCAATCGTTCCACGAGAGCATGCAGGCAGCTGTGCGCGTCGGTGCCAGCACTACCGAGCCGTTTGCGGTCAACAATGGCCTCCGTCAAGGCTGTGTGATGGCCCCAGTACTTTTTAATCTGTACTTCGGTGTTGTGCTTGAGCGGTGGGCACAAATGATGCAGGACAGCGACCATCCACCTGGCATCCCCATCCAATTTAGCATCAATGGCAACCTTTTCTCAAAGCCCGCTCGCCAGTCTACTGCCGCAATCATCAACGACATTGAGTACGCAGATGACGCGGTCTTGCTCGCTGAAGACCGCCCTGGTGCTGAGAAGTGCCTTGAAACATTCTGCACGGTTGCCTCTTCCTTTGGCCTCTGCGTCAACGCTGCTAAAACGAAATTTCTCGTGGCAGGTAGCCAAGTCAACATGCCTGATAGAGCCGATATGAACGTCAACGGTGATACTGTGGAGCACGTTCCATCCTTCATTTATCTGGGGTCCGTCGTGACACCGGATGCCCGCTCCTCTACTGACGTCAGTCGCCGCATAGCTGAGGCTTCCAAAGCCTTTGGAGCTCTTCTTCCAGTCTTGTCGGATCGCTCGCTGTCATTAGTCAGTAAGCGAAAGCTATACGTGGCCTGTGTCTTGTCCATTTTGCTGTACGGCAGTGAGTGCTGGACGCCCTTGAAAGCTGATAGTAGACGTTTGGATGCCTTTCAT